CCCCATCTTCCTCCTCCTCTTCCTCTTCGTCTCCGTAAATTCCTCTTCTAGCACTGATGATGTTACCTAGTTGGGTCATGAAATGCCTGGAAGAAAGTCTGAAAATTCACTCTCTCCATTATTCCTGTTCAACACAAGCTTCTGCAGAGAAAGAATAATAATAATATTCCAAAAATTCACACTTGACAATCAACTTTTGTAAAGAAAGGGACATTGAAAGACACAAATCACTAAAAAAAATAATAAATAAATTTCCAAGTCAAGCAAATATCACCATTTGCGTTTACAAGGTCTCGTGGCAGATTTGGTAAATGTCCCTCTCTAATTTACACATTGTTGTAAATTGCAGGATATAGTGTCTTTATAGTAAAAAAACAGCAACAACAATGCAAATCCTCTCATTTTTAGGCACATAAATTTCACTAATGGAGGCTTTCTAAATGCAAATTCAGCTGAATTTTCCTGGAGAACAAGCCACTCCATTATTGAATATTGTTTCCATTCGAAACAATTTCCCCGCTCAGCATCTTCTTAATTCATTGATTTAATGATTTTTGCAAAGTGAACAAGTTCCTGGAATATCTGTGGAAGAGGCCAAGGGTCAAAAGAGTCAAAATGACAGTCACAACCCTTACCGATAGGTGCAGGTAGATGATCAGTTTATAAACACATCCCTATTTGTCTATTAATGGCTGATTTCTCCCGGTTTCCTATCGTTTTTGGATTTAGTTTGGTCTAGGATGTTTTGGATTTAGTTTGGTCTAGGATGTTCGGAGCTCTGATCTCAGGGTGGTGGCTGCCATCTTGACTTTTTTGACCCTTGGTCAATGACTCTGAGAGGTTTGTAGGGGGCTGGTCACACTCTTCAGCACCTGACATTTCCACCTAGAGAAAACGTAGGGATTTATTTCCTAAAACAGGCAAGGTTGAGACTTCTTATGAGGCAGATGCTCACGTGCTGGCTTAAAAACCAGGAGACGGTGAGTTCTAGTCCCGCCTAAAGCATGAAAGCCAGTTGAGTGACTTTGGATCAATTACCAGGTGATGGTGAGTTCTAGTCCCGCCTTAGCTGGCTAATCACCGGGTGATGATGAGTTCTAGTTCCGCCTTAGACATGAAACCCAGCTGGGTGACTTTCAGCTGGATGACTTTGGACCTATCACCAGGAGATGGTGAGTTCTAGTCCCGCCTAAAGCATGAAAGCCAGTTGGGTGACTTTGGATCAATTACCAGGAGACGGTGAGTTCTAGTCCCATCTTAGGCACAAAAGCCATCTAGCTGGCTAATCACCAGGAGATGGTGAGTTCTACTGTCGCCTTAGGCATGAAAACCAACCGGGTAACTTTGGGCCAATCACCAGGAGACAGTAAGTTCTAGTCCCGCCTTAGACATGAAACCCAGCTGGGTGACTTTCAGCTGGATGACTTTGGACCTATCGCCAGGAGACGGTGAGTTCTAGTCCTGCCTTAGGCATAAAAATCAACTGGGTGACTTTGGGCCAAGCACCAGGAGATGGTGAGTTCTAGTCCCACCTTAGACATGAAAGCTGGATGTGTCCATTACCTAGGAAGGAGCATTGTATGTTCCTTGCCTTGAGTTATTTGCGGGATATAAATACCTAAATATACATGCTGCTTGCCTGCATCTTCCAAAGGCTGGTATATTTTGTAAAAGTGAACACATAAATGGGATTCCTTCAATGTCGCCTGCCTGCAGATTTTTCCTCTCGAATCTCAGCCTCCCCACGAAATGAAGCAGGTGGTCTCTGACCCCCAGCTTGGTCTTATCTGCTCTAAAATCAAGACGCAGCGGGGTATTGTCAGGAATTCAATATTTTGCTCTAATTAAATATTTGTCTGATCTGATGCTTTCCCAGCAATTTCCCCCCTTCGGCTTTTAATGGCTCTGCAACCTTGGATGGCATTTCCTACAGTTAAATATCCCAAATTTGGCCAAGTGGCTCAAGAGAAGCAGCTTGGGAGATCAAGGGCAGAATCAGGACCAGAATCCAGATACGGCTAGGCTTTTTTGGGGGGGGGGGTGAGAAATTAGCAATTTGAAGAACTGGAATTTATTTTTGGGACAAGGTCAACAGCCACTTAAGGCCCTCTTGAATGTGGCAATGCTGGAGGATTTCATAAATGGTGAGATGGTCTGAATTGGTGATTTTTTAAAAAAAAAATAGGCAAGCTTAAGAAGGGAGGACTTCAACTCCCAGAATCCCCTAGCGGCTTGCTTTAAGAGAGGTGGACCAACTCCCAGAATCCCCCAGCCGGCATGTTTTAGGAGTGCAGGACTTCAACTCCCAGAATCCCCCAGCCAGCCATCCTTTAAGAGGGGAGAACTACAACTCCCAGAATCCCCCAGCCAGCCATCCTTTAAGAGGGGAGGACTACAACTCCCAGAATCCCCCAGTCAGCATGACACGTTAAAGCAGGCCGGACGCGTCACCAGGAAATCGCGCCCACCCCATTGCCGGCAATGGAGAAAGGCTCCGATACATCATGCGATGTCACATGACGTCGTGAGTTTGACATGTCTGCCTTAAAACATGGTGAATGGAGAATTCTGGGACTTGAAGTCTGCCCATCTTAAAGTTGTCACTGTTGAAAAAGCACTTTTCTGACTCATTTAAATAATTCAGGTAGTTCTCAACTTATAACAGTTCATTTAGTGACCATTCGAAGTGATAATGGCACTGAAAAAAGGGACTCATGACTGTTTCCAGCATCCCCCAGGGTCACATGATCAAAATTCGGATGCTTGGCAACTGACTCATACTTACGACGGCTGCGGTGTCCCGGGGTCACGTGATCCCCTTTTGCGAACTGACAAGCAAAACAATCCAGAGTCGCTTAACAATATTAACAACTTAACAGCTTCAGTTGATTCACTTAACAACGGTGGTAAGAAAGGTACTAAAATGGGAGAAAACTCACTTTACAATGGTCTCGCTTAGCAACAAAAATGTTGGGCTCCATTGCGGTCGTAAGTCGAGGACCACCTATATTTTTGATTGGCAAATTTCCATTAAAAACACGCATCTCGCTGAGCGCTGTCTTCAAATCAAACCAGGGGCTTTTTTTTTTTTTTTGTTCCTTCTACCCTTCAAGTACCAGGTGCGAATCCACACAAGAGCTTAATTGTGCTTTTGATCATCAGAGAGGCTGCAGAGTGGCACCACTTGAGGTGATTTTAGCAAGCGCCTGATTATCTCAGCCTGCAATTTTGTGCTGAGAGCTCTTATATCCTACGCACACTGTTCCCGGCGTCAAACACCTGTATATTCATCAAGAAAATTAGATTTTGAAATGGTTTTCGCCTCAAAGGGACACAGAGAACTTCTTTTCTGAAATAATACATTCAGTTTTCTAAATTAAAAATGGCGGCATATACAGGTAAGGAGATATCTGGAAAGTTCCTTTTGCTCAGAACCGACAGGCCTCTCTTAGGCTCTCTGATTTATTAATAAATTCCACGAATTTTCAAAATTCTCCAGATTTTTCCAAGGCCTCTGCAACTCAGAAAAGGGACTTTTTTAAAAAAAAATTAAGCCCAGAATCATGTTGTATTGAGTAACAAGAGAGAAGGACAGGGGGAAAGTCTTTGTAGTAAAAGTATGTGCAACAGGGTCAGTATGAGGAGAAAACCAATTTATAGAGGTTTGTTTTAAAAAAATAATAATTGGAAAACAAGCAAAGAGCCACAAAATAAATCGATTTAAACGTAGACCAAAGTGAACTCAGTATCCCACAGATAAAGAAGGGAAATGTCTAAATTCAATAGGTTGAGCTTTAAAAAGGATCAAAGAGGCATGTGCCCAAAGGCAGTCTTAGAGGTCATCTAGTCCAGCCCCCTGCTCCCAGGATCCCAGGACACTGTTACGTCATAAATCTGAGTTAGTTGCCACAGTGTCTGAATTTTGATCACATCACTATAAGGACGCTGCTGCAGCGGTCATAAGTGTGAAAAACAGTGGGGGATTTTCAGTCCGTTGTAATTTAGAACGGTCACTAAATGCACCATTGTAAGTCAAGGACTGCCTTGTATTTGACTCTGAAAAACAAAACAAAACTCTGATTTTAGGTTTTGATGCTGTTATAGATTATATCTATATCTATATATCTGTTGCTTGAAAGATTATAAGAGAAATTATAACATTTCTTTTATAAATTATCAAAGAAATGTAAAGCCAAAACTTGATGCTGTAAACTTTTTTGTGTTTTTGTGCTAAAAAAAAAAAAACAGAAGTCACTTCCAATTTTTCCTTCCTTTTTGACTTCTTTCTCCCTTTTTCTTCTTCTTCTCTCTTTAACCTTCTCAATTTTTATTTGTATTTGACCTTGTAATAAACTTTAATAATGGGGTTTTTTTTAAAAAAAACAAAAACTTTCCTTTAAAATTACCGCTTGGAGCAGATGACCCATCTTGCTCCAGATGCTAAAATATTGAACGGCCTTCTGTACATGCCCAGAGGCATACTTTTCGCAGAAAGAATTTGTGTTCCTGAGCATCGCCATAAACTGGACCATCCTAACGATCTTGAGCAAATTAGGACTTTGAAGCACAATTATACATTTTTAACCCTCATTAACCATCTGCCTTTTGAACAGATGTTTTCAAAACCCACTAAAAAAAATAAATCTGAATTTATTTTTCATTTGCTACCTGCTGGATCACTACAGGCAACTTTTCCTACTGTTTGCATGCAAGCCTGTGCTTGTGCATATCATTGAGATAATAATTGTTTCCCCAATATATATTACCTTTTCCAAAACAATTAGAAATTTCCCAAATTAAATTATTGCACTGGATGAAGGCAGTTGCTAAAAAACAGCCACTCTATCCTCCTAAATATTCTGAATTGAGTTCACAGTTGAACTTTTTTTTTTTTTGGAACAGGACAAAAGAGATAGTCAACATAGATTTCAAGATGCTTGTTCAAGTTTCTAGTCCTCAAGGCTGAGATTTATTTTTCTCAATCATCATTTTTTAAAAAACGAGTCCAAAGTGGTGCAAACATTCAGAGACATTGAGAAGATGCAGAAAGTCCTTTTTTTTTTAACCTCCAGGTTTCTCTCTCTCTCTCTCTCTGTCTCTCTCTCTTTTTTTTGCAATTTTTCTCTCATCTTCGCTCATTTTTTCCGGGACGAAGATTTAGGATTTCCAGGTGTTTTTGCACGTGCTCTGGAACTGCCTCTGAGTCCGTCTTTGCCACTGTTCTTTTCTCCTTCCTCTTTCTTCCTTCTCTCCAATTTTGTCTCATTCCCTTCTTTCTTGCTTTGTTTTTTCTTCGTTCCCTCTTTTCCGTTCTTCTCGGAAGCTTCCCTTTCTTCTTTTTCCTCTTGGTGCTTCTTCTTCTTTTCTTTTTTTCCGTCTTTCGATTTTTCTTTCCTCTTCTGGGCATCCACTTTGCCAGATACGGTGGGCACGTCCTCCTCCTCTTCCTCTTCTTCTTCTTCTTCTTCTTCCTCGCCCTTCACATTGGCCAGACCTGGGGTGGGAGGGGAGAAAAGGAAGGAGAAAGAGAGCGGAGAAGATAGAAACAAAAAGTGCCATTAATAACAAGGATGGGACCCTCTGTGCTGGGGGTTCTCTCTGCAGATGTTTCACGACCCAACTAGGTAACATCATCAGTGCTAGAAGGGAGGGGGAGGAGGAGGAGGAGGAGGAGGAGGAGGAAGAAGTAGAAGTGGAGGATGATTGTGGAGGTCTTGGGGTCATGAGACATCTGCAATCCTCCTCCTCCGTCCTTGGTCCTCCTCCTCCTTCTCCTCCTCCATCTCCCCCACCTCCTCTTCTTCCTCTTCTTTCTACTCCTCCTCTCCACAAACCCCTCTCCCTTCTAGCACTGATGATGTTCCCTAGTTGGGTCCTGAAACATCTGCAAGGAAACCACCAAACTCAGGGATCACCAGGGACCCCACAGTCTTTCCTCCTCCTCCTCCCCCCCCCTTTTCTCCTCCTCCTTTCTACAACACCCTCTGCAGCACTGATGATGTTCCCTAGTTGGGTCATGAAATGTTTCCAAGGAAACCACCAAGTTTAGGGAGCATCAAGGAACCCACAGTTGTCCTCCTCCCCCTCCTCCTCCTCCCCCTCCTCTTCCTCCTCCTCCTCCTCCTCCTCCTCACAAACTCCCCTTCCTTCTAGCACTGATGATGTTAGCTAGCAGGGTTATGAAACGTCTGCAAAAAACCAAGCTCAGAGAACACCAAGAACCCCACAGTCTCTTTCTTCTTCTTCTTCTTCTTCTTCTTCTTCTTCTTCTTCTTCTTCTTCTTCTTCTTCTTCTTCTTCTTCTTCTTCTTCTTCTTCTTCTTCTTCTTCTTCTTCTTCCTTCTTCTTCTTCTTCTTCTTCTTCTTCTTCTTCTTCTTCTTCTTCTTCTTCTTCTTCTTCTTCTTCTTCTTCCTTCTCCTCCTCCTCCTCCTCCTCCTCACAAACTCCTCTTCCTTCTAGCACTGATGATGTTACCTAGTGGGGTCATGAAACGTCTGCAAGGAAACCACCCAGTTCCACAGTTTATGTTCAATGTTTCCCCAGATTTTTTTTTTCATTTGTACAAAAAGTTCACAAGTCCCTTGGTTAAATTAGGCAGTTATAGAAAATGAATAGAATAAAATAATAATATAAATGTATTTAGTCCTCAACTTATAGCATTGTTTAGTGACCAAAGTTGCAATGGGATTGAAAAAAACTGACTTATGACCATTTTTCACACTTACGACTGTTGCACCCCTCCCATCATTACATAATCAAAATTCAGACGCTTGGCAACGGACTCATATTTACGACGGTCGCAGCGTCCCTGGGTCATGTGATCCCATTTTGTGACCTCCTGACGGGCAAATACAATGGGGAAGCCAGATTCACTTAATAGCCATTTTACTCACTTAACAACTGCAGGGATTCACTTAACAACTTGACAAGGAAGGTCATGAAATGGGGCAAAACTCACTGAACAACTGTCTCACTTAGCAACAGAGGTTTTGGGCCCAGTTATAGTCGTAAGTCGAGGACTCCCTGCATGTATTGCCTATAACTTGAACCAGGTGGGGAAAAAAAATCATTTAATTCTTATTAGCCAGCGGTTAAGTTTGGTGTTGCAAAACTCTCTTTAAAAATGTTTTCTGAAGATCAGGTTCATTTGCCACTGAAAAGTACAAGAAACTCTGTTTGCAGAAAAATTAATCTCACTATAGGGAGCGAAGATAAAATTGCCAATAACTATCTTTTATTTATACTCATAATGTTTATTCTAATAGATTACCCCACAGCTGTGCAAATGTCATCCCTACATTAAATAGAGACTATTAAAAATGAAAAATGCTTCCGTGTGGATAAATTTAATCGATAGCTAAATATCAGCTTCATTTGTAATGTTTGTTCTGATTACTGTATAAGTGTCATACAGACAGTCCTCGACTTACGATAGTAATCGGAACTAGCAACATATTGTTAAGTGAGTTATTCCTGATTTTATGAGTTATTTTTGCAGTGGTTGATAAGCAGTTGTTAAATAAGTTCAGCTTTCCCCCATTGGCTTTGTTTATCAGAAGGTCACAAAATGGGATCTCATGATCCCAGGACACTGGGACCGTCATAAATGTGAATCAGTTGCCAAGCGCCCATATTTTGATCATGTGACTACTGGCATCCTGCCATGGTTGTAAGTGTGAAAATTGGTCATAAGTCATAATTTTTCAGTGCCGTTGTAACTTTGAAGGGTCACTTATTCACAATGACTGCCTTACATAGCAACGGAAATTTTGTGGTTGTAAGTGGAGGACTCATATATATGTACAATCAAATCAAAATCACTTTGAAATTTCAACTATAAAGGTTGAGGCACCAAAATGGATTCTAGATAAAAGAAGCTTGTACAAAAACTTCGCTCTTTTGTTCTGCTTGCTGGATATTGATCAACAAAAAGAAAAAGTATAGAAAATGTATTTCGTCTGAGTGAAAGTTTAATTAACACTTTATTTTATTCAGCCTTTGATTAAACTTTCATTTTTGATTAAGCCGATAGCTCTTACAGATGTGGATTTTATAGCAGTGTTTTTCTTTTATAAACTCACCATGTTTTAATTCTATACTACAGTGTTTTTTTTAGCTTGCTAAGTTTTAAGAGGGGTGGGTTTCAATTCCCAGAATCCCCCAGCCGGCCATGTTTTAAGAGGGGAGGACTTCGACTCCCAGAATCCCCCAGCCAGCATGCTTTAAGAGGGGTGGACTTCAACTCCCAGAATTCTGCAGCCACGATGCTGGCTGTGGAATTCTGGGAGTTGAAGTCCATATATCTTAAAGTTGCCAACTTTTGAGAGCCAATTGAAAGGCTGGAAAGCAGAAGGGCGAAAACTAATTGCCCCCAAATTTCACTGAACATTTTAAGGTACATGTTTCTTTTAGGGGTTCACCTGAAATTTGGAGGACCCAGCATGGAAGCAGAAAGGCAGTGGGTGGGTTAAAGCTTCGCTCTTTCTCACACACACACACACTTTTGCAAAAGTTTCTGAAAACTTGCTGCCTGCCTCCAGGACGTGTGTATAAGAAATCTGGCTTTTTCGTGTGTCATCACCTGAAGCTGTTTTTTGTCTTTTAATTACAAGCTGGCCAGATGTTTGACTGGGACGCCACGTCGCTTCTTGTTGGACCCAAACCAAGATTCGTTGGCTACAGCAACCAAAAACAGCTTGTTTCCTGCCACCCGTGAGGCAGACTTATAAATCTGAGAGAAAGACTGAACCAAAGAGCCATCCCATAACAAGAGAGCCAGAAAACCAGAGAATTGCCTGAATTGGGAGGGACTCCCAAAGATCATCTAGTTCACCCTTCCGCAACAGGCAGGAACACTAGTTTGGCCATCCTCAAGGCCATTCGGATTCTTCTTTCAAACCCCTCCAGAGTTTGGAAGGAGCTTTTAATGACCAGGGTCTGATAGCGGAGGAATTTTAATTTCTAATCCTCAAATTGGAAAAGTCCTTTGAGATCATCTATTCCAACCCCCTGCTCATTGCAGGAACCCTCCGAAGGGCAAATGGGTGGTCTAAAAACGCAATAAGTAAATAAAGTAAACTCAATAAATATCCGTGACAAAGGATTACCTGGGCTGTACCAAACCCAGGTTTGTGATAATCCTCTTTCTAGATAGTCCTCACTTTACGACCGGTGGCTTAGCAACCGTTTCATGTTACGATGGACCTCCTCTGAGAGACTTGTGACCTATTTCTTTTGCACACACACACACACACACAGAGAGAGAGAGAGAGAGAGCTTTGTGATTTGTGTCTTTGGGCACTTAGCAACCGACTCCCCTTTTACTGTCGTTTGCAGCATCCCACAATCACACAACTGCGATTTGCAATGTTTTTTGATGGGTTTTGACAAAAAAAGTCCTATTGGGGAAAATAGCTTCGCTTAATGACCGCCGTGCTCACTTAAGAACCGTCCTAAAAACTTCAAATCAGGACACAAGTTGCCTTGATTTACGACAGCAATGACTTATTCCAGGTTCAATTCCAGTCATAAGTCAAGGACCATTGTGTGTCCTACTTATTTCTCGCCAAGGAGTCTTTGCCACTCAGTTATGATGACTCCACGCTGCTTCCTAAAATTTCTGTTGCTAAGCGAGACAGCTGTTAAGTGAATTTTGCTCCATTTTACAACATTTCTCGCCCTACTGGGCAAGCGAATCACTGCCATAAGGTCGCAAAAGGGGGTCACGTGACCTTGGGACCCTACAACAGCGTCATAAATGCGAGTCAGTTGCCAAGCGTCTGAATTCTGATCACATAACCACGGGGACGGTGCAACGGCCGTAAAAGTGAAAAAACATTGTAAGTTACATTTTTGAGTGCTGTTGTAACTTTGAGCGGTCACTAAACAAATAGTTGTAAATCAAGGATTGTCTGTAGTGGAAATAATGTAAATTCTTACCAGTTCTTCCCTTTTTTCTTTCTTGCGCTCTCTTCCTTTTCTCTGCCTGCTATCCCCTTTTTCTGACAGCTGGCAGTTTTGCTAGTCGCTGGTGTTTAATAAGTAATATCCACTTGTTCATTAAATATTATTTTATTAAATATTAATGCTGTAATAAATTAATAATAAATAATGCATATTTTTTTCTAACTGAACCCAGGATGGGAATGCTGGCTGTGATCCAAATTCAGGGCTAACTGGCTGAGCAAAGTGGTTTTCTAACAACCTGGAGGCCTGGGGTAGTCCAATAGTCCTTGACTTACGACCGTATTGGAGTCTGGAATCTCCATCCTAAGTCATGACGGTCATAAGTCAAGGCACCCTGTGACCAACCAAACTCAATTTTAAGACATTTTTGCCAGTGGCCTTTCAGCGAATACGGTGGTCATTAAACGAAGCAAGGCATTCCTATGGGCGTTTTTTCCTGGAAACCATCCAAAAGGGAAAAAATTAAAGAATGAAAATAAAGAATGAAAAAAGAAATAACAATTAATAAAAAATGTGATTCATTGTACGTCGGCCATAAAACTGAGCCGGTTACCAAGCACCAATACTGGTGTCTATTTCTGGTTTCAGGTAAAGCTGCCCCATAGGAAATGATGAGTTTCACTTAACGACCGCCATAAAAAAAGATCGTAAAATGTTTCCAGTCACCACTATCATGATTTACAAACATAATTGTGGTCGTCAATGATGGTCGTCATAACTCAGAGACTACCTATAAACGCTTTTTCTAAGGAGCAAAACGCCACCACGTTGCACGTAAATCAGAGATGGGTCTCTGGATTGCCTGGCTGTGGACTCCATCTTGACTTTTTTGACCTCCTCTCCCGTTCCAAAGGAAACCTATTTTCCATTTCCTGCATCCTTTTAATACTTTCCTGTCTTTGCAGATTCAGCCCTTCTACAGAGTCCTCGAAGTATGAACACAAATGAACCCATTGCTAAGCAAGACAGTTGTTAAGTGAGTTTTGCCCCATTTTACGACCATCCTTGCCACAGTCACTAAGTGAATCACTGCAGTTGCTAAATTAATCACATCATTATTAAGCAAATCTGGCTTCCCCATTGACTTTGCTTGTCAAAAGTTTGCAAAAGGGGATCATGTGACCCGGGACTCTGCGACCGTCGTACATATGAGTCAGTTGCCAAGAGTTTGAATTTTGATCATAAGGCCATGGGGATGTCGCAATGGTCGTAAGTATGAAACACAGTCGTAAGTCTTTTTTCAGTGCAGTTGTAAATTCAGATTTAACTGATAGAAACTAAATTTTGCATTCTTGCTATTCTTAGCATCCTATATCGCTCTGACTTCTTTTAATTTGCCAATTAAGCAAACCATCCATATTTAATTTAATTTCAAGATCTAAAGAAATCCTGATCTCAGGAGGGATCTTGGAGATCTAGTAGTTCAACTCAACTCTCAGTTTTGGCTTTCTACGAGTTTCCGTCTCTCTCAAACCAATTGGCGGATTTAAAAAACCCAAAGCTTTTAATTCCCTCTGTCCTATTAATCTATTCCTCTCTTTTCTCTCCTCTCTTTTTAATCCCCTACGATCTTCAGCTTCATTGGTTGATCTGGTGAGGGGATTCTGGGTGGGCATATATGCAGATTTATGCAAATAAGCAGAATTATTTATGCAAGCAGGATGATGCACCGCAAAGGATTATGGGAGTCTAGACAGGAGTCATCCAGAAGGAAGCAGCCGATGTGCATTTCACCCACGGGGTCAAAAAAGTCAAAATGGTGGCCACCCATGATACAATTCCACAACATTCTTTTTTAAAAAATGAGAAGCTGGCCACTATCTTGAATTGTTTTACTTTCTTTGTGAGATCAGGCAAGGAGGATCTGGCTGAAATCTGATTTTTTGGGATTCCCCCAAAGCCGCAGGAGTGGTGCAGGCTGTCCTCTACTTACAACCATTTGCTGAGGTTGAGAAACTTGGATTTATTTGCTTAGTGATCTTTTGAAGTTACATTAGTTTCACACTAATGACCGTTGCAGCCAACCCCCGGGTCACATGATTAAAATTTCAACGCTTGGCAACTGACTCATATTTACGAAGGCTGCAGTGTCCCGGTGTCATGTGATCCCATTCTGTGACCTTCTGACCAGCAAATTCAATGGAGAAGCCGGATTCACTTAACAACCGTGTCCCTAACTTAACAACTGCAGGGATTCACTTAATAACTGCGGTCGTAAAACGGGGCAAAACTCACTTAACAACTGTCTTGCTTAGCAACGGAAATCTGGGGCTCAATTGTGGTCGTAAGAAAAGGACTACAGTGTATTCAATGGCAAGAAGTTGAGAAAGGAGCTGCCCGCCGTGCTTCTGCAGGAGTCCCTGTTCGGGCAGGATGAGGCGGCGGAAGAGACGGGCTTTCGGATCGAAGGAGAAAGCCAGAAGAGGAGCGACGTGGCCGGAGGAGGAAAAAGACAGGACAGAGAAAGGATCCCAGAGGAGGAGAGAAGAACGTTGAAGGGGAGGGAAAGCGGGCGGCGGGCGCCCCCTAGTGGGCTTCCCCCGCGACTTCCTCTTCTTCCTGGACGGCCGGCAGAGAGGCGAGCGGGCGCGCTTCGAGCTGGCCCGAAAGAGTTTGGAGGCTTTCCGTGGAGCCTGGAAGAGGCAGAGAAGCAGGGGAATGAAGGACAGGAAAGGAGGGAGGGAGGGAGGAAGAAGAACGAGGGGAGGAGGAAATGGGAGGGAGGCTGGGAGGGAGAAGAAGGAAGGAAGAAAGGAAAGAGAGAGAGAACGAAAGAAAAAGGAAGGAAGGAAAGAAGGAAGGAAAGAAGGAAAGGGAGAGCAAGGGAGAAAAAAGGAGAGGAGGAAGGAAGGAAAGAAAGAAAGAGAGAACGAAAAAAAAGGAAGGAAGGAAAGAAAGAAAGAAGAGGAAGGGAGGGAAAGGGAGAGCAAGGGAGAAAAAAGGAGAGAAGGAAGGAAGCAGGGAGGAAGGGAAGGAAGGAAGGAAGGAAGGAAAGAACAAGGGGAGGAGGAAATGGGAGGAAGGAATGGGGGAGAAAAGGAGAGGAGGAAGGAAACAGGGAGGAAGGAAAGGAAGGAAGGAGAACAAGGGGAGAAGGAAATGGGAGGGAGGAAGAAAGGAGGGAGAGAAGAAAGGAGAGAGCAAGGGAGAAAAATGGAGAGGAAGAAGGAAGGAGGAGGAGGAAATGGGAGGGAGGGAGGAAGCAATGAGGGAGAGAAGGAAGGAAGGAAGGAAGGAGAATGGGAGGAGGAAATAGAAAGGAAGGAAGAAGGAAGGAAAGAGCAAGGGAGAAAAAAGAGGAGGAAGGAAGGAAAGAAAGAAAGAGAGAGAACAAAAGAAAAAGGAAGGAAGGAAGGAAGGAAAAAAGAGGAAGGAAGGAAAGGAAAGGGAGAGTAAGGGAGAAAAAAGGAGAAGAGGAAGGAAGGAAAGAAAGAGAGAACGAAAAAAAAGGAAGGAAGGAAGGAAGGAAAGAAAGAAGGAAGGAAAACTGTCAAGAGTGCATTGAAGATCCCTTAATTGAGCCAATGAACTGGTGATCAGAGTGGACAGTCCTGCCACGCCTGTGGCTGCAGCGCAGAGTCTGGCGGTCATTGCCCGTGGTGAGTGTGTCCCTCAGCCTTCTAATGGGGGTGGGGGGAGGGACACAGCTGGCTGCTGTTCCTTTCTGTACAGGTCATCCTCAGCTTACGTCCACAGTGCGGACCAGAATGTCCATTGCTAAGTAAGACGGTTGTTAAGCAAGTCCCAACTTTTATGCTGGGGTTGTTAAACGAATCACTGCCTCTCTGACAAGTCAAGTCAATGGGTCCAGATGCATTCACTTCACAACCAAACTTATTCGCTTGCTTAGCAATAAAAATTCTGCTCCCCACTGTGGTCGTAAGTGGAGGACTCCCTCGACCTGATGCCCCAATTTCTGCCCTCTTACCCAACCCTGGGTAGAGGAAAAACGTGGTCCCCCCTCACCTCCTGGAATCTCAGTCAGTTCATTGAGGGGGGGGACGGTGTCCAGCTTGTCCGCGTACATCTTTGCCGCCTGCCTCTTGGCGTAGCGTGCTTCGATCTCCTTCTTGGTCCTCGGGATGCGGCATTTGAAGATGCAGCAGAGGGTGATGACTAAAAAAAAGGGAGGGAGGGAGGGAAAGAAAGGAAGGGGTGGCTCAGGAGCCAGGAGAGCCCTCCTCCCCCACGGGAGAATGGACCCCCAGATTTGGGGCTCCCCAAAGGAAAGACAGTTGCTCATCCTCCCGGCTGAAGCCAGAAACCTGCAGTGCCTGAGTTAAATTTTAAAACTCACAAATGAAGGGTGGAAAGCAAGGAGGAAAAATGAGGGTGTAGAATGGGGAAGAAAGGGGAAATAAAAATGAAAGGAAGGAGAAGGAGAAAAGAGGAAGAAGAGAAGGGAGGAGAGAAGAAACAGAAGGTGAAGAGAGGAGAGAGAAAGAGGAAGGAAGGAGAGAGAGAAAGAAAGAAAGAAAGAAAGAAAGAAAGAAAGAAAGAAAGAGAAAAAGAAGGAAGAAAGAAGAAAAAAGTAGGGAGAAAGGAAGAGGAAAAGAGGAAAAGAGGAAAAAGAAAGAAAAAGGAAGGAAGAAAAAAGAAAAGAAGGAAGAGCGAGGAAAAAGAAAAGGGGAAGGGAAAGGAGGAGAAAGAAAAAAGAGAATGAAAGAAAGGAAGAGAAAGAAATGGAGGAAGGAGGAAGAGGGAAAAAAGAAAGAAGAAAGGGAGGAAAGAGAAAAAAGAAAAGAAATGAAAAAAAGAAAGAAAAAAGAGAGAAATGGAGGAAGGAAGAGAGAAAAAGGAAAGAAAAGTAGGAGAAGAAGAAAGGAAAGAAAGAAAAAAGAGAAAGAAAGAAAGAAAGAGAAAAAGAAAAAGAAAAAGAAAGAGAAAAAGAAAAAGAAAGAAAGAGAAAAAGAAAGAAAGATTGTAAGTTGAGGACTACTTGTATGATGTGTAAGTGGCCCAGATTCACTTGACAGTGAGATGGACAGCATATTAAACTGAAATAATAAAATCAAGTGAAATTAAATTAAATAGCCCCTTTTTTTCAGCGTTGCCATAACTTTGCATAGCTGCTAAAATATGAACGGGGTTAATTTGAGGACCCTCCTTCTGTCTGGGGAACCTCAACTTAAAATCCGCAGCCAGCTTTGGCTCCCGTTCTCGAAAGAAACAAGATCCTTTTGATCTGTGGCTTAAAGAGATCTGTTGGGAAAGTCAAATAGGACGGGGAAGCAAGACTATTAATGTGCCAACTGGCAAGGTCAAAACGTTTTGGGTAACTTCGCCGTCTGGCATGCTCGGCGCGCATTCCCTGTGTGATGCTCGTGAAATTAAATCTGCCTCAAAAAAAAAAAAAAAAAAAAACCCCAACCCCCCAAAAACACTCCTTAAAAAGCTTGTTTTCTCTTCCTGGCAACTTTTTCAGTGGGTCTGTTTTCACTGTCAGCCGCGGGAAAAACCTGGCCACGTTTCCCGCGATGATGCTTATTTAATGGTGCAAATATTTCCTGCCCTGTCTGGGAACATTTTCTTCTAGCGTTTCTCTTCCAGTGCCAGCAGGCAGGCTGCAGACCTGGAAAACGGCCCGCGCCAGGTGGAATCAATGGGGCGTGCGGTGGAACAGTTGCCGTTTGCTTAATTCCCGGGGATAGGAGCGAGTTCGAATCCTGTCAACCGTGCTGCCATAATTTACGGCTCTAAGAAAACCCATCCAGATTCTCTACTCCAGGCAGCAGTTCATCCTGAAGAGCTACGGGGTGTGTGTGTGTGTAATTGGCTTTGCACAGCAGGACGGTCCTTGACTTACAGCTGTTTTTGTTTAGCAACATTTCCAAGTTACAATGGCATTGAAAACCCTGACTTACGACCGTTTTTCAGACTTATAACTGTTGCAGCCTTCTTGCAGTTGTGTGATTAGAAACCAGACGCTTGGCAACCAGAATGTACAGGTTGTCCTCAAATTATGACCAAGCCTCACATTTCTGCTGCTCAGTGAGGCCTCAGTTAAGTGAATTTTGCCCCATTGCATGACCTTTCCCCTCGCCGTTGTTAAGCAAAGCCCTGCAGTTGTTAAGTTAATAACATGGCTGTTAAGTGAATCACCATTGACCTTGTTCGTCACAAAGTAGCAAAAGCCGATCACAGGATCCTGCAACACTGCAACCGTCAAAGTATGAATCAGTTGCCAAGCACCTGAGCTTTGATTGCATTATCGTGGGGATGGTTGCAATGGACGTAAGTGTGAAAAATGACCGTTGCTCTCTTTTTTTGGTGCTGTTGTAACTTTGAAGGGGCACCGACCGAACTGTAGTAATCTGTATATATTGCGGGGGTCTTATAGGCTAGTCCAGGATCTACAAACACTGAATGCCAAGATATGGAGTCCAACTCTGCCCAGGGTGGAAGACTTGACCATCTCAGGTAGAGATGAACCTCAACACTCCAAAAAACAAAGTCTTCCATGGCTCCATAGCTCTGGCCATAGAGAAATCCCTCCTTATTGGGAGTTTTCTTGAGGATGTCCATCTGGCAATCTTTCATGGTTAGGTCTTCTCCAGCTGTTGGACATCGTGGAGACGTCTCTTCACAAGTTGGAAGGTGCTCTGATGTCTTCTCTTAGCTTTCTCTTCTGAGGTTGAACCTATCCCATTCCTCTAAGTCAGTATTTCCCAAACTTGACAATTTTAAGGCATGTGGACTTCAACTCCCAGAATTCCACAGCCAGCGTTGCTGGCTGTGGAATTCTGGGAGTTGAAGTCCTCATGCCTTAAAATTGTCAAGTTTGGGAAACACTGCTCTAAGTTCTTTGTAAGAACATGTAGGACTCTCACCATCTTCACTGTCTTCTTCACAGCTGGTCCTCAACTTACGACAGTTCATTTAACGACCATTCAAAGTTACAACAGCAGTGGAAAAAGTGACTTAGGAGCATTTTTCACCCTTACGACTGTTGCAGCATTCTGATCAAAATTCAGACACTTGGAAACTGACTCATATTTATGATGGTCATGGCGTCCCAGGGTCACTTGATCCCCTTTTCCAACCTTCCAGTCAAGTTAATGGGGAAAATCAGACTCACTTAACAACCGTGTTACTAATTTAACAGCTGCAGTGATTCACTTAACAACCGTGGAAAGAAAGGTCGTCAAATGGGGCAAAATTTACTTAACAACTGTCTCACTTAGCAACATAAATTTTGGGCTCAGTTGTGATTGTAACTTGACTGCCTGTAGTGGCTTTCCAGGATCTTAGCAATCAATCAATCAATATCAATCAATAAATCAAATATTTATTTGGTCATTGTCCAGACTTCTTAGCATCCTTTTCAGATTGGGCCTCAAATCCTCAAATTTATTTAGTGACCCTTGAAAGTTACAACAGTAAAGTGACATGAGTGGTCCTCGCACTTGTGATCGTCGCAGCATCACCGTGGTAACACGATGGTGATCACAGACTCTGGGACACTGCAAGTGTTATTAATTAATGTCCAACCATCTGAATATTGATCATGTGACCATGAGGACAATACTATTGTTGTAAGTGTGAAAACAGTCATGAATCATTTTTTTCAGTGCTGTTGTGACTTTGAATGGTGACTAAACAAATGGTTATAAGGTGAGGACTACCTGCACATGGTATTGAAGGAGACCAAAGCTTGTTTTTTTTATACTATCCAACAAGGATGTCCACAGGAGAGTGGTCAAAAAAAAGTCAAGATGGCAAGAAACAGTGGCTGGAAACTGACCAAAGAGAGAAACAACCTGGAGAAAGTTCCTAACAGGGAGGACAATTAACCAGTGGAACTTGTCACTAGAAGTTGTGGGTGCTTCATAGCTGGAGGTTTTTAAAGAAAAGACTCTATTATATTCCATTTTGTATTCTCTTCTCTTCTCTTCTCCTCTCCTCTCCTCTCCTCTCCTGTTCTATTCTATTCTATTCTATTCTTATTTTCTATTCTATTCTGTTCTGTTCTATTCTTATTTTCTATTCTATTTATGTTCTATTCTATTCTATTCTATTCTTATTTTCTTTTATATTCTATTCTATTCTTATTTTCTATTCTATTCTTATTTTCTATTCTATTCTGTTCTGTTCTGTTCTATTCTTATTTTCTATTCTATTCTATTATGTTCTATTCTATTCTTATTTTCTTTTATATTCTATTCTATTCTTATTTTCTATTTTATTCTTATTTTCTATTCTATTCTATTCTATTCTGTTCTATTCTATTCTTATTTTCTTTTATATTCTTTTCTATTCTTATTTTCTATTCTATTCTTATTTTCTATTCTATTCTATTCTGTTCTATTCTATTCTTATTTTCTTTTATATTCTATTCTATTCTAATTCTCGACCTCCATTTGACTTTTTTGACCTTCTTACCCATAAAACTGGCACCCAAGAGGATGGAAATTAAAAGAAGAAGAAACAGCACTTACTAACACTCAGCACAAAAATAGCAAAAATTCCAACCACTTGCCAAAGCCGCAAACCCCAGATCACCACGGTTTCCGACGTGATGGGATCCGGTTTCTTTTTCGGCGTTTCAGTGGTCGCCTACAGAGACACAAAAGAGGCTAAAGAAAGGAGAAGGAAGGCAGAGGGAATTCTGGGAATGGGCTTAAGCAGCCATAACAGACCCAGAGGCTTGTGGGAAAGAGGAAGTTGGTGATTCATAGCCAACTTTGACTTTTGTTAATTGCAGGTTTTCTAATGCAGCTAATTTGAAAACTAAATTTAACCATCCTGGGGGTCTTTTTTCTTTTTCTTTTTATAAATGTTTCATTAATTTTCTATTTTCACAAGCAAGTGCTCAATTGACAACGTGATGACTGAGTCCATTAGTAATTTGGTGACACATGTAAGTTTCCCCAACTAAGTCCAATGTTACGACCTGTCTTCTTCTGGTAATAACAATTTTTCCGCATTAGGCAAATACAATTCTTATTATTATTAGTAAACATACAAGTGCACATCAACATTGATTACATTTTTCTAATAATATCAATAATATCAGTTTAAAATATCTTTCCTATCCAAAGTATATCTGAATTGCATTTGCATTCAATTTCCACTTATTTAATCCCTGTCCATATTTTTTAATCCATTTTTAATCCATATTTTTGCTTTTTTCAATTTTTGTTTCCCATCCATATTCAAACCATCCCAATCATTTATTATTTCAAAACAAGTTACATTGGGGCAACAAAGAGAGTCCCTTATTCAAAATTTTTAACATATTCTTATTTCCCTTCTCATACCAAGATATAATATTCTAATTACAAATCATAACTAATTAGTTATAATAATATTTCTATTTCTAACAATCTATTTTTAACCATATTCAAATCTCTAATCAATAGTCTAGCATCTCCTATAATAGGTCAAAGCTTTTGCTTCCTTCAATCTTACTCTAGCTTTCTTTCTTTGCCAACTAGCTTTCCCAGTCAATGCATTTGGATCATCAAATAATTCTTCCTCTGTTTTTATATTTATTATTTGGAACAAAAGAAACAATTTAGTTAAAATATTTTTGGAAGAGCTAGCCCAGTTAAACCGCCTCCCTCCTTCTCTGGTTCCCCACAGTTCTTTTAACGGAGTTATCTTCCATTCCATCAGTTCTCCTTCCTTGTCATCCGGTATGTTCTGAAACCTTAATTTATAAAATGTCTCTTTCACTTCCAGTATTATCGTTATACCTTAGGAGTGTTCATTTATCTGAATCTGGTTGTTTGTTTCCTCTTTTGGATCCTCAATATTTGTGTCAGAATTCTCTAGTTTTCCTTCTATTTTCTGGGTTGCTGAGGGTCCATTTTCAATGGTGGCAGCTTCATGATGTGGACTTCAACTCCCAGAATGCTGGCTGGAGGATTCTGGGAGAGGAAGTCCAAGCCTCTTAAAGCATGCCAGCTGGGGGATTCTGGGAATTGAAAGCCACCCATTTAAGCCACCCGTTTAAGCATGCCGGCTGGGGGATTCTGGGAGTTGAAGTCTTCCCCTCTTAAAGCATGCTGGCTGGGGGATTCTGGGAGTTGAAGTCCTTCCTTCTTAAAGCATCCTGGCTGGGGGATTCTGGGAGTTGGTGTCTAAACACAGATCTAAGGGACATAGACAGCCCCTTGTCTACCAAGTGTTGCTTTACAACTCCCATCATCCTCCATCTTGCGCTTTCTTTACCTGGGGCTGCTGGGTGTTGTAGTTCAAGGCTTTTCAACCAGTGGTACGGGTACCACCTGTAGTACATTGGCACCTGGCAGGTGGTACGCGACCATCCTAGAAAAGTGATAGCGGGGGAGGAGAATGAGCTGAACCGATGGCAGCACCGCACAAGCCTGAGCGAGAGACGGCTGGAGCTGCAGGGTTGTCAGGGCTCAGCGGAAGCACCAGGATCAGCACCAGGCTCCAGCTGATCGGCGCTTCTTTGGGGCTATCAGGGCTCAGTGGAAGCGCCAGGATCAATGCCAGGCTCCAGCTGGAGCTCAGCACTGATCCTGGTGCTTCTGCTGAGCCCAGAAGAAGCGCCGATCAGCTGGAATGTTGCAGCCTCTCCAGGGTCTTGTGATTTATATTCAGATGCTTTGCAACGGATTCATATTTATGACGGTCACAGGGTCCCAGGGTCATGTGAGATGACCAAAACCTGCTGCAACCACCCAGCAGACGGGGGGGGGAATAAAAACCAAACACCCCCCCCACCCCACCCCCGCTGCCAATCCTCAACAGAAACACTCACAACAATGAAAACCTGGGACAGGAGGAAGAGCGTGGCCAGGCGGGCAGGCAGGTGTCTTGCTCGGCTGTGGCTTGGGGGGCACTTTTTTCAGTGCCATTGTAACTTTGAACAGTCACTAAGCGAACGGTTGTAAGTCAAGGACTACCTGTACTTTATCACTTTTTTCCTTTTTGGTCATCAAGTTTTTGACCCCTTGCTAGGCGACTGGTGGTACTTGGATATTGCTATATCCTAAAAATGATACAATGGGTGAAAAGGTTGAAAAGCCCTGTTGTAGTTGACCAAGAGGGCCTGAGTTATACAGATAGTCCTCTACTCATGACCACAATCAAGTGAGTGAGACATTTGTTAAGCCCCATTTTACAGGCTTTGATGCCATAGTTGTTGAGGGAATCCCTGCAGTTGTTAAGTGAAACACACCGTCGCTAAGTGAATCTGGCTTCCCATGGACTTTGCTTGTCAGAAGGTCAGAAAAGGGGATCCTGTGATCCTGGGACTTTGCGACCGTCATAAATACGAGTCAGTTGCCAAGGGTCTGAATTTTGATCCCGTGACCCATGGGGAGGCTGCAACGGTCGTTAAGGGTGAAAAACGGTCAGAAGTCAATTTTTTCAATGCTGTTGTAACTTTGATCGGTCATTAAATGAACTGTTGTAAGTCGAGGACCGCCTGTATTTGGTTAATCTTGTTTTTAACTTTATACCTTTTTCTTTCTCTCAACTCTTTCGTGACAAAATGGCAGCCGGGGGGTGGGTGTTGGAACAGTCACACTGAATCTAGAACTAAGGAGAAACTTCCTGACAGTGAGAACAATTAATCAGTGGAACAACCTGCCTCCAGAAGCGGTGAATGCTCCAACACTGGAAGTTTTTAAGAAGAGACTGGACAGCCATTTGTCCAAAATGGTGTAGGGTTTCCTGCCTGAGCAGGGGGTTGGACTAGATGACCTCCAAGATCCTTTTCAACTTTATTACTATTATTATTATTATTATTAATTGTGTGAAACATTCATAGGGGCTTTGAGGACAAGATAACACAACCCTTCAACACACTCCTGCACATACACACACACATATACACACACACACAGGTTGCTGTCTTCCTTGAAGGCTCTATGATTTATTTCGAGCGCATTATGTTTCTCACTCGTCTCCAGTTTCAGAACATAGTCTGGCTGTTGTTGAGGTGCGGCGTTGCATAAACTAATCGCCACTTTAAAAAAACCTAGGATGCCAAATTGTGAGGTCTAACACAAAGACACAAACGCACACATAGACCCTCCTCCTGTACTCAATCTGCAAAATTGCTGCATCCTCGAATCCAACTAAGCAGGCAAAAGGAGTTACCAACTTTCAATTTATCTCAAGCACGGGTAGTCCTCGCCTTACAACCACAGTTGAGCCACTTAACAGCCGCAACTTACCACACTAGAATGTCCCTTGCTAAGCCAGGCGGTTGTTAAATGACTCGTGCCCGATTTTACAACCTTTTCTGGGGCACGGCTGTTCATCAAATCTCCGCTGTTGTTAAGTGAGTCCCGAGGCTGTTGTTAAGCGAATCCAAACTCCCCTCCTTGGTTTTGCTGGTCCGCTGGGAAGGTCGCATCACGTGACCCAGGGATGCTGCAACGGTTGTTAAATACATTCCTGTTAACTCAGATCATGTGAGCATGGGTGTGCTGTGACGGTCGCAAGTGTGAGGACCGTTCAAGTCAAGCCGGTTTCCAACAAGAAAAGTCGAAGTTGGATTTGCTTAACAACCACATGATTTGCTTAACTTCTGCGATTCGCTTAACAACGGTGGCCTAAAGGTCGTAAAATTGGGCGTGACTCGCCTTGTTTAGGAATGGAAATTCTGGTCCCTGATTTTGGTTTAGAGCAACAGCTGGCGTCATAATTCGAGGACTACCTGAATTACAACTTACTTTCTAGCTAGAACAAAGATTTGTTTGCTTAGCGATAAAATTCAGAGCCCTCTTACTCCCAGGAAAATCTTACTTCCTTGCTTTGCAGCCCACTATAAATATTTTCAGAATCAGAATGACAAGAGTTGGAAGGGACCTTGCAGGTCATCTAGTCCAACCCCACCTGCCCTCCTTCCACCCCCTATTTTCAGTGGAATTAATCTCGGTTTTAGAATAAGAACTGTGGCTTGAACAAGTGGAATTTCTACTTTTTGCTTGGAAGAAACAAAACTTTAATTGTGGGATTTGACGATTAGAACCGTTTATGATTCTAGGAAAATTCTGTATTATATTTAATTTTAGAGCAAGAGGCTTAATGCACTTTACATTTGCACAATATCTGCGCTGAAAAAAGCATAAATGATTATTTTTCTATTTTGTTCTTGGTTTGTTTTCTTTTCCACTCTCCTTTGTTCCTTTTCTGATCTTGCCTTCTCTTAATTCTTCTTTCTGTTTCTGTTTTATCGTTTGTTGACTCTTAAAACCTTACTAAAAGATAAGGCCAGAGATTCTGAAACATTTGCAAACAGAGGAGAACAAATATATTTGGTGAGCTTTTTCTCTGCATTTTTGATCTAGAATAAAAATTGCCGATGAAATAACAGGGGGCTAAAAATAATTCCCTTCAGTTTGTGGGGGGCCATTGCAAAGCTTAAATTAAATAAATATTCAATGTTGAAAGTCAAAATTATCTGGAAATTCCTGAAAACCTCTCTCTGTTTTAAAGAATTTAAGTACATTTTTCTTGGAGATTTCCTGCAACTTATCTGATACTCCTCAACTAAATACCTTTTGTTAGTTTTTCCTTTTGTTTGCGAAATTCCTGGCCTAAACCTAGTTCAAATAAAAACCCCAAACTAGAATCTCTGTAAATACCCTTGTGAGAGCCAGTTGACTGGATTTCAGACTGATGGAAAAATTGGGATTTTTGCAATGCAAAACAGATGGTCCTCAACTTACGACCGCAACTGAGCCCAATATTTCCGTTGCTAAGTGAGACAGTTGTTAAGTGAGTTTTGCTCCATTTGATGACCTTTCTTACCACGGTTGTTAAGTGAATCACTGCAGTTAGTAACGTAGTTGTTAGGTGAATCTGGTTTTCCCAATCAGAAGGACATAAAAGGGGACACTGCAACCGTCATAAATATGAGTCAGTTGACAAGCGTCTGAATTTTGATCACGTGACTGTGGGGATGGTTGAAATGGCCGTAAGTGTGAAAAACGGTCAAAAGTCCCTTTTTTCAGTACAGTTGTAATTTCAAACGGTCACTAAATGAACTGTCGTAAGTCGAGGACTACCTGTATTTGGGGAGTCTTAGCCTGCAGGCTAGTTTGTCTCATTAGTTATTTTATTTATTTAAAATATTTATGTAACTTGCCTCGTCTTTCAATCAACTCTGGGCGTCATCCAATCGAAAAATAAACAAGATGGAAAATCAGATTAAACTGCTAAGATTCAACTGATGAAAAAAAATTAAAAACAACAACAGCATCCTTAGCCTCTTGAGCCATTCTGGATCTGTGATGGCAAAATGTGATGGCCAGAAGGTGCTGGGAAAGAGATCTTCCCCTCCCACCCCCAATTCTCTGCTGGCCTTTAGTGGTGGTCCAGATATTTGCAACCCAGATTTGATAATCCTGCTTCTAAGATTTTTTCCTTTCGGTTAGGATCCCGAAGAATTTGGCACAACGGTATTTTTGGATTTAGGGGTCCTTGGTAGTCTCTGAGCTTTCCTTGCAGACGTTTCATGACCCAACTAGGGGACATCATCAGTGCTAGAAGGGAGGAGGAGGAGGAGGAGGAGGAGGAGGTGGAGGAGGAGGTGGAGGAGGAGGGGGAGGAGGAGGGGGAGGAGGAGGAGGAAGATGGGAGGAGGAGGAGGAGGAGGAGGAGGAGGAGGAGGAGGAGGAAGGACTGGGGGGGGTCCTTGATGCTCTCTCTGAGCTGGTTGGTTTCCTTGCAGACATTTCATGACCCAACTAGGCAACATCATCAGAAGGGAGGGGGGTTTATGGAGAGGAGGGGGAGGAGGAATGAGAAGAAGAAAGAGGGGGGAGGGGGAGGCGGCCTGTGTGGGGTTTTTGATGCTCTCTGAGCTGAGTTGTTTTCTTGCAGATGTTTCATGCTCCAACACTGCCAGGGCAAGCTATTGCAAATCCCACTTTTAGCACTGGTGACTTTACCAAGTTGGGTCATGAAACATCTACAAGAAAACAACTCAGCTCAGAGCTCCTCCTCCTCCTCCTGCTCCTCCCTGTAACCCCCCTCCTTCTAGCATGGATGATGTTCCCTAGTTGGGTCACGAAACGTCTGCAAGAAAAAACACCAATCTTAGAGGGCACCCTACAGTCCTCCTCTCCTCCTCCTCCTCCTCCTCCTCCTCCTCCTCTCCGCACACCCCACTTCCTTTAGCACTGATGATGCTCTCTAGTTGGGTCATGAAACGTCTGCAAGAAAACCTCCAACCTCAGAGAACCCCAAGGACCCCCCCCCCAATTAATTTTCTGAGCTACAAATATTCTCAGCTATTCCCGGGTGTCTTGCAACCACCACCCATCCTTTGCTGATCCTGGATGGGGTCTCTGCACCCACCCACCCACCCATTCATCCACCCATCCATCCATCTTCCAGGCACCCCCCAATCTCTTCTGGCCTTCCCCCCCCCCCCGTCTTTCTCCCATCCGCTTGCTCACCTGAATCAGCTGGCTCCAGGCAGTGCTGGAGTAGCAGAGCAGGATGGAGGGTGAGCCCCCAAACGGACAGAGGGGGCTTCGTGTGTTTGGATCCCAGGCCATCTCCCTTCGGTGCTCAAGGCTCGGTGCAAAGCGGAGCCTGCTTCGGCAGGAGGAGAGATGGCTCCCCCCCCCTCCCTTTGTCCCTGTCCATGCCCAGGCAGAGCCATTAATTAATTCATTAGGGGCAGGTTGGCTTTCAGACAGCCTGGCTCAGCTGAGCCAGGAAGCCAGGAAATATCTTGTTTTTTTACGGTTCTCGCTCAAGGCAGCAGGGCGTTCTCCTCAAGGAGAAGGTGATTTGGTTAGGCCAGGTCTGCTTTTTTTCAGAGCAGCATCCGGGCGTGTTTTGCAGCCCCAGGATGTAGTTGCAGCTTTGCATTTCTGGGGTGCAGGCGACCACTTGGGGGGGGGAGCAACTGGGCCCTGCAGGTGGCCAGGTTTTAGGCTGGAAAGAGGGATTGGGGCCGTTCGGCTGGGTGGGTTGATTCTTTTTTATTTATAATACAATTAAAAAACATTGGATGTAACGTGACATTCCAGTATATACCTTCTGATCAAGTTGTTCCACATTTTACAATCGATTCTTCATCTATAATTATACATCTACGTTTTTTATACAGTACTTATTCTAAAAGAACATATATTTCTATCTTAACGCTAATCTTTAATCCCAACCGCCCTCCTCCAATCCCTCCAGCAGTAAAGTTTATCCCAGGTTTTGAAATAAATTGATCCACATTTGTCTTTCGATACCATTGTGAGCCTGTCCATTTCCACACATGCTAATATTTTATATAGTAACTCTTCCTCTGTGGCTGGGTTGCTTCTTAAAGGAAAGAGAAGCAGGAAGAGAGGAAAAGAGGGAGTGAGAAAGAAAAGAGAGACAGAGAGGAAGGAAGGAAGGAAGAAAGGAAGGAAGGAAGGAAGGAATAATGGAGGGAAGTGGAGAGAAAGGATGGGAAGGAGGGAGGAATAATGGAGGTAACAAGGGGAGGGATGGGAAGTGAAGAAGGAAAGAGGAAGAAGGGAGGAAGGGAGGGAGGGAAGGAGGGAGGAAGGAATAATGGAGGGAATGGGAGGGGAAGGATGGGAAGGAGGAAAAAGGGGAAGAAAAAGAAGGAGGGAGGGAAGGAAGGAAGGAAACCGAGAAAGACGATGGTGTGAATTTTGATTTGGTCAAATCTCTAGTTTCAAATAAAGGCAAACCTCGACTTACGACTACAATCCATATCAGAATTTCCCTTTCTAAGCAAGGTGGTGGTTAACTGAGTCACACCTGATTTTACGACCTTTTTTGCCACCGTTCTTAAGCAAATCACTGCCGTTGTTAAGTGAACCGCACAGTCACTAAGTGAATCCAACTTGCCCGATTGACTTTGCTTGGCAGAAGCCTCGCTCGGTGATCAGGCGATTCTGGGATGCTGCAACTTCCCTCAGTGACAGGCCCGTTGCCAAGGTCTGAATTTTGATCACGTGACCGTGGGAATCCTGCAATGGTCGTAAGTGTGAGGACTGGTTGTAACACACTTTTTCCAGTTACGTTGCCATTTGGAACGCTTGCTAAGCAAAGGGTTGTTGAGGACCACCTATATTTTTTTCTTCTTTGTTCCCCACATTTCTCTCTCCTTGCTTCCTTTCTCTTATCAACTTTATTCTCACCTATATTTTATATTTGGAGGATTTCAATTAAAAAAAAATGGTCAAAAAAAGAGTAAAATGCAGAGGACTGCTCCAATGGAGTCTTTCACCGTCTTTGTTGCACTCAGGTTAATTCAGCACTGTTTTTGCAGGATGCATTTTTCAGTACAGAACGTGACCCTTGCTTATTTTGCTGTTCCTCTTTCGATGGATTTGTGGTGATTCAATTTCCGTCTTTTCCTGTTTCCTCTTTCTGGCCTAAATTTAGCAGATCAGGACAAAGACAGATTCAACCTCAGTGTCTGCACGGCAATTTTCATATGGATGGACTTCCACTCCCAGAACCCCCCAGCCAGCCATCCTTTAAGAGGGGAGGACTTTGACTCCCAGAATTCCCCAGCCAGCCTGCTTTAAGATGGGCAGACTTCCACTCCCAGAATCCCCCCAGCAACTATGCTTTAAGAGGGGTGGACTTCAACTCCCAGAATCCCCTGCCAGCCTGCTTTAAGATGGGCAGACTTCCACTCCCAGAATCCCCCCAGCCACTATGCTTTAAGAGGGGTGGACTACAACTCCCAGAATCCCCTGCCAGCCTGCTTTAAGATGGGCAGACTTCACTCCCAGAATCCCCCAACCACCATGCTTTAAGAGGGGTGGACTACAACTCCCAGAATCCCCCAGTCAGCATGCTTTAAGCTGGACAGCATTCCCAGGATTCCTCAGCAGACATCCTAAACGGAGAATTCTGGGAGTTGAAGTCCACAGATTAGAAAATGGCTACCTTCGTGCCCTGGAGGGATCCCCCCCTCCTTGCCAAGTGTCAGAAGGTTTGGCAGCTCCCCAAAGGATTTCATGGAGGGCCAGGAGGAATGTGGTTGCAGTGCATTGTGGGATTCCACCCCCCACACAAACACACACACACACACCCCTCCTTTTTTTTTCTTTCCCTTTGGCAGCCGGGCCAACCTTTGGAGCCGAGATTGGCTGAGCTGCTGCTTGCAACACGAGTGCAGGGCGCACGTGAGCTGGGAGGGAGAACGTGCCTTGTGGGTTGCGACCGGGAAGGGCCAGAGGGAGGAAGAGAAGGAGGCAGCCACGGATGCCTGCTCCAGCCCAGGTGGGGTTGTTTTGCTTCGGGAGAAGGCAGAAAGGGAGGAAAAAAGGAAGGAGGGAACGGGAAAGGAGGAAGGAAGGAAGGCAGGAAGCACGGAAGGAGAAAAAAAAATATACCAAGAAGGAAAGAAAAGGAAATAAAGTGGGGAAGAGAGAAAGAAGAAAAGAAAGGAGGGAGAAAGGGAAGGAAGGAAGGAAGGAGGAGAGAAGGGAACAAAATAAAGAAGATAGAAAAGACGGAGGGAGTGGGGAGGAAGGAGAGAGAGAAAGGAAGGAATGATGGGAAAAAAGGAAGACAAAAAGGAAGGACAAAACGAAAGAGGAAAAGAGGGATGAAGGAAGGGGAAGGAGAGAGGAGAGGGAGGATAAGGAAGGGAGAGGAAGGAAGGAAGGAAGAAGAAAAAGACAAAAAGGGAAGGAAAGAAAGGATAGGAAAGGAGGAATGAAGAAAGGAAGTGGAGGGACGAAGGAGGAAAAAAGTGCACGCAATGAAGGGGTCTTCAAACTTGGCAACTTGTAAGACTTGTGGACTTCAACTCCCAGAATTCCTCAGCCAGCCCTGAGGCTCAGCCCTGGCTGGCTGAGGAATTCTGGGAGTTGAAGTCCACAAGCCTTAAAAGTTGCCAAGTTTGAAGACCCCCTGCCTTAGACTCCCTCTGAGTAGACAGGTAGGTTTTTGCTGCTGGGAAAATTGGCCCGTTTTCCCCGACTACGGAAAACAGCTGAAATGCAAAATTAACTGTTATCATGTATGATGCCCCTCCGCAAGGGCAATTAACTCTAGGGATGTGTGTGTGTGTGTTGAGGTTGCTGATTTTCCCAATCCCCACAAGTTCTCCCTTCTGCAAGCTTCCATGGCTGTTTGTTGGTCACCGTTTTGCAAAGTTGAGAATGTGACGTTCGTTCCCCATTGGAGGAACACCCTCCCCCAAAGGCTTCCGTTTTTCTGCCTCATTCTCAATGGAGAACCTCCAGTGGTTCCCTTGAGGCTGCCTTGATGACAGTGTTGGTTTCTTTGACCTGTCTCTCCCCTCAGGAGTGTGGAGTTCCCTTCCCTTCCTTCCCTTTCCTCCCTCCCTCTCCCTCCTCCCTCCATCGTCCCTTCCTTCCTTCCTTCCTTCCTTCCTTCCTTCCTTCCTTCCTTCCTTCCTTCCTTCCTTCCTTCCTTCCTTCCTTCCTTCCTTCCTTCCTTCCTTCCCATTTCTATAGCCATTTCTTAACCAAGCAACAATGGGCAGCTCACAGTTCTCAAATCCTAAAACAAATCAAATCATTTAAGAAGCACTAAAACAATAAAAACATGCGCAAAGCATATTTATTTTGCTTCCAGTGGAGCAAAGGGAAAATGGATAGGGGAAGAAATGCAGGCCTTATCTTGCAAAGGCTGAATTGCTGAAGGCGCTGTGGATCATGGGGGGTGTTGTCCCGCTGGTCTGCCTTAAGGGGGTCTCTCCTGGGAGTTGTCAGTCTTCCTTTTTAGCTGCAATGTTGCCGTTTTTGTCGCTCTCTGAGTCTCTGGAGGGCCTAAGGCAATATTTCCCAAACTTGACAATTTTAAGGCATGTGGACTTCAACTCCCAGAATTCCACAGCCAGCGTTGCTGGCTGTGGAATTCTGGGAGTTGAAGTCCTCATGCCTTAAAATTGTCAAGTTTGGGAAACACTGGCCTAAGGACTCCTTTCATGCCAGGGAGAAATGGGGGGGGGGTGTTTGCTCATGTTTTGAACCTGGACATTTTTGACACGGAAGTCCATAATTGCTCAGAAGGGGAGTGACTCAGGTTGACTCACCTGTGACTCATTGCACTTCTGTGGGACCTCCGGTCTCGTCTCCTGCGACCGTGCAGCAATTTTGCAGCCTCTCATTGGCTGATCAGGTCGCCCTCCAGCAAAGCATGGGGGGATTCAGGAATAGGGTAGCTGGTTGGTGAGGTGTCCTTTGGGGGGGGGGCATGATGAAGAAAAAATAATGGAGGTTTTTGGCTGCTGGCTACGATGTGGGCAGGCAGAGACCAAGATCCCCATAATGCGGTTGGTTTCTTTCTTTCTTTCTTTCTTTCTTTCTTTCTTTCTTTCTTTCTTTCTTTCTTTCATTCTTTTTTCTTTCCTTCCTTCCTACCTTTCTTCCTTTTTCTCCTTCCGCTCTTTCTCTTTCCTCTTTCTTTCTTCCTTTCTTTTTCTTCCTTTTTTCTTTTCTTTTTTCTTTTTTCTCCTACTTTTCTTTCTTTTTTCTTTCTTTTTCTTCTGCTCTTTCTTTCTTTCTTTCTTCTTTTCTTTTTCTCCTCCGCTCTTCTTTCTTTCTTTCTTTCTTTCTTTCTTTCTTTCTTTCTTTTTCTTTCCCTCCCTCCCATCCTTTCTTTCTTCTTTTCTTTCTTCCTATCTTTTTCTTTCTTTCCTTTTCTTTCTTTCTCTTTTTCGTTCTCTTTCCTTTCTTTCTTTCTTTCATTCATTCATTTTTCTTTCCTTCCTTCCTACCTTTCTTCCTTTTTCTCCTTCCGCTCTTTCTCTTTCCTCTTTCTTTCTTCCTTTCTTTTTCTTCCTTTTTTTCTTTTCTTTTTTCTTTTTTCTCCTACTTTTTCTTTCTTTTTTCTTTTTTCTTTCTTTTTCTTCTATTGTTTCTTTCTTTCTTCTTTTCTTTTTCTCCTCTGCTCTTCTTTCTTTCTTTCTTTCTTTTTCTTTCCCTCCCTCCCATCCTCTTTCTTTCTTCTTTTCTTTCTTCCTATCTTTTTCTTTATTTCCTTTTCTTTCTTTCTCTCTCTTTTTCGTTCTCTTTCCTTTCTTTCTTTCTTTCTTTCTCTTTCCCTCTTTGCAATTCTTTAGTCTCTATATCTCTGTCTCTTTCACTTTCTCTTTCCTTCTTTCTCTCTTATTCTTTCTCTTTCTTTCTATCTTCCTTCTTTCTCTTTCCCTCTTTCCCTTTTTCTGCTTTCTTTACTTATCTTTATTTCTCTCTCTCTCTTTTCCTTTCCTTTCTCTCCATCCCCTCTCCCTTTTCACTTTTCTCCCTTTCTATATTTTATTTCTCTCTTCTTTTTTCCCTTTCTCTCTCCTTTCTTTCTCTTTCTATTCATTTCTCGCTTCTTTCTTCCTTGCTTTCTCTCCCTCTGGCTATTGCTCTTTCTCCTTAATCCCTCTTGCTTTCTTTTTCTCTTTTTCTCTATATCCATTCTTTTCTTTCTTCCTCTTCCTCTCTAGTTCTTTCTTTCTTTCTCTCCCTCCCTCCTCCTCTTTCTCTTTCTTTTTCCCTTCTATTATTTTACAATATTTATGTTCCTTAAATCCGCCATCATGTGCTTTCGGTATATGTCAACATCTGCCAGATTGGGATCCCTTCTCCATTTGGTGAGGGCATTAACCTGCCACATGTGTCAAAATGGCAAACGTTGCGTGATAACATCACCCCTCCCATTTTGTAACCTTTAACCCCATTTCACCCCTTTAGTTATAGGCGCTCTCAAGCGGAGAAGGGCCTTTTAAAGCCAATGAGGCCATTACGGCTGCAAATGACATTAACCACATAATTTGCATGATGGCTTCATGTCGCTCGCCTGTGACATTGTGGTTTGTCCCATTTGTCACCAACCTCGGATGGGCATTTCCACCAGCTGGGAAAACGGGTGTCACAACGTGATTTAACTCTGGATCAATTTCCTCTATTACTCAAACAACCCTAAATTTCTCTCTATGGAAATACAAAGAGCAGTGTGCAGCAGCTTAAAAAAAGGAGAGAAAAAAAGGGCAATTGGCTAGATTCGAATCAAGGGCCCAAATTAACCTCAGGATCATTAAAACAAAAATGCTGTAATTAGGTTAAACTGCAGTGATTTATGTCCCTGTGACCTGGCTGACTCTGGTCCTAAACAGGATAAAATAATAGGTAACGCTGTACAGATAGTCCTTGACTTACAACTTTTCACTTAGTGACGGTTCGAAGTTGCAACAGCAATGAAAAAAAGTGACTTAGGACTGTTTTTCACATTTATGATTGTTGAAGCATCCCTGCGGTTCACGTGATCCAAATCCAGACGTTTGGCAACTGGCATGTACTTAATGAGGGTCACAGCATCCTGGGAGGATCACGTGATCCCCTTTTGTGACCTACTGACAAACAAAGTGAACTGGGGAAGCCAGATTCACTTAACAACCGTGTCGCTAACATAATAACTGCAGTGATTTACTTAACAATGGTGGCAAGAAAGGTTGTAAAATGGGGTAAGATTCACTTAATAGCGATGTGGCTTGGCAACAGATATATCCCTTGCAGCATCCCCATGTAATCAAAATTTGGGTGCTTGGCAACTGATGTTATGAAGATGCAGTGGTGGCGAACCTCTGGCACGGGTGCCAGAGCTGGCACTCGGAGCTCTCTCTGTGGGCACACGTGCCGTTGCCCCAGCCTCGCCTCCCCCCGTGACCCCCTCCTCACCAGCAGCCCCCCTGGAGGAGAGTCGGCCACAAGCGTGGCCCACGCAGAGCAGCACAGCCAAGGACATGGCAGCCAGGCAGCGTAGACAAGACTCTGCCCACACACCCCATTGTGCACAGTTGATGCTGCGGGGCGCGGGCAGAGGGTGTGGCCGCCATGGCACTGCTGGGCTGCCTGGGCAATCTGTGGGGGTCCTGGAGGTGGTGAGTGGCCCTGTGGGCAGGCGGGGTGGGGGCGGGGCAGGGGGTGGGGCAGGGGCGGGGCCAGTTTTTGGGCACTCGGTCTTTAAAAGGTTCGCCATCACTGTCCTAGGGTCATGGGCTTTAAGATGGGTGGGCTTCAACTCCCAGAATTCCCAGAATCCCCCAGCCGGCCATGTTTTAAGAGGGGAGGACTTCCACTCCCAGAATCCCCCAGCCGGCCATGTTTTAAAGAGGGGAGGACTTCCACTCCCAGAATCCCCCATGCTGGCCGGAGATTCCTTGGAGAAGCACACATGTCTTCAGGTGGCCAGGCTTGGAGACCCCCGGTCCAGAGGGTCTCTCTGGCCCTCAGGCCGGGCTTTTGAGGGGGACCCCTCTGGAGGTCTGGGGTCCAGAGGGGAGCATGGAGTTGAGCTTCTGAAGCTGCTGCTGGAAGCCTTTCTGCCTGTGTGTCCTGGGCCAGGAAAGAGGCGTGTCTGGATGCGTCCTGGAGGAAAGAGGAACTGGCTGTGCGGAGGTGGAGGGAGGGCTCAGCCCTCCGTGCTCCCTTCCGAAAAGGGTCAGCCAGACGGAGGCTATGTCAGCGGAGTAAACCAGGAGGATCTTAAAAGTAAGGTGAGTTTTCTGGGCCGGTTCTTTGAGGGGGTGTGTATGGGGTCCTCTTCTTCCTTCTCCTCTTTCTTTTCTTTCCTTCTTTCTCTGGTCTATTTTCTCCTGCTTTCCCTCCTCTATGTCTATCTTCTCCTCCTTACGTAGCTTCTCCTAGTCTTCCTCCTCCTCTTCTGCTCCTCCTCTATCTCCTCCTCTTCTTTCTGCTCCTCCTCTGTCTTCTCCTCTTTCTGCTCCTCCTCTGTCTTCTCCACTTTCTGCTCCTCCTCCTCTATCTTCTCCTCATTATGTATCTTCTCCTTCTCCTTCTCTTCCTCCTCTTTTTCTTCCTCCCTCACCCCTTCATCTTCTTCTCCTCCACCTTATCTGCCTCCTCCTCCTCCTCCTCCTCTTCTTTCTGCTCCTCCTCTGTCTTCTCCACTTTCTGCTCCTCCTCCTCTATCTTCTCCTCATTATGTATCTTCTCTTTCTCTTCCTCCTCTTTTTCTTCCTCCCTCACCCCTTCATCTTCTTCTCCTCCACCTTGTCTGCCTCCTCCTCCTCCTCCCTCCTCCTCCTCCTCCTCCCATTTTCCCTTTAGTCAAAGCCTCATCACACATAGTCCACAACTTACACCCACCCTTGGGATCTGAATATCCATTACTAAGCAAGACCAGTGTGAATTGAGTTGCTCCCAATTTTTTGGGCCATGGTTGCTAAGCGAATCGTCCTATCCTTAAGTGAATCCATCTCTCCCTCCATTGACTTTGCTTGTTGGCATGGGGGGAATTCCCGTTTGGCCCCAAGACTTTGCAATCATTGTTGGCACGGGCTGGGTTCCAAGCACCCAAATAATGATCATGTAACTGTGGGGATGCTGTGACGGTCATAACTGCGAGGACCGGTGGTAAGTCCACTTTTTTTCAGTAGCGTTCTAACTTGGAATGGTGGTTAAATGAATGATTGTAAGTGGAGGACAACCTGTATCCGTTTTACGCTTTCCCCGGTGAACGCTAAGCCCACATTTAGAAAAAGTTGGATAGGTAGGTTGAAAGCAAAGAGATGGGGTTGCATCAAGCAGGAGCAGTGGGGTGCACAGATCCCTGGACCCCCTCCCCCCCACAGGTGGGTCCTCGACTGATGACCACAATTGACCCTGAAATTTCTGTTGCTAAATGAGACAATTATTAAGCAAGTTTTGGTCTCTCTCCGTTGCTAAAGGAGATAGTTATTAAGTTTTGCTCTCTCTCTTTCTCTGTTGTTAAATGAGACAGTTGTTAAGTGAGTTTTTTTCTTTCCGTTGCTAAATGAGACAGTTAAGAGAGTTTTTGTCTCTATATCTGTTGTTAAATGAGACAAGTGAGTTTTATTCTGTCTGTTGCTAAATGAGACAATTGTTAAGAGAGTTTTGCTCTCTCTCTCTCTGTTGTTAAGACCCCATTTTACGACCTTGCTTGCCACAGATCTTAAGTGAGTCACCCGGCCGCTAAGTGAATCTGGCTTCCCCATCAACGATGCTTGTTAGAAGGTCGCAAAAGGGGATCATATGTGAAACCCACTGCCCAGGACATGGCAACCGTCGTAAATACGAGCCAGTTGCCAAGGGTCTGAATTTTGATCACGTGACCATGGGGATGCTGCAACGGTCGTAAGTGTGAAAAACTTTTTCCGGTGACATTGTAACTTCGAACGGTCACTAAACGAAATGGTGGTAAGTCAAGGACTAATCTGTATGCCTGTCACCTGTTCAAGGAGCCATTTTATCCCCTGGGGCTAAACCTGCCTGCCACAGCTGAACTCTGCCAGGGGAGAGAACATAGAATCATAAGGGACCTTGGAGGTCATCTAGTCCAACCCCCTGCTCAAGCAGGAGACCTTATACCGTGGGCTGTCCAGTCTCATCTTGAAACCCTCCAGAGATGGGGGGGGTGTTTCCCTGCGGGGAAGGGCAACCGAGTCAGAAATCACACCCAAGTCTTTCCTGCAGCCCCCCCAAAAGATGGGAACCCCATTTGCTGGCTGAGCTCTTTGATTTACATCAAGGTGTTTGGTGGATAATACTCTTTATAAGATCCCCAAGGCTCCCCAGCTTTGTAAATACATGCCCGAGTAATTAATCATTAAGAAAGAAATGGTGTTGGCATCAGGTCAGGGCACAGGAAGGGTGAGGTCTAGAAACTTAAAAAAAGACCTTGCATAATTAATGGGTTGCATCAGGCCCCTTGTCTCACCCAACCCCTTGAAAGCCTCCAGCTAGGATGGACTACAGCTAACCCTCCACTTAAAAACAGTTCATTTAGTGACCAAAGTAACAACAGCCTGGGGAAAAAAGTGACTTACAACCAGTCCTTGCACTTATGACTGTTTTCCGTCCTTGCGACCATTTTCCACACTTACGACCATTGCAGCACCCCTGTGGTCATGTGATCCAAATTCAGAGGTTTGGCAAATGATTCACACTTAACGACGGTTGTATTGTCCCAGGCTCATGTGACTCCATTTTGGTGACTTTGGGACCAGCAAAGTCAATGGGGAAGCCGGATTAACTTAACAACCGTGTTGCTAACTTAACAAATACAATGACTTACTTAACAATTGTGGCAAGAAAGTGGATGAAACTTGCTTAATAAATATTTCATTTAACAACAGAAATGTGGATGCAAGTCGAGGACTATCTGTATTATGTTTGGGCTGCAGTAAGTGTGCCAAAACAGGCAGGATTTGCCGTTTCCAAACCATTTTCTAAACCTTTTTGTAGATTTTTGAGGTTGTTGTGGTTATTTTTTTAAAAAGGAATCCACCATTTGTTTGTCCACCATTTGTTAGTCAGTATGTCCACCATTTGTTAGACAGTATGTCCAGTGGGGCTTCAAAAGCTATTGGAGGGGTAGGGGAAAGAGAGAAAGAAATCAAAATGAAGAGAAGGACGAGGGGGGACATGATAGCAGTGTTCCAGTATCTCAGGGGCTGCCCCAAAGAAGAGGGAGTCAAGCTATTCTCCAAAGCGCCTGAAGGCAGGACAAGAAGCAACGGATGGAAACTAACCAAGGGGAGAAGCAACCTGGAACTAAGGAAAAACTTCCTGACAGTGAGAACAATTAACCAGTGGAACTACCTGCCTCCAGAAGCAGTGAATGCTCCATCACTGGAGGTTTTTAAGAAGAGACTGGACAGCCATTTGTCCGAAATGGTGTAGGGTTTCCTGCCTGAGCAGGCGGTTGGACTAGATGACCTCCAAGGTCCCTTCCAACTTTATTATTATTATTAAAACTTTGCAGACTTTCAAAATGGGCGAGCCTGAAACTGTGTAAAGATTGTGTTGCTTTCAAGAGACAATGTCACACCTCAGCCACACACCCGGGAGCAAGAAGAATGTCACTCTTATGCAATTGCCGATTTTCAGGGACGCCTTTGTGTGCTCAGCAACTTTTCCCCACCTCGGCTTACGACCACAACCCGTTGCTAAACAAGGAGGTTGTTAAGTGAGTGACACACGATTTTCCAACCTTTGGTGCCACGGTTCTTAAGCAAATTGCTGCTAGTTGTTAAGTGAATCACACCCAATTTTACAAAAAAAAATTCCCACGGTTGTTAAGCAAATCACATGATCATTAAGTGAATCTGGCTCCTCCTTGCTTGTCAGAAGGTTTCAAAACTGATCACATGCCACAACTGTCATACATACATGCCAGTTGCCAAGTGCCCGCATTTTGATCACATGATCCTGCAATGGTCGTAAGTATGAGGACCGGTCATAAGTCATATTTTTTAGGTTGCCTGTGCAAGGAAGGGGGAGAATTGGATTCAAAGTCATGCTTTTCACCCAGTCTATTAATTTTTGCTTTGCCAGTTGACATGATTCCACAGAGTTGAAAAACAACAGCAAACATAATAATATATTATTAAAAGCAGATGCTACAAACCATCATCAAGATATCCTGATTTAGTCTGTAAATTCATCTATTTATGTCTTCGCCACCTATAAAGGAATCGCTGCCGTTGTTAAGTGAGTAGCATAGTTGTTAAGTGAATCTGGCTTCTCCATTGGCTTTGCTTCTCAGAAGGCGGGAAAAGGGGATCACTTGATCCCGGGGCACTGCGACCATCGTAAATACGAGTCAGCTGCCAAGCATCCGAATTTTGATCGCATGACCACAGGGATGCTGCAACGGTCGTAATCGTGAAAATTGGCCATAAGTCACTTTTTTTAGTGCTGTTGTTACTTCGAACAGTCACTAAATAAACTGTTGTAAATCTATTACTACCTGTGTACAGTCAAAAAACTGAAGCCAGTATGAGAAAGACAATCAAAATAAACCTGGTTTGATTTTATTTTGCATAAAAGGGGACAGGGATAAACATGGATTGTTTTTCTAAATCCTGTTTCATGCCGTGTTTTTCAACCATGGCAGCTTGATGGTGAGGGACTTCAACTCCCAGAGTTCCCCAACCAGCTGGGCTGGGAGTAGAAGCCCTCCCCTCTTAAAGCATGGCTGGCTGTGGGATTCTGGGAGTTGAAGTCCACCCTCTTAAAACATGCTGGCTGGGGGATTCTGGGAGTGGAAGTCCTCCCCTCTTAAAGCATGCCGGCTGGGGGATTCTGGGAGTTGAAGTCCTCCCCTCTTGAAACATAGCTGGCTGTTGGATTCTGGGAGTTGAAGTCCACCCTCTTAAAGGATGCTGACTGGGGGATTCTGGGAGTTGACGCCCACCCCTCTTAAAGCATGCCATCTGGGGGATTCTGGGAGTTGACGCCCACCCCTCTTAAAGCATGCCATCTGGGGGATTCTGGGGGTGAAAGTCCACCTCTCTTAAAGCATGCCAGCTGGGGGTTTCTGGGAGTTGAAGTCCACCCCTCTTCATCCTTAATCCCACCACAATCCTTCAGAAATATCGTTTTTTCCCCCTTGCTTCCCCTTCCTGAATCTTTAAAGGCGTCCCAGTGTGAACCTTGTTTCTGGATCAAGTTGAGTTTCATCCTGACCTGTTTCTGAAGCGTCCAAGCTTCGCAACTCCGGCCTAATTCAGCGTCTCTGCCTCCTCTCCTTTCCCAACAGGGGTCTTCCCAGGACATGAGCATCACGGAGGTGATCTCCTCACTACTAAGGGTGGAGGAGACCTTCTCTGCGCATCTTGCCCGGATCAACACGGTGGTCCTTAAGCCCCTTCTGCAAACAGGTGAGAAGGGGGACACCCAATCTTGGGGTCCAGGTTCGGGTGCTCTTAATCTGTGCTGTGCAATGGGTCGTGCCTGGCAGAATGGGTTCGAATTTACCGTGGGAAATTCAAGATAACAACTGCAGGCGGTCCTTGACTTAAGACCTCATTGAGGCCCTCATTTCCATTGCTAAGCGAGACAGTTGTTGATATGTTTTGCTCTGTTTTAGGACATTTCTTGCCACCGATGTTAAGGGAATCGCAGCCGTCATTAAGTGAGTCACACGGTCGTTAAGTGAATCTGACTTTCCCCATTGACTTTGCTTGTCAGAAAGTTGCATGTGACGCCAGGGATGGTGTGACCGTCGTAAATACAAGTCAGTTTCCAAGCGTCTGAACTTTGATGGTGTGAACACGGAGATGCTGTGACGGTTGTAAGTGTGAAAAATGGTTATATGATTTTTTTTCAGTTGTGGTCATAAGCTACTTGAAAAATAGCTGTGCCCTCAGGCATTTAACTTGAATTAGACACAAAATTTCTCAGTTTTATATAGCACTGAGTCCAGTTCTGGCCCACAAGAAAAAGGAAAAAAACAAACTTTAATTTTGAGGTCAATATATCATCAGGATAACATTCTGTCTGATGCATTAGCCACATCACCGCTAAACTTCAAGTACTCCTCAAGTTACAAGTCCTCGTTTAGTGACTGTTTGAAGTTAGAACTGCCCTGAAAAAAATAACTTACAATTGTTTTTCACACTTATGACCGTTGCAGCATCTCCAGGGTCACGTGATCAAAAATTCAGATGCTTGGCAACTGACTCGTACTTATGACAGTTGCTGTCTCCCAAGGGTCACGTGATCCCCTTTTGCGACCTTCTAACAAGCACAGTAATGGGGACACCAGATTCACTTAACAACTGTGTTACTTAACAACAGCAGGGATTCATTTAACAACTGTGGCAAAAAAGCTCGTCAAATGGATCAAAACTCACTTAATAAATGTTTCGTTTAGCAACAGAAACGTTGGGCTCAAATGTGGTCGTAAGTCAAGGACTAATTTGTATCCGAGATCACCAAATTGCATTATTTCAGGATGATTAAACCATTTTTCCAACCAGACTATTTCACCTTATGGGTAACTCCGATTTTTATCTTAAAAGGGTCTTTGGAGAACATAAAGTTCTTTCCCTTATTAAATGACCACTTCCAAGTGATCTGGCATCTGACGGAGGCGAATTACAGGACATTAAAGGAGACGTACAGCACTTCCGAATCTGTTGACTTTCCGGACATCTATCTCATTTGCAAAGCGGACTCGTTCCTGAATGCTTATATCCAGTGAGTACTACAAAGCTCATCTTGCGAACAGATATGGATGCTGGCCCTCTTTTCATTATTCAGGATTTTTTAAATTAATTTAATCCAAGCGTAAAACACAAAAATATAAGGAAAGATGAAGGTCAGGGGATTCTGGGAGTTGAAGTCCTCCCCTCTTAAAGCATGCTGACTGGGGGATTCTGGGAGTTGAAGTCCTCCCCTCTTACAGCATGGCTGACTGGGGGATTCTGGGAGTTGAAGTCCTCCCCTCTTAAAGCTTGGCTGGCTGGAGGATTCTGGGAATTAAAATCCTCCTCCTAAGGTATGCCAGCTGGGGGATTCTGGGAGTTGAAGTCCTCCCCTCTTAAAGCATCCTGGCTGGGGGATTCTGGGAGTGGAAATGCTCCCCTCTTAAAGCATGGCTGGCTGGGGGATTCTGGGAGTTATTGGTTACAGCAATAACCCAGTGTCTTTGTTTAACTCACAGATACTTTTTCACATTTGGTACTTGCGTCGTGGTGCAAGATTTCGAACAGGCCGCTCGGAGTAAAAAGTGAGTAGCGCAGGACAACAATTAATCAATTGGCCTGCAAAATTAAAAATGCTTCTAATTTGAATTTAGCCTTTTGGAGCAAAAATGCCCCTGTTGGAAAATTTTTTTTGCAATTTTTGTATTTGAACGGAAGCGTGTTTCTAGCAAAGGAAAATCGTGATTGGGCAAGAATTATGTGTTTGGAGAGGTAAAATGTGCAAAATATTACATGAACCTTTTCAAAGGAAATAAAAAATAAATAAATTGTGCTCTAAAGGGGTTTGCAGGCCAATTTTTTTTTTTAAAATTGATTTATAGGTACTTTTGAATCCTAACAAAAAGGAAATAAAAGAACAAAACACTCACACACACACAGAACCTGATGGTAGAAATAAATACATTACCAAGAAAGGGAAAATTAAGAAAAAGAACACATAACAGCATAGTTTGATACAGGTAGCCTTTTACTTATCAATAGTTCATTTAGTGACCGTTTGGAGTTACAACAGCACTGAAAAAAAAAGAGTTATGATCGTTTGTCACACTTGTTGCAGCACCCCCACGGTCACGTGATCAAAATTGGTGACTGATTCGCATTTATGACGGTCGCACAGTGTCCCGGGGTCACGTGATCCCCTTTTGCAACCTTGTGACAAGCAAAGTCAATGGGGGAAGCCAGATTCACTTAACAACTGTGTGTGACCCACTTAACAACTGCGGTAATTCATTTAACAACCGTGCCAGGAAAGGTTCTCTATAGGCTTCATGGCAAAAATTTCTGCTGGTTGAGGAATCTCAGGATTTGTGGGGAAGGGGCCTTTTTTCAAAAACTCTGAACTTTCTTGAGATCATTTCCAGTTTGACAGCTCCATGGTCTTGCTGGTTCTTTGTGATTGCAGTGACATCTGGAGGTTGCAAAAACCAGCCCTGCAGGAATTCCTTGCTGACTTCTCACTGGATACCTGTCTGGCAATGGGGCTCCACACGGTGTTGCAGAAGCCGTTCCGAGACCACCTACAGCAATATGCCTGTGTCCTTGCCAAGCTCAAGACAGCCACCGGACAGGTAGCACATCTGCAGCTGGAAACACCTGTCTGTGGAGTCCTGGGTGCTCTCTGAGCTTGGTGGTTTTCTTGCAGACGTTTCGTGACCCTACTTGATTACATCAACAAGGCTGTAAGGGAGTGCGGTTCTAACCTCTAGCACTGGTGATGTTACTGGTTGGTAAATGAAACGTCTGCAAGGAAACAGGCAAGTTCAGACAGTACCAAGGACCCCATAAGTGTCCTCCTCCTCCTTCTCCTCCTCCTCCTCCTCTCTGCAAATCCCACTCCCTTGTAGCATTGATGATGTTCCCTAGTTGGGTCATGAGACATCTGCAAGGAAAAAAACCAAGTTCAGAGAGCGCCAAGGACCTCACACTCCGCCTCCTCCTCCTCTTCTTCTTCTCCTCCTTCTCTTACTCCTCCTTTTCTTCTCCTCTTTCTCCTCCTCCTCTTCTTCCTCCTCCTCCTCTCTGCAAATCCCACTCCCTTCTAGCACTGATGCTGTTCCCTAGTTGGGTCATGAAACATCTGCAAGGAAACCACCCAGCTCAGAGAGCACCAAGGACCCCACAGTCATTTTCCTCCTCCTCCTCCTCCTCCTCCTCCTCCTCCTCCTCCTCCTCCTCCTCCTCCTCCTCCTCCTCCTCCTCCTCCTCCTCCTCCTCCTCCTCCTCCTCCTCCTCCTCCTCTACACCCAGTTGGAGCCACTCAGAGTTCACTGGATTGCATGAATGGAAAACTCAGGTTCATCCCGGAAGCAGCTTAAACCCATTTTGCCAATGTCCGCCTTGACTCGGAAAAAGTTGGGAGCTGAGCCAGCTCCGTTTCTACTTTTCTTCCCACAGAGCTTAGAGGCAGAAAAAATCTCGGAGGCCTCCGAAAAGTTTGCAAAGCTCCGTTCGTGCCTCAGCCGGATCCTGGACGAAGCCTGCCTCACTGCCAGGTTGTGGAAGTCCATGGGGGCTAAGTGCACGGTGCGTTCTTCAGAACGGATGGATGTAATAAGTAATAATAATAATAAAGTTGGAAGGGACCTTGGAGGTCATCTAGCCCAACCCCCTGCTGAGGGAGGAAACCCTGCACCATTTTGCACTAATGGCTGTCCAGTCTCTTCTTAAAAGCCTCCAGTGTTGGAGCATTCACTGGATGATTCAGGATGATTCAGGTGTCCCAGCGAAATGGCCATTAGGATCCCAGACCAAATGTCATTTTTCCCCATTAAACCTCTCAGCCATAAATACCAACAGATCTATAACTCAGACACACCCAAAACCAGAAATATCGATTACAAAATTTATCTATCTATCTATCTATCTATCTATCTATCTATCTATCTATCTATCTATCTATCTTTGGTTATTCGGGTTTTCTCCCGCATCAAATTGAAAGTGTCTTGGTGACGTTTCGACGAAGTCCCATTCGTCATCTTCAGGCTGGTGCTTTCAGCTTCGTGCTTCTAGAAGCAGCTAAGACCACACCTTGCTCCTCAAAGCACGAAGCTGAAAACACCAGCCTGAAGATGACGAATGGGACTTCGTCGAAACGTTGCCAAGACACTTCCAATTTTACGCGGGAGAAAACCCAAACAACCAAAGACCTACATACAAACACCCGTGAAAACCTCAGAAAACACACACATATATATATATATATATATATATATATATTTCGGGTTTTCTCCCGCGTAAAATTGGAAGTGTCTTGGCAACGTTTCGACGAAGTCCCATTCGTCATCTTCAGGCTGGTGTTTTAGCTTCGTGCTTTGAGGAGCAAGGTGTGGTCTTAGCTGCTTCTAGAAGCACGAAGCCGAAAGCACCAGCCTGAAGATGACGAATGGGACTTCGTCGAAATGTCGCCAAGACACTTCCAAGTTTACGTGGGAGAAAACCCGAACAACCAAAGACCTACACACACACACACACACACACACACACACACAGATATGTTTTCTGAGGTTTTCATGGGTGTTTGTATGTAGGTCTTCTGCCGCGGGAGAAAACCCAAATAACCAAAGACCTATATATAAACACCCGCGGAAGCCTCAGATAATATGTTTGTGTGTGTGTGTGTGTGTGTGTGTGTGTGTGTGTGTGTACAGGGGGTGCTCAGGTTACACCCTCAATTGAACCCAAAATTTCCGTTGCTAAGCAAGAATGATTGTTAAGTGAATTCTGCTCCATTTAATGACCTGGCTTGCCACGGAGGTTAAGTGAATCGCTGTAGTTGGTAAGTTCATCACACGGTCGTTAAGTGAATCTGGCTTCCCCATTATTTGTCAGAAGGTCGCAAAAGGGATCACGTGTCCCCGGGATGCTTCAACCCGTCATAAATATGAGGCACTTATCCCAATTTCTATCACGTGATCACGAAGGGGGAGGCTGCAACGGTCGTAAGTGTGAAAAATGATCATAAATCACTTTTTTTCAGTGCCGTTGTAACTTTGAATGGTCAATAAATGAAGTGTCGTAAGTTGAGGACTGCCTGTATCTCTCTCCCTTGCAGGAGGCCCTTTGCACCCCAGAGAGACGGTTGCTGGAGGACAGCGAAAACCTCCACATCTGTGCCCGCCCTGGCAGAGCGGACCGCGTCCTGCTCTTCAACGACATCCTGGTGCTGATGCAGGTAAGGCGGCGAGGCGGATTCCAGGTGCTGTGAAGTGGAGCGTTGCCTTCCACAGGACCGCAACATCCCGGTGATTTACGTATTTAGTTTTATTCCTGTATTATTCTTTAGCAATCACTCAAAGGATAGAACTTACTTTCCTCCTCCTATTTTCGAAACAACAGCCTTGTGAGGTGGGTTGGGTTGAGAGAGAGGGAGAGAGGGAGAGAAAGAATGAGAGGGAGAATGAGAGCGAGAAAGGGAGGGAGGGAGAGAGAGAGAGAGAGAAAGGGAGAAAGAGAGAGAAAGAGTGAGAGGGAAAGAAAGAGAAAGAAGGAGAGGGAGAGAAAATGAAAGAATGAGAGAGAGAATGAGACAGAAAGAGCGAGAGGGAGAGAAATAGAAAGGGGGAGAGAATGAGAATGAGAGAGAGAAAGGGAGGGAGGGAGAGAGAGAGAAAGGGAGAAAGAGAAAGAGTGAGGGGAAGAAAGAGAGAAAGAAGGAGAGGGAGAGAAAAAGAATGAGAGGGAGAAGGAGAGAAAGGGAGGGAGGGAGGGAGAAAGAGAATGAGACAGAAAGAGTGAGAGGGAGAGAGAGAGAAAGGGAGGGAGGGAGAGAGAAAAAGAATGAGGGAGAAAGCAAGAGGGAGAGAAAGAGAGTGAGAGAGAAGGGGAGGGAAGGAGGGAGGGAGGGGGAGAGAGAGAGGGAGAGAAAGAATGGGAGAATAGAGAGAAAGGGAGGGAAGGAGAAAGAAAGAGGGAGAATGAGAAAGGGAGGGAGAGGGAGAGAGAGAAAGAATGAGAGAGAGAGAGAGGGAGAGAAAGAATGAGGGAGAATGAGAGAAAGGGAGGGAAGGAGGGAGAAAGAGAGGGAGAATGAGAAAGGGAGGGAGAGGGAAAGAGAGAAAGAATGAGAGAGAGAGAGAGAGAGAGAGAGAGAGAGAGAGAGAGAGAGAGAGAGAGAGAGAGAGAGAGAGAGAGAGAAGAACTAGCTTTCATGCCCACAGTGGCATTTACAAACTCACCATCTCCAGGTGATTGGCCCAAAGTCATCCAGCTGGCTTTTGTGGCTAAGGCAGGACTAGAATTCGCTGCCTCCCACTTTTTAGTGTGTGAGAGAGAAAACATCCTCCTCCCCCCCCCCTCCTCCCTTTCCCTACGTGTTGATTGCAGTTCTCCAAACCCTGGGGTTTTCCCAAGCCTGTTGTATCTGGAGCACCCGTTTTCCTTCCATAATCCCCGACCCTTTCAAGATGAGAAGAGGGATTTACACCTGGGGCCATGCAGCCTCTCCTCCTGAGCCTTAAAAGAGTCCCAGGAATCAGAAAACAGCTTTATGCCTTGTGTCCCAGTTAATGCCCTTCGAGCAAGCAGCAGCAGCAGACACACGCATGAACGTCTGGTGCCAAATCCAGGGAAACTGACTTTGCAACGGTGTACTGTTGTTTTTATTTTATTTTTTTTAATTAATTGTTCTGAGGCTTTTTCTGTTTTAATTCTCAAATCTTCCAGGGGAATAACCTGCAGAGTTTTGATCTGAAGCTGCTGTGGATAGATACGTCTTACAGTGAAAACGAAAAGTGAGTGGAATTAGTTCAGTTGCTTAAACAGAGCAGAGGAAAAAAATTATCTCGTTCTCCACTTATTTACCTGGGGAAAATTTAGTATCTTTCACAGTAGTCCTCAACATACAACTGTTTGTTTAGTAACAATACAGCAGCACTGAAAGAGTTGACTTATGACAGCACATACAGGTCATCATCTCCGACTTATGGCAACAATTTAGACCAAAACTGCTGTTGCTAAATGAGACAACTAAGTGCGTTTGGCTCCATTTTCCGATTGTTCTTGCCACAGTTAAGTGAATCATTACAGTTGTTAAGTGAGTCATGTAGTTGTTAAATGAATCTGGCTTCCCCCATTGATTTTGCTTGTCAGAAGGTCACAAAAGGGATCACATGACCCCGGGACACTGCAACGGTCATAAGTGTGAATCAAAGGCCAAGTATCCGAATTTTGATCATGTGACCATAGTACGAAAAATGGTCATAAGTCACTTTTTTCAGGGCAGTTATAAGTTTGGACTGTCATTAAGCGAATGGGTTGTAACTTGAGGATTATCTGTATGTGGGAGGAGAAGAGCGGGAGGACAAATTGAGGGGTCCTCAATAATAAGACCACCTTCATTGACCCAGGTGTTTCCTTATGTTTACACTAGGGGTCCCCAGCCTATGGGCCACAGCCCGGGGTCAGTGGGCCTCAGAAAAGGCATTCTCCCCCACTTGCGCTAGCGCCCACGGCCCCGTTTGAGCATGTGTGTGGGTGCGAACGGGCCCCTAGCGTGGGGCGGGTGTGTGGGCCATTTGCGCCTGCGTGCAACGGGCCGCTAGCGTCGGTGCGGGTTTGCATGGCTGTTCATGTATGTGCACGGCACCAGCGCATGCCGCATGCATGACCAAGGCTGCTGGTGCTGTGCCACTACGGGTGGCCCTGTTTGTGTGTGTCCATATGCGTGCACCAATTCTCTGATCCGCAAGCCAGGAAAGGTTGGAGATGTCTGATTTACATCAGGGTTCCCCAACCTTTTCAGCTTGGTGCCGGAAGGAAAGGAAGCAGAAGGAGAATGTGTGCGTGTGCAGCCTGCGTGCACATGCGCAAATAGGTGCGTGCACAATGGTGGCAATAGCCTGCACATGCATGCACAAGTGGGCCACGCGTATCCGTGATGCACTTGTTGGCCATGCGCATGTGCAAATAGGCCACACAGGCCACTCACAATCTCCTGCTGATTGGCCCGAATCACCCAGTCACTTTTCGTGCTTAAGGCAGGACTAGAATTCACCATCTCCTGGTGATTGGGCCAAAGTCACCCAGCCAGTTTTCGTGCCTAAGGCAGAACTAGAACTCTCCACCTCCTGGTGATTGGCCCAAAATCACCCACGTGTGCGCAAATGGGCTACTGGCGCCCGCATGACGCTGGCAGCGATGCTAGCATCCCCACACATGTGCAAATGGGACTGCTAGCGCCCACGCGGCAAGGCTACCACAGGTGGGGCAGGCCTCGCCAGCTGTTCCCGGAGCCTGGTGGCCAAGAGGCCACGTCCCAGTACCGAGCCACGGACTGTAGGTTGGGAACCCTGGTTTACACAGTTAAAAAGATGAAATTACTTTTAATGCAGAACTTCTACAATTTGTCTTTTTTTTTGCAGCTGTGCTTTACTGATTGTGACTCCCGAAGACAATTTCTTCCTGTTGGCCAAAGCAGCAAAAGCCAAAGTAAGTGGCTGATGGCCTTGCGTGCAAGTAGTCCCCATCTTACGACAGCTCACTTAGTGACCATTCAAAGTTATGACACCAAAAAGAGTGACTTATGACCGTTTTTCACACTTACGACCATTGCAGCCTCCCCCATGGTCACGTGATCCAAATTGAGATGCTTAGCAACTGACTCGTATTTAGGACAGGGTCACGTGATCCCCTTTTGCGACCTTCTGACGAGCGAAGTCGATGGGGGAGCTCAGATTCACTTTACAACCTAATAACTGTGAGGATCCATTTAACGACTGTAGCAAGAAATGGTCGTAAAATGGGGCAAAATTCAGTTAACTGTCTCACTTAGGAACAGAAATTCTGGTCTCAATTGTGGTTGCAAGTCAAGGACTCCCTGTACGGTGGAACAACTACATGTTACTCTTCCCATGTGGTTTGCAAAGATTGTCCAAGCAATGAATGTCCAGTAAATGACTAATTCCATCAAAAAGGGGATCATGCGACCATCGTAACTGTGAGTCAGTTGCCAAGCATCCAAATTTTGATCACCTGACAAAGGGGAAGACTGCAACGGTCGTTAAGTGTGAAAAACCTAATGGTCATAAGTCAACTTTTTTCAACACTGTTGTAACTTTGGATGGTCCCTAAACGAATAGTCGTAAGTCGAGGACTACCTGTAAAGAGGAAATACGGGAAGTCCTCGACTTACAACCACAATTGAGACCAAAATTTCCATTGCTGAGTCAGATAGTGGTTGTGAGTTTGGTCCCATTTTATGACCTTTCTTGCCACAGTTGTTAAGTGAATCACTGCGGTTGTAAAGTGAGTAACACGGTTGTTAACTGAACCTGGCTTCCCCCATTGACTTTGCTGGTCAGAAGGTTGCCAAGCAGGATCACGTGACCCCTCCCGGGATGCTGCGACTGTCGTAAATGCGTGTTGGTTGACAGGTGTTGTCTGAATTTTGATCACATGACTGGGGATGCTGCAATAGGGGTAAATGTGAAAAATGGTCCAAACTCCCTTTTTTCAATGCCGTTGTAACCTAAACAGTCACTAAACGAATGGTCATAAGTCAAGGACTACCTGTTGAGAGGAAATCATACTCTTTTGATGGAATTAATTACAATTTTACATCTTTAGGGCAATCTTGAAGATGTGTGGATTCCTTTCCTTCCTTCCTTCCTTCCTTCCTTCCTTCCTTCCTTCCTTCCTTCCTTCCTTCCTTCCTTCCTTCTTTCCTTCCTGCTGTATCTATCAGCTATCCATAAGCTCTCTACCATCGATCTATAATTTATAAGCTATATTTATAATCCTCCCTCCCTCCCTTCTTTCTTTCCCTCACACCCTTCCTTCCTTCCTTCCTTCCTTCCTTCCTTCCTCTCTCTCTTTCTTTCTTCCTCCCTCTTTTCTTTTTTCCCTCACACCCTTCCTTCCTTCCTCTCTCTCTCTCTCTTTCTTTTCCTCACACCCTTCCTTCCTTCCTCTCTCTCTCTCTCCCTCCCTCCCTCTCTCTCTCTCTCTCCTTCCTTCCTTCCTTCCTTCCTTCCTTCCTTCCTTCCTTCCTTCCTTCCTTCCTTCCTTCCTTCTTTCTTTCTTTCTTTCATCCGCCCTTCTCCTATCCCCCTCTCTAGGTGGTGTGGCAGTGGAAGATCAACCGGGCGGTGGGCCAGGCCTTGCAGGACAAGAGGGATCTCCCGTTGTGGGGTGACACGGGCAAAGGCCCAAAATCCGACCCCCCTCTCTGCCGCTGCGCCAGCTTCACATTCAGGACTGAAGAACGGTTGAGGAGTGCCACCTACGAGGGGGAGTGGTGCCTTGGGAAACCGCATGGAAAGTAAGTCCCTTCGCCGGGTGGCTGGAAAGCCCCGATTAATTAAAGCTCAGATTTAATTAATGGCTTTAATCGGTCTCTTCTCTTTGCAGAGGGAAGCTGACGTGGCCCAATGGCCAGAATTATGCTGGAGATTTCAAGAAAGGCTTCGAAAATGGGTGAGTGGCTTTACCTGGTGAATTGCCGACTTACGGGGGGACTATTTTGAGTGGCAGGTTGCTTGGTCTCTCTCGAGCCCAGCGTGCAATGCCCAGATTTGTCTGTTGGGTAGATCCAGGCCTAAAATCCACTTGACCTTGTGAGGGTTTGGCAGGTAAGCAGGTTTGGGCCAAATCGGGCTTTGGATGGGAGACCACCAGGAAACCCTGGAGGCAAGAGACAAAACCAAGAGGCTAAAAAACATAAATCCCACTAAATCAGTGGTTCTCAACCAGTGGGTCGGGACCCCATTTGGGGTCGAACGACCATTTCACGGGGGTCGCCAAACAACGCAGTCCGCCATTTCCCCCCCCTTTTCCTTAGCTGTGCTACTCCCTTGTATTCTATTGGCTTTTGAAAGCCAATAGAATAGACCCTCTTGAATAGAGTCTAATTCTACTGGCTTTCCAAAGCCAATAGGAATTGTCCAGGCTGTCTCTGCCCTGCTGAGCCTGCCAAAAGTCCCATGCTGCAAACGGTGCTGCACCAGTTGAGTAGTCCTCGACTTACGACCGGTGGAGTAGTCCTCGACTTACGACCGGCTGGGGTTCACGGCATTAAAAAGGTTGAGAACCACTGCACTAAATTAAGACATAATTAAACTGCCTCTGGACGGTGCCAGGAAAAACAGCACCTCGGAATTGACTTCGTCTGCAAATCTGTTTTGGGAATTCTTGCACACTTACATACAGCTAGTTCTCGACTTATGGCCATCCATTTAATAACCACTCGAAGTTACGACAGTGCTGAGAAAAGTGACTTACAGCCAGTCGTCTCATTTGAGACCATTGCATGATCAAAATTCAGACATTTGGCAAATGGTTCATATTTATGACGGTCGCAGTGTCCCGGATTCAAGTGAACTTCTTTTGCGACAAGCAAAGTCAACAGGGAATCCAGATTTACTCAACAACCTTGTTACTAGCTTAACATCTGCAGTGATTCACTTAACAACAGTGGCAAGCAAGGTTGTAAAATGGGGCACAACTATTTAACAACTCTCTCACTTAGCAACACAAATTTTGGGCTCAATTGTGGTCATAAGTCAAGGATTGCCTGTACTGGATGTGGTGGAGCATTGAGGATACTTTAATTGGGTGCCTATTTGAAGCGGGTTGGACTGGATGACCTTCAGGGCTTTTTCCAGTTCCAGAATAATGAGATTTCCTCACTATAAGTCAATGCCAGCATTTCTCTCTAACATCTTTTCTTCTGGGTTTCAGGTTTGGGATCTGCTTGATCCCTCAAGAATCCAAGGACCACTACAACTGCTACAAATGCCACTGGAGGGATGGTCAGATGAATGGCTACGGTATCTGCGAGTAAGTTTGTCTGAAATGGTCTCCTGCCTGAGCAGGGGGCTGGACTAGATGACCTCCAAGGCCGCTTCCAACTCTGCTATTCCATGATCCTGTAAGGATCTCCTGCTCCAGCAGGGGGTTGGACTAGATGATCTCTGAAGAATTGGGGCAAAAATGGTGCAAAATTGGGTGTGACTCCCTTAACAACCACTTTGCAACACAAAATGTGGTCATAAGTCAGGGACCGCCTGTACTGTTAAAATCCGCTCTCCGTTGAAGAGGTCTTTGTTATTTTTCAGATACGGCAATGAGATGGTCTACAAAGGCTATTTCAAGGACAACGTGCGGGAGGGTTTTGGCGTCCTGGATAGTCCCCCGAGTACCGGACATCCATTTAAATACACAGGACACTGGAAGAAGGACAAGAAAACAGGTTATGGTGTCTGGGATGATAAGGAGAGGTAAGACGGCTTGCATCTCGTGAGTAAATAAAGTGTAGGGTCCTTGGTGCTCTCTGAGCTGGGTGGTTTCCTTGCAGACGTTTCATGACCCAACTAGGTGGCATCATCAGTGCGAGGAGGAGGAGGAGGAGGAGGAGGAGGAGAGGAATGACTGTGAGGTCCTTGGTGCTCTCTGAGCTTGGTTATTTCCTTGCAGACCTTTCATCACCCAGCTATGTAACATCATCTAGAAGACAGTAGGGTTTGTGGAGAGGAGGAGGAAGAGGAGGAGGAGGAGGAGGAGGAGGAGGAGGAGGAGGAGGAGGAGGAGGAGGAGGAGGAGGAAGGACTGTGGGGTCCTTGGTGCTCTCTGAGCTTGGTTATTTCCTTGCAGACCTTTCATCACCCAGCTATGTAACATCATCTAGAAGGGAGTAGGGTTTGTGGAGAGGAGGAGGAGAGGAGGAGGAGGGGAGGAGAGGAGGAGGAGGAGGGGAGGAGGAGGGAGGAGGAGGAGGAGGAGGAGGAGGAGGAGGGAGGAGGAGGAGGAAGGATGTGGGGTCCTTGGTGCTCTCTGAGCTTGGTTATTTCCTTGCAGACCTTTCATCACCAGCTATGTAACATCATCTAGAAGGGAGTAGGGTTTGTGGAGAGGAGGAGGAGGGAGGAGGAGGAGGAGGAGGAGGGGAGGCGGAGAGGAGGAGGAGGAGGAGGAGGAGGAGGAGGAGGAGGAGGAGGAGGAGGAGGAGGAGGAGGAAGGACTGTGGGGTCCTTGGTGCTCTCTGAGCTTGGTTATTTCCTTGCAGACCTTTCATCACCCAACTATGTAACATCATCTAGAAGGGAGTAGGGTTTGTGGAGGAGGAGGAGGAGGAGGAGGAGGAGGAGGAGGAGGGAGGAGGAGGAGGAGGAGGAGGAGGAGGAGGAGGAGGAGGAGGAGGAGGAGGAGGAAGGACTGTGGGGTCCTTGGTGCTCTCTGAGCTTGGTTATTTCCTTGCAGACCTTTCATCACCCAGCTATGTAACATCATCTAGAAGGGAGTAGGGTTTGTGGAGAGGAGGAGGAGGAGGAGGAGGAGGAGGGGAGGAAGACTGTGGAAGGAGGAGGAAGAGGAGGACTGTGAAGTCCTTGGTGCTCTTTCAACTTGATTCTTTCCTTGCAGACCTCTCATGACCCAACTAGGTAACATCATCAGTGTTTGAGGGATGTGGGTTTTGCTGTCTATGCACGTACTAGTGGCTCCCCCTATCTGTGTTGGTGGGAATAGTCTGGTTGGTGAACAACAGCTGGAGCAAGGAACCACCAAGAACACTTGAGGTTGAATTTAATGTAAACGTAACGTAATTTAAATTTAATTTAATTATTCAATTTCAATTCATTCCTGGCTTGCCGGATGTCAGAGGCGAGAGGTACATCGGGATGTGGCAAAACGACCAGCGGCATGGACCAGGGATTGTGGTGACGCAATCCGGGCTCTGCTTCCAGAGGACGTTTCACCTGGATAAAATGGTGGTAAGGGAGTCTCTGGATTCTGTTTTTAAAAAAGGACTATAAAAACTGACACTAATGTTTATTTATTTACTTGATTTTTCAATCCCGCTTTCCACCAATGGTTCCTCCTTTCTCTTTTTGTCTCTTGATCCGGAAGGGATCCGGGATTCTCCTTCTAGAGGACGGCTCTATCTACGAAGGAAATTTCACGAACGACTTGAAATTTGTCGGCAAGGCAAGTATTAGGATGGGGAACCCGTTGAATCGAGGTCCGAGTCTGGAAGACTCAGGCTGTTGCTTAAAGGGCTTTCTTAAGATCGGGATTGGTAAATCCCTAGATAGGAGACCACCAAGAAATCCCAGGTTTGGATAAATAGATAGATAGATAATTAGATATAGGTCTAGATCAGGGGTTCTCATCCTTGGCAACTTTAAGACTTGTGGACTTCAACTCCCAGAATTCCTCAGCCAGCAAAGCTGGCTGAGGAATTCTGGGAGTTGAAGTCCACAAGTCTTAAAGTTGCCAAGGTTGAGAACCCCTGCTATAGATAGATAGAAAAATAGATAGATAGATAAATAGATAGATAGATAGATAGATAGATTAGATATAAATAGATATAGATAGAAAGATAGATATAGATAGATAGAAAGATAGATAGAAAAATATAACTAAAGTAGATGATAGACAATAGATAGAGATAGAAAGAAAGATAAATAGATATAGATAGATAGATGATTCATAATGTATAAATAGATATAGATAGAAAGATAGATATAGGTAGATAAATATAACTAGAGATAGATGATAGACGATATAGATAGAAAGAAAGAAAAATAAAGATAGATAGATAGGTGATAGATATAAGATGATAGAGATAAAAAAGAAAAGAAAGAAAGAAAGAAAGAAAGACAGATAGATAGATATGGATGGATTTTCTTTTTTTGCTGCCAAGAAATTTGTATGGATGTGGGAAATAGTGGTTATTAATAACGAATAGTTAATAACAGTTAAATTGACTAATAATTAATTGACTAATAAATTAACTATGAATAGTTAATAATTATTAATAATTAATAATCTAAGCATTGCCAAGGAACAATAGTTAAGATGAAAATGAATTGATAATTAGTACATTCATATTAACCGGGTGTGTTAGTGATACTGGATGTTTGCTGTTTGTAGATCCCCTTCCCAGCTGCTAAATGCCTCACAAGCACTCCTCAACTTATGACTGTTTGTTTAACAACAGTTTGGAGATATGACGGTGCTGAACAAAGGCACTTACAAGCCATCCTTAAAGAGGTTGTAAAACGGGTCCAGTCTTCTGACGATGCACTTAATGACCGCATCACTTAATGACCAAGATTTCAGTCCCAATTGTGGTTGTACATTGAGAAGTATCTAATAATAATAATAATAATAGTAGTCAAGTTGGAAGGGACCTTGGAGGTCATCTAGTCCAACTCCCTGCTCAGGCAGGAAACCCTACACCATTTCGGACAAATGGCTGTCCAGTCTCTTCTTAAAAACTTCCAGCATTGGAGCATTCACCGTTTCTGGAGGCAGGTTGTTCCACTGATTAATTGTTCTCACCGTCAGGAAGTTTCTCCTTAGTTCTAGGTTGCTTCTCTCCTTGATCAGTTTCCATCCGTTGCTTCTTGTCCTGCCTTCAGGTGCTTTGAAAAATAGCTTGACTCCCTCTTCTTTGGGGCAGCCCCTGAGATATTGGAACACTGCTATCATGTCCCCCCTCGTCCTTCTCTTCGCTAAACTAGACATACCAAATTCCTGCAACCGTTCCTTATATGTTTCAGCCCCCAGTCCCCTAATCATCTTTGTTGCTCTTCTCTGTACTCTACAGGAAGTCCTTGACTTACGACCCACAATTTAGCCCCAAATTTCCCTAGCTAAGCAAGACAGTCATGACTCCACTTTATGACCATTTTTGCCCCATTTTACGGCTATACTTGCCACTGCTGAAACGCAAATCACTGCGGTTGTAAAGTTAGTAACACAGATGTGAAGTGAATCACATGGAGATCACATGAACCCAGGACACTTCAACTGTCGTAAATATGAGTCAATTGCCAAGCATCTGAATCTTGACTATGCTTCAACGATCATAAGAATGAAAAACGGTCATAAGTCAGTGCCGTTATAACTTTGTGCGGTCAATGAATGGTTATAAGACGAGAACTATCTGTATTGTGTCTGCGTCTCTCTGTTTTTATCATGTTTAATATTGTTAGTGACATGTACTTAAGGTGAGTGGCTGTGTAAACATGTGAAATAAACAAACCATCATATAATTTTAGGGAAAACTGACATTTCCAAATGGCTTCGTTCTGGAGGACACCTTCGCCAACAAATCTAGAGAAGGGTGCCAGGTTCCTGGGGTGGCGAATTCTTCTGGAGACCATCAGGCTGTCACTAGACCTGCTATGTAAGTCAGAAGACCATGGTCGGTTGAGATTCTGGGCTTTCCACTCTTCTAAAATCTCCATTCTTGTTCCTATGAGTGTTTGGCTAGGAAAGACCTTGTTTCCTTGCTGATGGATGGCTGGAGCAATCTCAGCACAAACATGTCTCCAAATCCTGGTCCAATGATCTGATCCAGCATTTCTCAAGCTCAACCTTTGAAGATGGGTGGATTTCAGCCTCCAGAATCCCCCAGTCAGCATGTCTTGATGGGCTTCAACTCCCAGAATCCCCTAGCCAGCATGCTTTAAGAGGGGAGGACTTCATTCCAGAATCCCCCATCTGGCATACTCTAAGGGGGGGGGCCCTTCAATTCCCAGAATCCCCCAGACAGGACTCTTTAAGAGGGTTGGACTTCAACACCCAGGATCCCCCAGCCAGCATGCTTTAAGAGGGCTGGACTTCAACTCCCAGAATCCCCCTCCGGCATCCTTTAAGAGGGGAAGATTTCAACTCCCAGAGTGCCCTAGCCAGCATCCCGTTTGGAGATTTCTGGGAGCTAAAGTCCACGAGTCTTCAATGGCAAGGCTTTTCAACCAGTGGTACGGGTACCACCTGTGGTACATGGGCACCTGGCAGGTGGTACACGACCATCCTAGAAAAGGGGTAGTGGGGGAGGGGAATGAGTTGAACTGGTGGTAGCACCGCACAAGCCTGAGCGAGAGACGGCTGGAGCTGCAGGGCTGTCAGGGCTCAGCGGAAGTGCCAGGATCAGCGCCAGGCTCCAGCTGGAGCTCAGCGCTCATCCTGGTGCTTCTGCTGAGCCCTGAAGAAGCACCAATCAGCTGGAAAGCAGCACTGATCCTGGTGCTTCTGCTGAGCCCAGAAGAAGCGCCAGGATCAGCTGGAATGTTGCAGCCTCTCCAGGGTCTTGTGATTTACATTCAGATTCTTGGCAACTGATTCATATTTATGATGGTCACAGTGGCCCAGGGTCATGTGAAGGGACCAAAACCTGCTGCAACCATCCAGCAGATGGGAAGGAATAAAAACCAAACACCCCCCCACCCTACCCCCGCTGCCAATCCTCAACCGAAATGCTCACACCAATGAAAACCTCGGACAGGAGGAAGAGCGCCGCTGGGTGGGCAGGCAGGTGTCTTGCTCGGCTGTGGCTTGGGGGGCACTTTTTTCAGTGCCATTGTAACTTCAAACAGTCACTAAGTGAACTGTTGTAAGTCGAGGACTACCTGTACTTCATCACTTTTTTCCTTTGGTTTTTTTTTGTTGTTGTTGTTTTGGTCATCAAGTTTTTGACACCTTGCTAGGCAACTGGTGGTACTCAGATGTTGCCATATCCTAAAAGTGGTACAATGGGTGAAAAGGTTGAAAAGCCCTGACCTAGATCCAGGGGTGTCCTTGGAGTCTACTTTAAAGATGGTGACCTGATGGTCCTCTGCACATCAGAAATGGTCAACGTTTCAGTCAAGTTTCATCTTGACTCTTTGGCGATATCCTGAGGACACCTTTTCGTGGACCAGGCATTCTTTTTCCTTAATCAACTTTGTGAGAAAATACGGGATTTATGCAGGTAGTCCTCAACTTACGACCACAATGGAGCCCAAAATTTTTGTTGCTAAGTGAGACATTTGTTAAATGAGCTTTCTCCCCCTATTACGGCTTTCCTTGACATAGCAAATCATTGCAGCTGTTAAATTACTCATACAGTCATTAAGCGAATCTTTGCTGATCAGAAGGTCGCAAAAGGGGATCACATGACCCCGGGATGCTGTGCCCGTCATAAATATGAGTCAGCTGCCAAGTGTGTGAATTTCGATCACGTGACCCAGGGTATCGCTGCAACGGTTGTGAAAAATGTCCTAAATCCCCTTTTTTCAATGCCGTTGTAACCACAAATAGTCACTAAAGGAACAGTTGTTAAGTCAAGGACTATTTCTAGAGTCCTATGAACAGATTACATTGTCAGAGCTGATAGATATAGTAATAAGAATAACAACAACAACAACAATAATAATAATAAAGTTGGAAAGGACCTTGGAGGTCATCTAGTCCAACCCCCTGCTCAAGCAGGAAACCCTATACCATTTCAGACAAATGGCTGTCCAGTCTCTTCTTGAAAAGATAAGATAATCTTTATTGTCATTTTTTTATTGTGGGCACAACGGCACACATCAAAATGAAATTTAGTTGCCCGCTCTCAATGTGAAACACATACATGACACACACCTAAAACATACTATATACAACATATGTACAGAGCAGTGGTTCTCCACCTGTCGGTCAGGACCCCATTTGGGGTCAAACGACCATTTCACGGGGGTCGCCAAACAACGCAATCCGCCATTTTTTCCCCCTTTTCCTTAGCTGTGCTACTCCCTTTTATTCTATTGGCTTTTGAAAGCCAATAGAATAGACTCTCTTGAATAGAGTCTAATTCTATTGGCTTTCAAAAGCCAATAGGACTTGTCCAGGCTGCCTCTGCCCTGCTGAGCCCGCCAAAAGTCCCATTCTGCAAACGGTGCTGCACCAGTTGAGTAGTCCTCGACTTACGACCGGTTTAGTAATCCTCGACTTACGACCGGTTGGGGGTCGCGGCATTAAAAAGGTTGAGAACCACTGCTCTAGAGCCACACCCCTACATATACATAACAAATAAATATTAAATACCGTCCATCTTGAATATATAACTTCCAGTGTTGGAGCATTCACCGCTTCTGGAGGCAGGTTGTTCCACTGGTTAATTCCTGCGTGTCACGTTAAATATGCACTGATGTCCATTCGCACGTGATTTCGTGTGAACTGTTGGTTTTTCCCATCCAGCCAGTTGGGTCAGGAGGACTTCCCGGTGGAGAAGCGGTGGGAAGACCTCTACAACCAGTTCCTAGCGTTCATCCGTGCGGGAGGCCAAGCAGACGACGAGGAGTCCTTCATGGGGTTTCACGTGCAGACGAGTCGCGAGCTGCGGAAATCTCAGGAGAATCTCTTCAGCCACGGGTAAACATCCAGCTCGCGAGAAACTAATGCTGTTCCTGAGCAGCAGGATCGGGGCCGTGGGTCGCCACCTTTATGTGAGGGTTAGATTTTGACTACTGCAATAGGCCCTGCGTGGGGCTGCCCTTGGAAACTATCGGGAAGCTTCACTTGGTTCAATATGCAGTGGGGTTTTTTTTTTTGCCAGTCTAGATTTGCACCCAGGTCACGAGCTTAATGTGCTTCCAGGTGAAATTCCAGGTGTGGGGTGATCACCTTCAAAGCCCTACGTGGCTTGGGACCAGATATTGGGCAGGATTGGGGAATGGGTCGCGATCTTTAAATAAAAAATAAATTAAGAGATCTTCCACTTATTGCGGCTATATATACATATATATTGGTAGTCCTTGGGCTTATGACCTTTTGTTTAATGACCGTTTAAAATTATGACTATGCTGAAAAAAGTGACTTGGGAAAAGGTGGTTGTAATGTTGCAGTGTGTGCATGGTTGCACAGTCACAAACTTGGCAGCCGGCTTGCATTTTGGACGGTCGCACTGCCCCAGGGTCAAGTGATCCACAGTTGTGACCTTCCCAGCCAGCTTCTGACACACAAGCTGTCAGGGAAGGACAAGTGTCAGTCATGTGATGCCTTGCTTAAGCAGCGTAGTGGTTCACTTAGCGACCGGAGAGAAAGGTTATAAAATCACATACAGTTACATGATGATTTGCTTAATGACCACCTGGCTTATTGATAACATTTCTTGATCCCTTATGTCCTCAACTTACAACCTTAGGTGGTTGTAAGTTGAGGACTACCTGTATTTTCCCCTTAGGGGTAACAGTGCAGAAAAGTTGATGGACACCCCTGATGGTAAAGCTTGAAATGTAGAGGTAGTCCTCGACTTATGACTTACGACCACAAAAATTGACCCCCGAATTTGCTAACTTATTAAGACATTTCTTCAGTTAGTTTTGCCCCATTTTACGACCTACCTTGCCGCAGTTTTTAAATTAATCACATGGTTGTTAAGCGAATCTGGCTTCGCCCGTTGACTTTGCTGGTTCACAAAAGGGAGTCATGTGACTCCAGGACATAGCGACCGTCATAAATATGAGTCAGTTGCCAAGCCTCTAAATGTAAATCATGTGACCCCGGGGATGCTACAGCAGTCGTAAGTGTGAAAAACGATCCCAGGTCCCTTTTTTCACTGCCGTTGTAACTTTGAACGGTCACTAAACGAATGGCTGTAAGTCAAGGACTACCTGTATGTAGCACCAGGGCAAGTATGAGGCTTCTCACTCACCTCCATCTGTCTCCTCCAGCGGAACCGAAGAAGCGTCTGAGAAAACGGACTTCCTTGAAGAACTAATAAAGCATCAGGATCCAGAAGCTCGACGGAATTGTTTGCAACAGGTATGGATGTAGCACAGGTAATCTTCTGAACTTAGTAATAGAATTGGAAAGGTCCTTGGAGGCCATCTAGTCCAGCTCCCTGCTCCAGCAGGAGACCCTTACAGAGTCATGGAATAAGAGACTTGGAAGGGATCTTAGAGGTCATCTAGTCCAGCCCCCTGCTCCAGCAGGAGACCCTTACAGAGTCATGGAATAAGAGACTTGGAAGGGATCTTAGAGGTCATCTAGTCCAGCTCCCTGCTCCAGCAGGAGACCCTTACAGAGTCATGGAATAACAGACTTGGAAGGGATCTTAGAGGTCATCTAGTCCAGCTCCCTGCTCCAGCAGGAGACCCTTACAGAGTCATGGAATAACAGACTTGGAAGGGATCTTAGAGGTCATCTAGTCCAGCCCCCTGCTCCAGCAGGAGACCCTTACAGAGTCATGGAATAAGAGACTTGGAAGGGATTTTAGAGGTCATCTAGTCCAGCCCCCTGCTCCAGCAGGAGACCCTTACAGAGTCATGGAATAACAGACTTGGAAGGGATCTTAGAGGTCATCTAGTCCAGCCCCCTGCTCCAGCAGGAGACCCTTACAGAATCATGGAATAAGAGACTTGGAAGGGATCTTAGAGGTCATCTAGTCCAGCTCCCTGCTCCAGCAGGAGACCCTTACAGAGTCATGGAATAACAGACTTGGAAGGGATCTTAGAGTGTAATCATAGTCAGCCCCCTGACTCCAGCAGGAGGACCCTTACAGAGTCAGGGAATAAGAGACTTGGAAGGGATCTTAGAGGTCATCCTAGTCCAGCCCAATGCTCAAGCAGGAGACCCATAACAGAGCAGGAATAAGAGGACTTGGAGGGATCTTAGAGGTCATCTAGGTCCGCCCCTGCTCCAGCAGGAGACCCTTACAGAATCATGGAATAAGAGACTTGGAAGGGATCTTAGAGGTCATCTAGTCCAGCCCCCTGCTCCAGCAGGAGACCCTTACAGAATCATGGAATAACAGACTTGGAAGGGATCTTAGAGGTCATCTAGTCCAGCCCCCTGCTCCAGCAAGAGACCCTTACAGAGTCATGGAATAACAGACTTGGAAGGGATCTTAGAGGTCATCTAGTCCAGCCCCCTGCTCCAGCAGGAGACCCTTACAGAGTCATGGAATAAGAGACTTGGAAGGGATTTTAGAGGTCATCTAGTCCAGCCCCCTGCTCCAGCAGGAGACCCTTACAGAATCATGGAATAAGAGACTTGGAAGGGATCTTAGAGGTCATCTAGTCCAGCCCCCTGCTCCAGCAGGAGACCCTTACAGAATCATGGAATAAGAGACTTGGAAGGGATCTTAGAGGTCATCTAGTCCAGCCCCCTGCTCCAGCAGGAGACCCTTACAGAATCATGGAATAAGAGACTTGGAAGGGATTTTAGAGGTCATCTAGTCCAGCCCCCTGCTCCAGCAGGAGACCCTTACAGAATCATGGAATAAGAGACTTGGAAGGGATCTTAGAGGTTATCTAGTCCAGCCCCCTGCTCTAGCAAGAGACCCTTACAGAGTCATGGAATAACAGACTTGGAAGGGATCTTAGAGGTCATCTAGTCCAGCTCCCTGCTCCAGCAGGAGACCCTTACAGAGTCATGGAATAACAGACTTGGAAGGGATCTTAGAGGTCATCTAGTCCAGCCCCCTGCTCCAGCAGGAGACCCTTACAGAGTCATGGAATAAGAGACTTGGAAGGGATTTTAGAGGTCATCTAGTCCAGCCCCCTGCTCCAGCAGGAGACCCTTACAGAATCATGGAATAAGAGACTTGGAAGGGATCTTAGAGGTTATCTAGTCCAGCCCCCTGCTCTAGCAAGAGACCCTTACAGAGTCATGGAATAACAGACTGGAGGGATCTTAGAGTCTCTAGTCCAGCCCCCTGCTCTAGCAAGAGACCCTTATCAGAGTCATGGAATATAACAGACTTTGGTGAGTGATCTTGAGAGGTCATCTAGTCCAGCCCCCTCTCCAGCAGGAGACCCTTACAGAGTCATGGAATAAGAGACTTGGAAGGGATCTTAGAGGTCATCTAGTCCAGCCCCCTGCTCCAGCAGGAGACCCTTACAGATCATGGAATAAGAGACTTGGAAGGGATCTTAGAGGTCATCTAGTCCAGCCCCCTGCTCCAGCAGGAGACCCTTACAGAGTCATGGAATAAGAGACTTGGAAGGGATCTTAGAGGTCATCTAGTCCAGCCCCCTGCTCCAGCAGGAGACCCTTACAGAGTCATGGAATAAGAGACTTGGAAGGGATCTTAGAGGTCATCTAGTCCAGCCCCCTGCTCCAGCAGGAGACCCTTACAGAATCATGGAATAACAGACTTGGAAGGGATCTTAGAGGTCATCTAGTCCAGCCCCCTGCTCCAGCAAGAGACCCTTACAGAGTCATGGAATAACAGACTTGGAAGGGATCTTAGAGGTCATCTAGTCCAGCCCCCTGCTCCAGCAGGAGACCCTTACAGAGTCATGGAATAAGAGACTTGGAAGGGATTTTAGAGGTCATCTAGTCCAGCCCCCTGCTCCAGCAGGAGACCCTTACAGAATCATGGAATAAGAGACTTGGAAGGGATCTTAGAGGTCATCTAGTCCAGCCCCCTGCTCCAGCAGGAGACCCTTACAGAATCATGGAATAAGAGACTTGGAAGGGATCTTAGAGGTCATCTAGTCCAGCCCCCTGCTCCAGCAGGAGACCCTTACAGAGTCATGGAATAAGAGACTTGGAAGGGATCTTAGAGGTCATCTAGTCCAGCTCCCTGCTCCAGCAGGAGACCCTTACAGAATCATGGAATAAGAGACTTGGAAGGGATCTTAGAGGTCATCTAGTCCAGCCCCCTGCTCCAGCAGGAGACCCTTACAGAATCATGGAATAAGAGACTTGGAAGGGACCTTAGAGGTCATCTAGTCCAACCCCCTATTCAAGCAGGAGATTCTACACCATTTCAGACTACCCTTTCAGACCTCTCTTAAACACTTCCAGGGTTGGAGCACCCACGACTTCTGGTGGCAAGCTGTTCCACTGATTCAATTGTCCTCAGTGTCGGGAAATTCCTCCTTCATTCTGGGTTGCTTCTGTCTCTTTGATTAGTTTCCAAATTTGAAATTCACCTTGATTTTAAAGTGGTTTGTTTATTTGATTTCCCAGGCTCTGGAGTCCTCGTTACATCCTTTAGGGAAATTGCTGAAAGCTTTCGTTCTGGTGTTCCAGTCCACTTATTCTGGCATTGGGGCTAACAAGCATCTCTTGAGAATGGCCCAAGAAGAAGCCAAGCACTACGCCACGAAAATATGGGAATTTTACCAGTAAGTATGGCTTGCATTGTGCAATTCCTGGAAATCTTTACTGCTAAACAACTTCAAATAAAAATAAGTTTTGCTTTGTGTGGGGAAAAATGCACACCCAGAAAACTGCCATGCTTCCCCCCCCCCCAAACTTCATAATCTTTTGATACCTTTGTCCCAATGAAGCAGCCAGAAGGTCATCCCCTTTTGACTTAATGCCTCACCTACCTAAATAGATAATATGCTTAAATTCCTTCCTATCTCTTCCTACCTTTGTCAGTTATTTCTCCTTTTGATCTACCTGTATTTGTTATTTACCTGGTCTTTGATCAGGTAATGCGTTACTAGAAAATAGTTGCTTACATGAAGACATTTTCCAATGAAGAAACTTTGTCAACATCTAATGGTTAACCTTATGAATGTAAAATGTCAGCATTTAATGGTAAAAGCCTATGTATGTAAAAAGTATATAAAAACCAATAAACACACAGACTCTCAAGCTGTCTCATGCTGTGACAAGCAGCTCTGCAGCAGCTTCAAATCTCTGCTCAAGACATGCCTGAGTCTTTTTCTTAGCGTCTTACAGCTTTGGGCTATTGGCTTGTAGCTTTGGCCACTTTCGTTTGCCTTTTGCCTGGATTGCGCTCCTAAAAACTTTCCTGTGTTTGTAACAGGAAATATCATTCTTTTGACAGTAGTTCTTGATTTACGACCATTCGTTTAGTGACCGTTCGACCAGCACTTAAAAAAGTGACCTAGGGCTGTTTTTCACACTTACGACTGTTGCAGCATGCTCAAAATTCAGACGCTCGGCAACTGACTCATATTTATGACGGTCGCAGCATCCCGGGGTCACGTGATCCATTTTTGCAACCTTCTGACAAGCAAAGTCAATGGAGAACCCAGATTCACTTAACAACAGTGTGATTAACTTAACAACCACAATGATTTACTTAGGAACTGTGGCAAGAAGGTGGCAAAACTCATTTAACAACCGTTTCACTTATCAACAGAAAATTTGGGCTCAGCTGTGGTCGTAAGTCAAGGACTACGTATGTAACAAAATAACAAGGTTGAAGGTTAATCTACTCCAGGAGTCTTCAAACTTGGCAACTTTAAGACTTTTGGACCTCAACTCCCAGAATTCCTCAGTCAGAATTCCTGGCTGGCTGAGGAATTCTGGGAGTTGAAGTCCACAAGTCTTGAAGTTGCCAAGTTTGAACCTTTTGTGTAGTTTCCCTTCCTTTCTCTTTTTCATTTATAGCTATAAGTAGGAGTCCAGGTTTTGAGCTAAAACATGGTTTCCATCAAATTTAAATTTTAAATTTCTGAGTTTAAATTTCTGGGTGTCTGCTAATGGTCTTTTTAAAATGTATTAATTTTCTGATATTGTATTTTAGCTTTCTAAGTTTAAACTTTCAAGTTTCTGAGTGTTTTCTAATGATCTCTTTTAAATTTCTTAATTTTCTGAGTATGTTTTCTGAGCTTAAAGTGTTTCCGAGTTTAAATTTTTAATTGCCTAGTGTGTTTTCTGAGTTTAAAATATAAGTTCCAAATCTTACATTGCGCTGAATTGGATAAGATGACTAAGGAATTAAAAACAGGAGGAAACAGAATATTATCGAATTCTGAATAAATTTTACAAGTGGAGGGAAATAAGAAGGAAGTCGATAGAAGTGATATAAATAGGGAACTTGATACGTATAACTGTATATGTAATATTTATTTTTATATGTACAGTATGGAATGATTAGACAAAGATGTATGTCAAAGATGATACACCACGTTCAACGTTTTTAAATTTTTTTCCCTTCCTTTGTATTCAATAAAATATATATTCCAGAGTTTAAATTCAACATTTATTAATGACCCCTTTTAAATTTCTTATTTTCCAAGACTTTTCTGAGTTTAAAAGTTAAATTTCTGAATATTTCCTAATTATTTCTTTTAAATTTCTTAATTTTCTGAGTTTAAATTTTCAATTCCCATGTTTAAATTTTCCAGTGTCTTCCTAGCTATCCCTTTTAACTTTCTTAACTTTCCAAGTACTTTTTCTGTGTTTAAATTTTAAATTTCCATGTTTAAATTTTAAAATTTCTAGCGTCTTCTAATAATGATCTCTTTTAAATTCCTAATTTTCAAAGTGTCTTTCTAAGTTTCAATTTTAGATTTTTGAGTTTAAATTTCAAATTTCCTAGAGTTTTCTAATGAGTTATTTTATATTTCGTAATTTCCAGGTGTATTTCTGAGTTTAAATTTTAGGCTTTTAAATTTCCTAGAGTCTTCTAAGGATCTCTTTTAAATCTTCTAATTTCTGAGTGACTTTTCTGAGCTTAAATTTTTAAGTTTCTGAATTTAAATTTTAAATTTCCAAATGTCTTCCAATGAGATCCTTTAGATTTCTTTTTCTCTTGCAGAGCTTTGCTGCAGCTTGCCTTCAAGGTGAAAGGATTCAAATCCCCCCAAAACACAGAAATGAGGTACTGGTGTAGAACTTGGTTAAGCTCTTGATTTGTTGAAACCATGGTTTGTTTCCTAAGCCACAGTCCTATGATGCTTATTGAACACCACACCATAAGCTGGTCACTCCTTCAGTTTTGTTCCCCATTAAAAATGGTTAAAATCTTATATTTTTATGATTTTAGCCTTACAGATTCACTGATGTATTTATTTCTTTGAAGTACAGGTAGTCCTTGATTTCCGTTGATAAGCGAGACAGTTGTTAAGTGAGCTTTGTCCCATTTTACAACTTGTCTTACCACCGTTGTTCAGTGCAGTTGTTAAGTGAGTCACACGGTCATTAAGTGAATCTGACTCCCCCTTGACTTTTGTTCTCAGAAGGTCGCAAAAGGGGATCACGTGACCCCGGGACACTGCAACCGTCATAAGTACATGCCAGTTGCCAGGCATCTTGAGTTTTGATCACGTGATGCTGCAATGGGTGTAATTGTGAAAAACAGTCCTAGGTGGTTGTAACTTTGAACGGTCACTAAACGAACTGTTGTAAGTCGAGGACTATCTCTAGATTTCACCTTGCCTATGGGAGATCAAGGTGGCGTATCCAATATTTTCCCCTCTTGTTTTTTTTTTTTTTTTTTTGCTTTACAATAACAACCCTATAAGGTAGGCCAGGCTGATTAATCCACCTGACCAATCCACTGAGTTTGCTTAGATGAGATTGGACTTGAACCCAGACCTTGGTAGCAATGAATGTGAGCACTTTGCTCTTGCGGGATGAAGGAGAGGAGTGGAATGATGGGATTTGTTGTTCTCCCTCGGATTAGGGACTCGGATGGAGGCTCCGTCCTTCTACCGCTCATCCTTCCTTATTTCTACCCGGAACTCCTGATGTTGTACATGGTCGCCCACGAGAAGCAGGACGAGATTTACTGCCAGAGGATCGTCAGCCTCAGTCTCCTCTCTGACGTGACCCTCCTGGAGTACCTGGAGGTGCAGAGGTAAGTGGGAGGGTCTCAGAAAGGCCCCTCCCTCCCTCCCTCCCTCCCTCCCTCCTTCATTCCTCTCTTCCTCCCTTCCTTCCTCCCTCCCTCCCTCCCTCCTTCTTTCCTCTCTTTCTCCCTTCCTTCCTTTCTCCCTTCCTCCCTCCCTCCCTCCCTTCCTTCCTTCCTCCCTCCCTCCTTCTTTCCTCTCTTTCTCCCTCCCTTCCTTCCTCCCTTCCTCCCTCCCTCCCTTCCTCCCTTCCTTCCTTCCTCCCTCCTTCTTTCCTCTCTTTCTCCCTCCCTTCCTTCTTTCCTTTCTCCCTCCCTCCCTCCCTTCCTTCCTTCTTTCCTTTCTCCCTCCCTCCCTCCCTTTCCTTCCTCCCTCCCTTCCTCTCTTTCTCCCTCCCTCCCTTCCTCCCTCCCTTCCTTCTTTCCTTTCTCCCTCCCTCCCTCCCTTCCTTCTTCCTCTCCCCCTCCCCCCCTTCCTTCTCCCTCCCTCCTTCTCTCTTTCTCCCTCCCTCCCTTCCTCCCTCCCTTCCTCCCTCCCTCCTTCTTTCCTTTCTTTCTCCCTCCCTTCCTTCTTTCCTTTCTCCCTCCCTCCCTCCCTTCCTTCCTCCCTTCCTCCCTTCCTTCCTCCCTCCTTCTTTCCTCTCTTTCTCCTCCTACCTCTTACTCTCCTCCCTGCCCTCTCTCTGTCTCCCTCCCTTCCCTTCCTTTCTCCCTCTCTCCCTCCCCCTTTTATTCTTTCTTCCTTCTTCCTGCTTTCTTTCCCTCCTCCTTCCTTCCTCTACTCCTGCTTATCCTACCTCTTCCTTCCCTCTCTCATCTCCCTCCTTTCCTCCATCTCCTTTTCCTTTTTCCTCCCTTTCCTCCTCCCTCCCTCCCTCTCTTTCGTTCTTTTTTATTTCTGCCCTCCTTTCTCTCCCTCCTTCTTTCCATTTCCTCCCTTCCTCCCTCCCTCGTTTCCTCCCTCTAACCGTTTCGTCCCTCCCTCCTTCTCTTCTTTTCTTCCTCCATTTCCCTTTCCTCCCTCTCCCCCTCCTGCAAATTCTTCCAAATTTCCTTGGGCTCCCAAATGCAATTCGATTTTTTTCCTCTGCGTCCTCCACTTTGAGAATGTTTTATCCTCTCCCCATCTGCTACCTTTTCTTTGCAGACACTTCTGGCCTCTGAAAGATCTCAGCCTCAGCAGTAACCAAGTAAGTTCTCGTGCGGGGTCTCTAACGTTAGTTTGAGTCCCTGTTTGGGCACGCTGCATGCTTCCCACACCTGCATGTTTGAAGATGCCGCGTCTTTGCATGAATGAAAGACCCCTGTTCAGGATGCGGGATATTTCGAACGCCCCAAACCCTTCGATTGGGATGTCCTCAAATGCCCCGGCTCTGTGTGTGTGTGTGTGTGTGTGTGTGTGTGTGTGTGTGTGTGCGTGCTAACCTCGTGTTGTGTTCTTCCTTTAAAGAGACAGTCACTGGTGAAGGATCAGTGCTTTCTCTCTGCGACCGAATGTCTGCAGAAGCTGATGTAAGTGCCAGCAAAAGTTCTTCTAATCTTAGCTTCACAATATAGGGAGTCCTCGACTTATGACCACAATTGAGCCCAACATTTACGTTGCTAAGCGGGACAGCGGTTAAGTGAATTTTGCCCAATTTTATGACCTTTCTTGCCACAGTTGTTAAGTGAATCACTGCAGTTTTTAAGTTAGGAACACAATGGTTTGAATCTGGATTCCACTACTGACTTTGTCAGAACGTTGCAAAAGGGGATCATGTGACCCTGCAATTGTCATAAATAGGAACCAGTTTCTGGGGATGCTGTGATGGTTGTAAGTGTGAAACATGGACATAAGTCATTTTTCTCAGTAACTTCCTTCACTAAATTAATTTTGTAAGTCAGGGACTAACTGTATGTATTTTTCATATTTCGTGTGTGTGACTATTCCTGGTCAATAAATAAAATAAATCAATATTTACTGGCCCTCTCCATAAACTGAGTAGGACCCTCATTATATGAATAAGGTGCAAGTAGTCCTTACAATCCTTTTTTAGCGACCGTTCAAAGTCACAACAGCACTGAAAAAAAATTGATGCGTAACTTGTCCTCACATTTACGACATTAGCAGCAGCATCTGGGTCACGTGATCAAAATTTAGGCTCATGTAATTATGACAGTTGCAGCACCCTGGGGGTCACATGATCACCATTTCAAATCTTCTCAGTTGGTTTCCGACAAGCTAAGTCAACAGTGAATCAGTCATTAAGCGAACACTGCAGTCATTAAGTGAATCCATTGTCTGGTTTCTAGCAGAAAAATCATAAATTGCAATCATGTGACCACAAGACCGAAAATAAAGGCAGGCTGGTTGCCAATCATCTTCAGATGCAATCATATGACCAGAGGGACAAGCGTCTGAAGTTCGAATTCTGATTCTTAAGTACTTTTGGGGGGGTCTCTCACAGCTGTAATTGACCATTAAATAACTCGTAGTCAGTCAATGAAATCCCTCTTTTTATTGGGAAATCATTAAGATTTCTCCCTTGTGCACCTCACTAGGGACTAGTGACTTTTGGCTTCCCTGGTATTTTATAGAATCGGGAGTGTTTGTGTCTCTGTTCACCCCCTGCTCCCTTGCAGCACCACCGTGGACCCCCAGGAAAAGCTGGACATTCTCCAGAAGACGTACGAGGAGATTGAGGAAACGATAAACCAACTTTTGGGCAAGGAATATAATCTTCCCATGGATGACTTCCTCCCCCTGCTGGTCTATGTGGTGACGCGAGCCAGGTGGGGAGGTGCTTGTGTGCGTTGTTGTGGGGGGAACACACCCAGTGGGCCAGCCGGCACCCCGTCCCTGGCGCAGTCTGTGCCCTGAAGTCAGGGGGCTGAAATGGGATGCTGAAGGGAAAAAATAAAACGCCTCTCCCTGCTGGCACTGATAATGTTGCCTAGTTGGGTTGTGAAACATCCACAAGGAAGCCATCCAGCTCAGAGAGCACCAAAGACCCCCACAGTATTCCTCCTCCTCCTCCTCCTCCTCCTCCTCCTCCTCCTCCTCCTCCTCCTCCTCCTCCTCCTCCTCCTCCTCCTCCTCCCCCTCCCTTCTAGTAGTGTTGATATTATCTAGTTGGTTCATGAAATGTCTGCAAAGAAACAAAAGCTCAGAGAGCACCAAGGACCCCACAGTCTTCCTCCTCTTCCTCCTCTTCCTCCTCCTCCTCCTCTTCTTCTTCTTTTTCTCCTCCTCTTCCTCCTCCTCCCCCTCCTCCTCTTCTTCGTCTTCTCTTCCTCCTCCTCCTCCCTTCTAGTAGTATTGATATTACCTAGTTGGTTTATGAAATCTCTGCAAAGAAACAAAAGCTCAGAGAGCACCAAGGACCCCACAGTCTTCCTCCCTCTCCTCCGCTATCTGTACTCCCTACTAACCCTGGTGATGTTGCCTAGTAGGGTCATGAAATGTCTGCAAGAAAACCATCAAACCATCCCCCTTCTCTTCCCCCTCCATTGTGCAAACTCCAACACCCACTCATAAGTGCCCACCGAGTAGGATCAAGATGCGGTGGTCAAACCACTCTTGACTGTTGTGAGCATACTCTGCAGACACCCCCCCCCCAGCCTGACTGCTACGTGTCTTCCTGTTCTGATGTAAGCTGTTCCTCTTTTCTAGAATTCAACATCTAGGAGCAGAAATTCATTTGATCAGAGATCTGATGGATCCCACAAATGGTGGAAGGCATGACTTCCTCTTGACAGCACTGGAGGTAAAGAGGGAAGGAGGGAGGGAGGGAGGGAGGGAAGAAGGGTGGAAGGAAAGGAAGGAAGAAAGGAAAGAAAGGAGGAAGTATGAAAGGAAAGGAAAGAAAAAAGGAAAGGGAGGGAAGAAGGAAGGAAGGGGAAGGAAGGAAAGGAAGGATTAGGAAAGAAGGAAGAATGGAAAGGAAGAGGAAGGGAGGAAGTATGGAAGGAAAGGAAGGATTAGGAAAGAAGGAAGGAAGAATGGAAGGGAAGAGAAGAAGGGAGGAAGGATGGAAGGAAAGGAAGGAAGAAAAGGAAGGAAAGGAAGGATGGAAGGAAAGGGAAGGAAGGAAGGATGGAAGGAAAGGGAAGGAAGGAAGGATGGAAGGAAAAGGAAGGAAGGAAGGATGGAAGGAAAAGGAAGGAAGGAAAGGAAAAGGAAGGAAGGAAGGAAGGAAGGAAGGAAGGAAGGAAAGGAAGGAAGGAAGGAAGGAAGGAAGGAAGGAAGGAAGGAAGGAAGGAAGGAACCTTCCCTTCCATTGTATTTGCAATGGAATCCTTCTTCCTCTACAGCTGAACTGGACGTATAAATTTTCCTCTCCAAAAAAAATGTCTTTTAATTGCTTAACAGCCTTTTCAATCCACTGTGTAGCATTTTCCGAAAAAGGGAATTTTAGTGGATGGCAAAATTCAATTTTTTTTCCTGATGTTGGGAGTTTTTTTCTCAGCATTTATGGGATGTTTGGAGAGGAAGCTGAGATTGAAGTGGAGGAACACAAAATAAACACAAGATTTTTAGTTTCTAATCTTCAAACTCAACTCTCCTTCTTGTTATAGTCCTGCTATCAGCTTATCCAAGAGATACAACTGCCTTTGAATTGACGAACGGCGTGTGACTCCTGAAAGACTACACAACCCATCATGAACAGCCAATAGCAGCTGGAGAACTTACTCTGATAATTCCCAGAAACTGGACTGGACATAGTTGCTGCTATTGCTTATTTTTTTAAAAATTAATATTTGTCTTTCCTATGGGAAAGTGTGTTCATGCTTTTAGGGGAGCTGTCAATTTTTTTGAAATGAGTCAATGATGGGAATTTTTTTGAAATTGACAGAAAAGAGATAGGGTAAGATAGTCCTTGACTTACAACAGTTTGTTACAACGGCTCTGAAAAAAAAGTGATTTACAGCCATTTTTCACACGTAGGACTGTTGTAGCCCCTCCATTGTCTTATGATCAAAATTCAGACACTCAGTGACTGGCTCATATTTACGACGGTCGCAGTGTCCCAAGGTCACGTGATCCCCTTTTGCGACCATTCTGAATAGCAAAGTCAATAAGGGAAGCCCTATTTGCTTAACGATGATCGTGTGACTCAACAGCTGCAGCGATATACGTTAATAAAAATTCAGCAAATAAATTGAATAAATGTTCAATAAATAAATTAAGTAAATAAATTAAGAAATTTGATAAATAAGTAAACTCAGTAAATAAATTTAGTAAGCAAATTCAATAAGTTAGAAAATAATTAAGTTTACTAAATTTAATAAATACTTTAAAAAAAAATCATTATCACGTGACCGTGGAACTGGTCTTAACTGCCAAGCACCCTCAATACGGTCATGTGACCTGTGGGGGGGATCCAACAGAACGGTCATTAAATGAGGACTTCCTGTAAGGAGATTCAATAGAATAGTTTATCCTCAACTTATGACCATAATTGAGCCCCAAATTTCTGTTGTTAAGTGAGACATTTGTTAAGTGAGTTTTGCCCCATTTTATGACCTTTGTCGCCATAGTTGTTAATGCGCTTGATAAATTAGTAACTCGGTCGTTAATGTGGCATCCCCCATTGACTTTGCTTGTCTGGTTGTAAAAGGGGATCATGTGACCCCGGGACATGGTGACCGTCATAAATATGAGTTAGTTGCTAAGCGTCCCAATTTGGATTGTGTGATCATGGGATGCCGCCAAGGGTTGCAAGTGTGAAAAACGGTCGTAAGTGCCGTAACTTTAAATGGTCACTAAAAGAACTGCTGTTAAGGGCTACCTGTATAATGTTTTTCCGTGTTTTTTGTACTTTACCTTCTGCTAACATCTTGTGGGTGTATTTTTTCAAAATCCAAAACCTGCAAAATCCGACATCCACTCTGTTTTAACAGCTTAATGGCTTATTTTTTTCTTGAAACAGGATCCTATGGATGGAGGGAAGTAAGAATCTCAAGATGATCCATCAGAGCAGTGGTTCTCAACCTGTGGGTCGGGACCCCATTTGGGGTCGAACGACCATTTCACGGGGGTCGCCAAACAACACGGTCCGCCATTTCCCCCCCCTTTTCCTTAGCTGTGCTACTCCCTTTTATTCTATTGGCTTTGGAAAGCCAATAGAATAGACTCTCTTGAATAGAGTCTAATTCTATTGGCTTTCTAAAGCCAATAGGAATTCTCCAGGCTGTCTCTGCCTGCTGAGCCCGCCAAAAGTCCCATTCTGCAAACGTTCTGCACCAGTTGAGTAGTCCTCGACTTACGACCAGTTGACTAGTCCTCAACTTACGACCGATTGGGGGTCGCGGCATTAAAGAGGTTGAGAACCACTGCTCTGGGGGGGGGGACTTCATTTATGAAGTGATTTTCTACAACTACTGACATTTCTTACTGGATGCTAAATTCTGTGTGTGGGGGGGGGTTAAAAAAAATTTGCAACAGGTTTGGTTTTGAAAAAAGTCGACTGGGGAGCAGACAAGTTTAATGTAATAAGCACTTAGCTTGTTTACTGCACAGTCAACTTCTTTTAAGTATCAGCTTGAGGATTTCTCGGCAGTTAGAAATGAAATGTTAATTTTTTCCTAATTAACTTCAGAGGAAATTCTGGCCTTTTGTAGAATTATTGACTGGGTTTTATACTTAAAAAAAGAAAAAAATCTAATAAACTGCCTGTGTTCTCAGTAGTGATCTTGTTTATGCAATAGATTAGATAAAAGTGAACTGCAATGTTGAGATGAGTAGAAAGGACCTGATGTACTGTGACATTTTATTGGGGAGGCATTTTTGCACCCCCCTTGGAAAGAAAGGAGAGGAAAAGATGAAAGGGAGGGACTGAGGAAGGAAAGAAGGAAGAGAATAGAGCAAGTAAGTAAGGGAGAGAGGGAAAGACTATATGTAAAGAAAAAAGGAGGGAGGGAGGAAGGAAGGAAAAGAGGGAGGAGCTAAGTGTAAGAAAAATAAAAGAAAAAAGGAAAGGAAGGAGGGAGGGAGGGAAGAAATTGAGTAACAAAAAGAAGGAAAAGAAGAAAGGAAAGGAGGGAGACAAGAACTGAATGTAAGAAGAAAAAAGGAAGGAAGGAGAAGATCGAGAGAGTGAAGGACTGAATATAAGAAAAAAAGGGCAGGAAAAGAGGGAGGGATTGAGTGTAAGAAAAAATGAAAGAGAAGAGGAAAGAAAGAAGGAAGGAGAAAGGGACAGGAAGGAAGGAAAAAAAAAGGACAGAAGGAGGGCAATTCCAGGAAGTCCACCCATCTGGTTGACACACAACCCTCCTTTTTCACCCTGCATTTTCAGCCCCCAACTCAAGAGCAACAGATTGAAAAAAAAAAACCACAGAAAGCGAGAACGTTTAATTCCTTTATTATCTGTTTTCTCAAAGAGCAGTTATATCAAGAACTCCAGATGCTCTGGGAAAACACCCGAGGTCTGAGCCCGCTTCCGCTCAGGGTTAAAACAGGCCCCGCCAGGAACATTTAGTGGGCTACAGCTAAGAGGAAGGGCAGGTCCTCAGCCAGTCCCCATTCAGAAGGAAGACTCTAAGGTTGGGGTGCACCTACAGACACCCTCCTATGAGTAGTTTTGAGCCCTTATAGCATATGGACTAGTAACACTTCGCTGTAGTGTCAAAGCTCCTATCTTATAACTATGCTCAGAGTTCAACCTGTGGCGTCCTGGGTGCTCTGCAACCACCTTGCAGACGTTTCATGACCCAACTAGGTGACATCATCAGTGCTAGAAGGGAGGGGTTTGTAGAGAGGAGGAGGAGGGGATGGAGGAGGAGGTGGAGTAGGACTGTGGGGACCTTGACGCTCTCTGAATTTGGTGGTTTTCTCGCAGATGTTTCATGACCCAACTAGGGAACATCATCAGTGCTAGAAGGAAGGAGGACGACGACAACATAGGAGGAAAAGGAGGACTATGAGCTTGGTTGCTTCCTTGCAGACGTTTCATGACCCAACTAGATAACATCATCAGTGCTAAAAAGGAGTATGGTTTTTGCTCTCTGTTTATATGATTGCCATGCTGCTGGTGGGAATATTCTTGGTGGGTCCTGAATAGCAAGACTAACACTAGATTTAACAACCAAGTTGTAAATCACATCCCAATCAAGGAACTAGCAAGTTAGATAAGCAATCAAGCAGCAAACAACAGCCTAATCAAGGGCACTCCCACCAACGCTGGCAGGGTAAGCCACTTATACATAAAACAGACCAAATCCCCCCTCCCTCCCAGCACTGATGACGTTCCCTAGCTGGGTCATGAAACATCTGCAAGAAAACAGCCAAGCTCAGAGAGCACCCTCACAATCCTCCTCCTCCTCCTATCCACAAACCCCTCTCCCTTCTAGCAATGACGTTACCTAGTTGGGTCATGAAACGTCTGCAAGAAAACCACCAAGTTCAGAGAGCACCAAAGACCCCATAGTCGTCCTCCTCCTCCTCATTCTTCTATCCACAAATCCTACTCCGTTCTAGCATTGATGATGTTACCTAGTTGGGTAATGAAATATCTGCAAGGAACCAAATTCCAAGAGCACCAAGGATTCCCCTTCGTCCTCCCCCCCTCTGCAAACCCCACTCCCTTCTAGCACTGATGATGCTACCTAGTTGGGTCATGAAACGTCTGCAAGGAAACCAAGCTCAGAGAGCACCAAGGACGCCACAGTTCTTTCTTTCTTCCTCCTCAAACCCCAGTCCTTTAGTAGCCCTGATGATGTTCCCTAGTTGGGTCATGAAACGTCTGCAAGAAAACCACCAAGCTCAGAGAGCACCAAGAATGGTATGGATTATTCCTAAAATATACACTAAATTTTGTGCTGTCCTTTTTTAAAGGAAGGGATACCCTTCCACCAAGCAACTGTTGTAGGTTAACATAACATGTTGTAGGTTAGTCTGTTTCCTCCACTTGTCGCTTTGAAGGAACGCCTCCTCCAATCTCCAAGTGGTCCTCTTTCCTCTTCCCCCACTCGCAGCTTGAGCAGTCTCCACGTTTGCCCATCGCATCTGATCAAGGAGGAAGAGAGAAGGTCGGGTCTCAGAGGGACACGGAGCAAACCCCATCCTAACCGAGGTTGAAAAGTCAATTCTTGCTCCAGACCAAGCCTTTGTTCCTGGGGGGTGGACTAGAAGACCTCCAAGGTCTCTTCGAACCCTGTTAATTCTATGCTCTCCTCGTCTCTTCAATTTCTCCAAGGATGGTTCTGCTCCAGGCCTGGAGCTGCTGAGAAGGATTTCAGGAAATCTTGGTTTAAAAAAAGTGAAGGAAAAAACGGGAACCCTGCTGATTTCTAAAGCGTCTTGAACTCAAAGCAGAAAGGCAAGGTGAAAAGCAGCCCTTGAAGCCGAGAAAGCAAACATGGCTTGTAGAAAAAGTGGACACCCTTGTCCACATGCCACCTTGGGCCACCTAAGACCCACAACAAGCTTTGTTCAGTCCCTGAAAAGTTCATGCTAAGCCTGAGCTGAAGATTCCTAACTGTCTCTCTCTCGCATTCACCAACCAAGGGAAAAATGGCTTCAAGCAACAAATAAGCAATTTCTATCCCCCTTCTTTCTTTTCTCTCTTTTCCAAAGATTCCCAAAGAATCAAAACAAAGCAGTGTTGCTAAGAGTACAAGCTTCTATAGACATCCATGTGTGTGTGTGTGTGTGTGTGTGTGTGTGTCTGTGTAGGTCTTTGGTTATTTGGGTTTTCTCCCGCATAAAATTGGAGGTGTCTTGGCGACGTTTCGACGAAATCTCATTTGTCATCTTCAGGCTGGTGTTTTCGGCTTCGTGCTTCTAGGAGCAATGTGTTTCTTCCTTTCAACTGCCAGTGGGGGTATGAACTGATTGGATGAGAGCTTGGCTGTGTTCTGATTGGATGGAAGTGTGTTCTGATTGGTTAGGAGCTTGGCAATGCAGCTCACCATAGCAATGCAGCTCACCATCTCACATTCCTGTGCAACTCAGACTAACCTGAGCACAACAAAGCCCCCACCCAAAGAGAACACTCCCCCAACCAATCAGAGCACAGCCAACCCCCCCCATCCAATCAGCACAGCCAAGCTCCTAACCAATCAGAACACACCTCCATCCAATCAGAATGCAGCCAAGCTCTCATCCAATCAGTTCATACCCCCACCGGCAGTTAAAAGGAAGAAACACATTTCTCCTAGAAGCACGAAGCTGAAAACACCAGCCTGAAGATGACGAATGAGACTTCGTCGAAACGTCGCCAAGACACCTCCAATTTTACGCAGGAGAAAACCTGAATAACCAAAGAACTACATACAAACACCCATGAAAACCTCAGAAAACAGAGAGAGAGAGAGAGAGAGAGAGAGAGAGAGAGAGAGAGAGAAAATGATTCAGAATTAAGTTCTATCGAGTTTGATTCGGCCAGAATTAAATTAAATAACCAGTAGTATTGCAATCCTATGACTTTTCAGCAAAATTTCCTACTCTCTTAAATTCTTTAGTTCACCCCCTAACGTCAGCTAGTGGAGCACAGATAATCCTTGACTTACAACAGTTCATTTAGTGACGGTTCAAGTGGCTTATGGCCGTTTTTCACACTTAACAACCGCTGCAGCATCTCTGTGTCCATGCAATCCAAATTCGGACGCTTGGCAATCGACTCATATTTATGAGTCCTCATTTTGCGACCTTTGGACAAGCAAAGTCGACGGGGGAAGCCAGATTCACTTAACAACCGGGTGACTCAATTTAACCACTGCAGGGATCCCCTTAAGAACGGTGGCAAGGAAGGTCGTCAAAAGGGGGCAAAGCTCACTTAACAAATGTCTTGCTTAGCAACGGAAATGTTGGGCTCAATTGTTAAGTCGTTAAGTCGAGGACTACCTGTACAACCTACAGGGACTCCTTTAGCTTTACCTTCTAAATTCTCTAAAAATTCTCTACCGCTACTTTTTGCACGTCAGCCTCTTCAAAAAAAAGTGATTTTTTTTCGTGCTGGAAACTTTTAAAAAAGGGGTGATCGAAGAAGAAGAAAAAAGAGAGATAGAGAAGAAGATAAATATTCATAGGCAGCCAGCTGGCAAGGGAAGGTTGCTTGCAGACTGGAAGTGCTTCACTAGCAAAGGGGGGGGGGGCTCAGAGCAGGGCGGTGTCGATGGCGGCCTTCAGCCGGAGCAGGAGGGCCTGCGGGGGAGGGGAGAGGGCTTCGGGGTTGAGCTTCTTGAATTCCTCGTTGGCATTCAGGGAGGCCAAGACTTTTGCGGTCCTTTTGAGGTCGAACACGGCGTGAAGCATCCCCAGGCTGGAGAGGGCGGCCCGGGAGGAGCGCTTGGAGGCGTCGTCCTCGGAGTGGTGGTGCTCCAGCACAAAAATGCGATTTTCCCCGATGATCTTCAGGAAGTTGTAGAACTCTTTGTAATCGATGCCGGTGTAGGACTTCATCAGCACCTGGGGAAGGGGAAGGAGAGAGGCTGAAGTCCCGGGACATCGCCCGGGGAGGAAAAATATATAGAATTAAATAAAGGGTGTTCAGTGAGGTTCTGCTGAAACGGGATGGGATGGTTTGGAGCTTAACGGTGTCTTCGCTCAGGCCAAGAGGCTAAGCTGCAGTTCTGCTCAGGTTTTATTCCAAAAAATATCCCGAACTTAGAATTACGTTTAGAATATTTTAAATAAAACCTGAATAGAAGTTGCTTACGGAAGTAAATTCTTTCTACAGGAGCAATTATTGGACATAAGAATGAGAGAGACAGAGAGAGACAGACAGAGGAGAGAGAGAGAGAGAGAGAGAAAAAGGGAGAGAGAGAGAGACAGAGAGAGACAAAGGCAGAGAGAGAGAGAGAGAGAAAGGGAGAGAGAGAGAGAAAGGCAGAGAGAGAGAGAGAGACAGAGAAGAGAGACAGAGAGAGAAAGGGAGGGAGAGAGAGAGAGAGAGAGAGAGAAAGGGAGAGAGAGAGAGAGGCAGAGAGAGAGAGAGAGAGAAAGGGAGAGAGAGAGAGAAAGGCAGAGAGAGAAACAGGCAGAGAAAGGGAGAGAGAGAAAGAGAGGCAGAGACAGACAGAGAAGAGAGACAGAGAGAGAAAGGCAGACAGACAGAGAGACAGACAGAGAGACAAAGGCAGAGAGAGAGAGAAAGGGAGAGAGAGAGAGACAGAGAAAGGCAGAGAGAGAAGCAGAGAAAGACAGAGAAGAGAGACAGACAGAGAAAGGGAGAGAGAGACAGACAGAGAGAGAAAGGGAGAGAGAGAGAGAGAGAGAGAGAGAGACAGACAGACAGACAGACAGACAGACAGACAGACAGAGGAGAGAGGCAGAGAGAGCGAGCAAGCGAGAGAGCCTGGCTGAGGAATCCTGGGAGTTGAAGTCCACCAGTCATCAAAGAGCCAAGCTGGAAGACCCCTGCTGTAGGCAGTCAAAACCGAAATGCGCTTTAACGCAGTTACAACCTGTCTGGTTATAGATACTCCTTAACTTACAACCATTTGTTTAGTGGCCATCTGAAGTTACAGTGGCATTGAAAAAAAAGTGACTTAGGACCATTTTTCACACTTCCGACCATTGCAGCATCCCCACAGAATCACACAATCCATATCTGGATGCTCGGCAACTGACTCACGCTTATGACAGTCAGTCTTCCGGGGGGGGGGGGACGGGTCACGTGATGCTCTTCTGCAACCTTCTGAACAAGCAACTGTCAGCGGGGGAAAGCCAGATTCACTTCATTAACTGAACAACTGCAGCAAGACAGGCCGTAAAAAGGGGCAAAACTCACTTAAAGAACTGTCTCGCTAGGCAACAAAAATCAGGGGATTAATTGCGGACGTAAGTCGAGGAGTATCTGTATTCTGGGGGGGGGGGAGAGGGACAGATTCCTGGTGAAAGGCTGACTTTTCCCCAGGTGCATTTTACCTGGCATTGCAGGTGCCAGTCTTCCATGCTCTCTTTCCACTCTTTGATCTCCCGCTGGACGGCGGCGAGTTCGTCCTGGAGGAAGCTCCACATGATGGCCAAGTTGCAGCCGTTCACCCAGTTGTGGTTGATGGAGATAGTATCTTCCTGGGAGGGGACACGAAACCGGAAATGTTTATCCCCCCTCCAAGCTAGGGCACCTGGGAGAGGAGGGGTAGGTGTGTGTGTGTGTGTGTGTGTGTGTGTGTGTCGCTATGGGTCGACCGCTAGCCTAAGGGACTGAATTCCTTGAAGAATTAAGGTGGGCCCCAGGATGAAAATTCTGTTCACCGGTCCATCGAAAGTCAAATATTTCACCGCAGAAAAGGATTAGGTTTCACAAGGTAGGCCACCTTGCCTCTTTTATGGCTCGTGGACTTCAACTCCCAGAATTCCTGAGCCGGCATGGCTAAACATGAAAACCTCTCCATTTCTCCTCAGCATGGCTGGCACAGGAATTCTGGGAGTTGAAATCCACGAGTCATAAAAGAGCCAAGGTGGCCTAGACCTGGTTTAAAAAGAGAATTCAACTCGTATGGTGGATTGGGTCTAGGAAGACAGGAAGTTGGGGGATGAAGCTGGAAATTTAGGGCTGAAACTTTGGCATAAAAGGGGGCTGGGTGACTTTGAGCCAAAGAGCAAAGTTAGACTTATAAACTACTTCACCATGCTTCACAGCCCCCCCCCCCCCAGCGGTTTACAGAGTCAGCATCTTGCACCTCCCAACAATCTGGGTCTTCATCTTACCGACCTCAGAAGGAGGGAAGGCTGAGTCAACCTTGAGCCGGTGAGACACGAACTGCTGAACTGCAGGCAGCTGGCAGTCAGCAGAAGGAGCCTGCAGTACTGTACTCTAACCACTGCACCATCAGGGCTCAAATACCGGGAGATAATGAGTTTTAATCCTGCCTTAAGAATAAAAAAATGGCTGGATGACATTGGGCCAAGCCTCACAGACAGTTTCTTGGTGACTGGACTGAAGTCATCCAAGTGGCTTTCATTGCTAAGGCGGGACTAGAATTCACCGTCTCCTGGTGATTGACCTGAAATCACCCAGCTGGCTTTTGTGCCTAAGGCGGGACTAGAACTCTCCCTCTCCTGGTGATTGGTCCGAAGTCACCCAGCCGGGTTTCATGCCTAAGGTGGGACTAGAACTCACGGTGATTGGCCCAAAGTCACCCAGCTGGCTTTTGTGCCTAAGGCGGGACTAGAATTCCCCATCTCTTGCTGATTGGCTCAAGTCACCCAGCCGGCTTCCATGCCCAAGGTGGAACTAGAACTCCCCGTCTCTTGCTGATTGGCCCAAAGTCACTGTTGGCTTTTGTGCCTACGGCGGGACTGGAACTCATATTTTCCTAGTTTCTAGCCTGCTGCTTTAGCCACTAACCCACAAACTGGCTCTCTTGCTTTTCGCTTATATCAAGATTAAAAACAGAATAGAATGTCTTTATTGTCGTTGTGGAACTCACAACGAAATTAAGTAAAATAAGCCGAGCCGTGTGCAACCAACTCTGAGCAGCCACAGTTGTTTAATGTGGCATCAGAGGAAACAATGCCCAGAATCTTGTGGACTCTGTGGTGAACCTTCCTCTCGGTGGCCCTACAACGAAAATACACGCTACCCAGCAGCAGTAGCAACCACTGGGCGGTGCACAGATGGTGGTTTTCAGAAGATTCTCACCAGATTGTAAACCTGATGATGCCAACCGCTCGGGATGAAGACTATCTCACCGGCTTCCTGTATGATTTCGACCGGCGGGCTGCTCTGAGCGTAGCGGGGATACAGGGAGTCATTCTTCAAATCGGGGGCCGTGATGTCAAATGGCAGGTGGCCGTGACGGTCTTTTAGAAACTCTTCTTGGCCTGGGGGGAAGACCAGCCATTTCTTTTTGCCACAAATGTTGGCTGACCAGCTGTAAGAGCGGAAGACGTCGGCGTGGAAGGGCGTCCTGGCAGAAAAGGGAAGAGATGGGAAGGTGAGGAAGAAGTAGGTGGACACACTGAGTAAGAGGGAGACTCCGCATGTATCCGAATTTACAGCCCAAATGTTGGAGATGTGGAAATTTAGATGCAACTTATTTCATATTTGGTGGGCTTGTAAATATATTAGAGCTTTTTGGATTAAGATTTGGTGGAATATTCAAAAGATTTTTTAAGAAAAAAAGTTTACTCTGCAATTATTTTTGTGGGGTATTATTGTAGATTTGGATGTTAAAGAAACTAATTTGATGTTGAACTTTATAACTGCTGCAAACCCTTCACTGACTCGTCGCACGCGAGGGGCGCAGCCGGAGCACCAGCTCTTACTTAGAAGGCACCGCTTCTCCCCTGGCGGCCCGGCCGGCTGGCCTCCGACTCACATGCAGGTGGAGGAGCCAGCAGAGGAGGAGGAGGGCAGTGGCAGCGGCCAAATAGAGGAGCGGTGTCTCGGTTCCTAAGACCACCGGAAATATGTGTTTTCCGATGGTCTTAGGTGACCCGTGAAAGAGTCGTTCAACCCCCAAAAGGGTCGCGACGCACAGGTTAAGAACCACTGATGTAGAAGAAGGAGGAGAAAGGGAGGGAGAAGACAGACAATGAGGAGGAGATGAAGGAGAAGGAGAAAAAAAACACAACGAGAAGATGGACAATGAGGAGAAGATGGAGAAGACAAAGAAGAAGATGGACAATAAGGAGAAGATGGAGAAGATAGACAATGAGAAAGGGAACATGAAACAGGAGGAGAAGATAGGCAATGAGAAGGAGAAGATGGAGAAGAAAGACCAAGAGAAGAAGATGGACAATGAGAAGCTGGAGAAGACAATGAGAAGGAGAACATGGACGAGGAGGACAAGGAGAAGATGGAGAAGATAGACAATGAGGAGGAGGAGATGGAGAAGAAAGACAAAAAAACAAAGATGGACAATGCAGAGAAGATGGACAATGGGGAGAAGCTGGAGAAGAAAGACCAAGAGAAGATGGCAATGAGGAGAAGCTGGAGAAGACAATGAGAAGGAGAACATGGAGGAGATAGGCAATGAAGAGGAGAAGATGGAGAAGACAGACAACGAGGAGGAGAAGATGGAGAAGAAAGACAAAGAGAAGATGGACAATGTGGAGAAGATGGAGAAGAAAGACAAAGAGAAGAAGATGGACAATGAGGAGAAGATGGAGATGGAGAAGATGGACAATGGGGAGAAGATGGAGATGGAAAAGACAATGAGAAAGGGAACATGAAACAGGAGGAGGAGAAGATAGGCAATGAGAAGGAGAAGAAAGACCAAGAGAAGGAGATGGACAATGAGAAGTTGGAGAAGACAACGAGAAGGAGAATATGGAAGAGGAGGAGATAGGCAATGAGGAGGAGAAGGAGAAAATAGACAATGAAGAAGAGAAGACAGAGATAGAGAAGGAGGAGAAGAAGAAGAAGAAGCTAATTCTATGGTGGGCAAGCGGGTTGGGGAAATTCTGGAATTTGAAGTCAAGTGGTCAAGGTTGAGAAACATTGAATTAGTATTTATCTGCAGGTAGAACAGACAATCCTCATTTCTTTGAGTGGCCACCCAATTTTCACTCAGAAATGCTGGTGTTGAGTGGATGAGTGAAGGGTAGTCCTTTGGGTGTGTGTTTGTTATAAACTAGATCTATGTGATCACTGACCTGGATGACTGAGAATCACCATAGACACTCAGTTACAGGGTTGATGGGGCACCATTGGAGGAAGACTTGAAGAACCAGGTTGGATGAGAACATCCTGCAGAAAACCTATCTAGGTGCTCACCAAGAATCAACCACAAATTGATGGAACATCATCACAGTTATTATAAACAAACATTTCCTTCCCCCAAGAAAAAAAAACAATCAGGAGGTAGTTCTACCATGAGCCTTTAGGTCCCATGTAGACAAACCGGTAGTCATCCACAGCGATGGCTTCCCAATACTCATTCAGCCAATCAGAGGAGAAATAGATGGGCGTGGTGTAGACCTCCTGATCTGGAAATGTCCTTAAAGAGACAAGGATTATGACAACATTTGAAGTCTGCGCCAAACCAGAGCGTATCAAAGGGCAGATGGTGGTTTAATATCTTAAGAGGACTATACAGCCAAACAGATACAGGGAGTCCTCGACTGACAACCACGATGGAGCCCAAAATTTCTCTTTTGCTAAGCGAGACGGTTAATTCTGCCCCATTTTACGTGCCACAGTTGTTAAGCGAGTAACAGGGTTGTTAAGTGATTCCGGCTTCCTCACTCACTTTGCTTGTCAGAAGGTCAAAAAAGGGGATCACATGACCCCAGGAGACACTGCAACTGTCGTAAGTACATGCCGTGGGGCCAAGCTGACCCCCTGACTGTGGGGATGCTGCATGGGTTGTTAAGTGCAAGGTGACTTTTTTTCGCGTAACTTTGAACGGTCACTAATCGAACAGTTATAAGTCGAGGACTGCCTGCCTGTCTAAGGGTGCTATGACATGGAAGAAGGAAGCACGCCCGTGCAGCACAACCGTGGTGGAATTCAAGAGGCGTGCAAATTATAGGAAGAGGGGGGGGGGAGAAACACAAAAAACAAATAAATAAAAACGCATTCAAAGCATTCAGGAGGAAAACAACAGCAGGTGAAGTGAGTTCATCACGGAAAAAATGCAAATTAAACATGATTCCTGCAGCTTCGGGCAGAAATCCGTGCTGTGGGTTCCTGATGGGGGGGGGCAAATTAAAACATGATTTCTTCTGAGCAAGTTTTGCATCAGGAGCAGGAGCACCTGACGCAGTTTTAAAAAAAAAAAGAAAAAAAAAAGGTCATCCACCGAGGGGACTTAGCAGCATGCCGGCATCTGTGGCGAGCATGCCGCCCATTTTTCCAAGCCGTGGCTTACCTCTGCAAATGCCAGTCCTTGAGATAAAGGCAGCCGCGGGCGGAGCGATAGCTCTTTTTAATGTGTTCCTTCCAATAGTTTATGTACTCCTTGAGTTTAAGATGCTCCTTGGGGTTACAATTGTACTCCTTGGCATCACAGTTGGCCACGGGGACCACAGCCTCGCCTGCAATATAAACTCTTTCAGCCCAGTGGGGGGGGGAGCGTTTTTTCCCCCTGGGTCAGGGCTGAAGGATCAAACCGTGGAGGACCCCTGTGGGCGACCCTGAGGAAAGGTATTCTCTCTTTTTCTGAGTGCTGGGGAGGGGAGGGGAGACAGGGAGAGGAGAGAGGGATGGAAAGTGGGAGGGGAGAGGAGAGAGGGAGGAGAGAGGAAAGGAGGAAGAAGAGAAGGGGAGGAGAGGAGTAGAGAGGGAGAGTAGGCAAGAAGAGAAGTGGGAGAAATGGAGAGGAGAGGGAGAGAGGTGAGAGAGGTGGAGAGGAAGGAGAGAGGAAGAGAGGGAGGAGAAAGAGGAAGAGAGAAAAGGGAGGAAGAGGAGGAGAGAGGAAGAGAGGAGAGGAGGGAGGAAGGGAGAGAGGAGACAAAAGGAGGGAGGGAGGAACAAGGTGAGGACAGGAGAGGAAGAGAAGGAGGAGAGGACAAGGGGTGAGGACAGAGGGAGAGGGGAGAGGAGGGAGGAAGAGAGGAGACAAAAGGAGGGAGGAAGGAAGAAGGTGAGGACAGGAGAGGAAGAGAGGGAGGAGAGGACAAGGGGTGAGGACAGAGGGAGAGGGGAGAGGAGGGAGGAAGAGAGGAGACAAAAGGAGGGAGGAAGGAAGAAGGTGAGGACAGGAGAGGAAGAGAGGGAGGAGAGGACAAGGGGTGAGGACAGAGGGAGAGGGGAGAGGAGGGAGGAAGAGAGGAGACAAAAGGAGGGAGGAAGGAAGAAGGTGAGGACAGGAGAGGAAGAGAGGGAGGAGAGGACAAGGGGTGAGGACAGAGGGAGAGGGGAGAGGAGAGGGAGGGAGAGAGGAGAGACGAAAGGAGGGAGGGAGGAAGAGGGCGAGGACAGGAGAAGAGGAGAGGAGAGGGAGTTTACCTCCCAGTACTCTCCTGCCAATAATTCTGGGAGTTGAAGTCCCCACATCTTAAAGTTGCTAAGGCTGAGAAATATTGCTATCTATCTATCTATCTATCTATCTATCTATCTATCTATCTATCTATCTATCTATCTATCTATCTATCATCTATCTATCTATCTATCTATCTATCTATCTATCTATCTATCTATCTATCTATCTATCTATCTATCTATCTATCTATCTATCTATCTACACCATATCCTTAGCAATTCACTCTCCTGGACAGAAGCAGGCTTACTTCCAATTTATGACGGCCCCGAAATTGCAGGAGCATCTTGAAGTCGTCCCCAGATTTTCAGCCAGGCAGAATCTGTGGCCTGTGGCAAAATCAAAAACCACACACCGCAAATCGCCAACGCCGTCACCACCACCACCACCTCTTGACAACAAAAACAAGGTTACAGCCAATTCTTTTCAATGGAAAGTGGGCTTACCGAACGTCCGCAGGAGGTAATCCAAGTTGGGTTTCCCGTCCGGCGTGACCCACTTCCTCCGGCTGGCCCAGCCCTCCGTGAACTTGGCGGAGAAGATGCAAGGATCGTTGGGGATCAAGTAATCCTTGAAAAAATCCGCGTAGCTGAACGTCTCCGGCTTTTCAATGTAGTCCACATGGTCGTGAGGCTGGCAGGCGGCACCCCTGGTCGAGCCGCTGTACTCACGGAAAAATTTAGTGGCGTGCGCAAAAGTCTCCCTGTCCATTCAGGCGAGGAGGACAGATGGAAGGAGACTAGTCCCTATGAAGTAACTGGACTGGGATGTCAGAAAGTTTTTTTTTTTTTTAAATGGGGTCAGGGAGAAGAGCAAAAATCAGGAACGACGAAGGGAGTAGAAAACAGAGGTCCAATTCCAGACCTTGCTGGAAAATCGTCCCATTGGGCTCGTGCGAGGAAGAGCTCAAATGTTCTTTGCCGTTTGGGCTCCTTGAGGACTAGAATGGTTGAGAGTCAGATCAGCAGGATGTCTGTTTCCAGCAGAGCAGTTTCCATTCAAAGCTAGAGGAAGGAGCAGGATAATTTGGTTCTTGCTTCTCTTTGGCATTTCCTGGAGGGCCGTGGTCAAGGAGAGTGTCTTTCCAATTTCTGGGACCAAACAACAAAACAATCACTTTTAACACCACTTTATCAAAGTTTCATAGTGTGATGGCATGGGGAAGTCAGGGGAATTGCAGGTAGACCTCAAGTTATGACCACAATTGATCCCAAAATGTTTGTTGCTAAGCGAAACATTTCTTAAGTGAGTTTACCCCACTTCATGATCTTTCTTGCCATAGTTGTTAAGGGAATAATTGCATTTAAGGGAATAATTGCATTTATTAAGTTAGTAACATGGTTGTTAATGGAATCTGGATTCCCCATTGACTTTGCTTGTCAGGAGGTCACAAAAATTGATCACGTGATCCTGGGATGTTGTGACCGTCATAAGTATGAGTCAGTTGCCAAGCGTCTGAATTTTCTTCATGTGAGGGGGGGGGGAAATGTTGCAACAACTGTGAGTGTAAAAAAATGGTTATCACTTTTTTAGTGCTGTTGTAACTTTGAATGGTCACTAAATGAATTGTTATAAGTCAAGGACTATTTGTAAATTTTCTAGGTCACCTAGAACACGTTTTCATATATATAAAACATATTTACTTATTAAAGTATATGTATTTATTACATTATTTATTGAATTTATTAAATCTGTATGCTGCCCATCTCTGCCAAGTGACTCTACAAATAGCATCATTAAGATTTTAAACAAGATTAAAAACAGAAGGAGAAACCAATATTAACATAAAGACACAATTTTTTTTTAATCAATGACTCAGTCGAGGGGATAGATGGGGAACTCATTAAATTTGCAGATGACACGAAGCTGGAAGGAACAGCCAATACCCCAGAAGACAAACTCAGAATCCAGAAAGATCTTGACAAACTTGAACAATGGGCCCTGTCCAACGAAATGAAATTCAATGGTAAGGTTTTATATTTAGGTAAGAAAAAAGAAATGTACAGATATAGTATAGGTGGTACCTGGCTCAACAGCAGTAACTGTGAGAGGGATCTCGGAGTCCTAGTGGACGATCACTTAAATATGAGCCAGCCATGTGCTGCAGTTGCCAAAAGAGCCAACACGTTGCTAGGCTGCATTTACAGAGGGATAGAATCAAGATCAGGTGAAGTGTTAATACCACTTTACAATGCCTTGGAAAGGCCACACTTGGAATACGGCATACAGTTTTGGTCACCGCGATGTAAAAAAAGATGTTGAGACTCTAGAAAGAGTACAGAGAAGAGCAACAAAGATGATTAGGGGACTGGAGGCTAAAACATATAAGGAATGGTTGCTGGAATTGGATATGTCTAGTTTAATGAAGAGAAGGATAAGGGCGGACAGGATAGCAGTGTTCCAATATCTCAGGGGCTGCCCCAAAGAAGAAGGAGTCCTGTAGGAAGGAGAAGAACAGATGGAAACTAACAAAAGAGAGAAGCAACCTAGAATTAAGGAGACATTTCCTGACAGTGAGAGCAATTAACCAGTGGAACAACCTGCCTCCAGAAGCAGTAAATGCTCCAACACTGGAAGTTTTTAAGAAGAGATTGGACAGCCATTTGTCTGAAATGGTGTAGGGTTTCCTGCCTGAGCAGGAGGTTGGACTAGATGACCTACAAAGTCCCTTCCAATATTATTATTATTATTAATAATAATAATTACTACTACTACTACTGGAGGTTTTTAGGAAGAGACTGGATAGCCACTTTTCTCAAATGACACCCAAGGTCCCTTACAACTCTGTTTTTGTGTTATTTATAATCTGCATTTCCAGAGCATGAGTTTTTTTTTTTTTAATTCAAGGATATTGTCTGATCTTTGCAAACTGCTTTTTACAAATGGGAGGAAGTGGATCTTTAAATTTTATTCCTGCTGTAGCATGCTCCTGATTTGAGTGCTTCTCATCCCAAAATATGTTGAAGTTTTTTTTTTTTTTTTAAAAAAGATAAAAATTTGTCCCAGGGCCAAACAATGCCTGGTTCGTCTGCAAAATTAATTGAACCAATTGCTGGCATATCCACTTTGCAAGCAGTGACCTCAAACTGTCAATCATAGGAAAGCAACTTTCATAAATCCAAAGCAGAGAGCATTTGTCCTGAAATGAAGAATCAACCTCACACCTTAAAATGAACAGGGTAAGTGGGAATACACAAAATATGACTCACACACACACACTGCTGCCCTCATTGTGGTGACATTCCAGCAGGATGGCATAACCATGAAAAATTAAAATTAATCACGGCAAAGACATGCATTTGCAAAATGACCCACATCATCCCTTCTTCAGACTGAGGCTGACATTCTTTGAATCCTTTGTAATGGGAGAATAGCCCCAGGAATCAGGTAGTCCTTGACTTACAACCATTCATTTAGTGACCGTTCAAAGTTATAACAGCACCAAAACAAGTGACTTATGACAGTTTTTCACACTTATAACCGTTGCAGCATCCCCAGGATCACGTGATCAAAATTCACACGCTTGGCAACAAACTCATATTTACGACGGTTGCAGCGTCCTGGGTCACGTGATCCCCTTTTGCGACCTTCTGATAGATAAAGTCAAAGCCGGATTCACTTAACAGCCGTGTTACTAATTTACTAACCGTGTTACTAAAAACTGCAAGTGATTCACTTAACAACTGTGGCAAGGAAGGTCGTAAAATGGGGCAAAATTCACTTAACAATCTTCTTGCTTATCAACAAAAATTTTGAGCTTAACTGTGGTCATAAGTCAAGGACTAACCGTGTATTTCCTGCAAAGTCAGTTTCCAAGTGAGCATACAAAGTAAGATTTGTTAGAAAAAGGCTTGAAATGTGTATATTATGTGGTATTATAAACCCTATATAAATATTTTAATTATTTTTTTTTATCCTCCCATTTTAAGATATAACTCAAGGTGGCAAACATCATTAATACTGTACAGCTACTTCCTGTTTGCCCCACCACAACAATCCTGTGAGGTGGGCAGGTTGAAAAAGTGGGACTGGCCCAAAGACACCCCTCTTGAAACTTGAGCAAATGTAATCACCTTTACAATATTTTATTTTTTTTACATTTCAAGTTTTAACTAAAGGCAAAACCTTTAAGAAGATTATATCAGCAAATAATTATTACTAAATGTCATGCAGTTTTTAAATTTTTTACCAGAAACGAGCATCTCTCTATAATACTACAAGGTGCCAATCTATAGGTGGCTTGCGGGCAAAGGGCCTGCAGGGGGGGGATGGGAGTTGTAGTCAATTACTTTCAGGATTGAGGGCATGGGAACCTCATGGCTATAAGGGATCAGAGATGGGAACTGTAGTCAATTAGTTTGTGGACTGAGGGCATGGGGATTGCAATCTAATGGTTACAGGGTGGAGGGTGGGGGTGGGAGATGGGAGTTGTAGTCAATTACTTTCTGGATTGAGGGCAAGAGAATTGAACTCTACTGGCCACAGGGAGTGGGAGATGGGAATTGTAGTTAGTTTGTGGACTGAGGGCATGGGGATCTAATGGTTACAGCGTGGAGGGTAGATGGGAATTATAGTCAATTACTTTCTGGATTAAGGGCATGGGAACCACAGTCTCAAGGCTATAAGGGATCAGAGATGGGAACTGTAGTCAATTAGTTTGTGGACTGAGGGCATGGGGATTGCAATCTAATGGTTATAGGGTGGAGGGGTGGGAGATGGGAATTGTAGTCAATTACTTTCTGGATGGAGGGCAAGAGAATTGAACTCTATTGGCCGCAGGGGGTGAGAGATGGGCATTGTAGTCAATTACTGAGGGCATGGGAAACGCAGTCCAATGGTCACAGGGTGAGGGGAATTGTCCGGCGGCTAGCTTGGGGAAAGAGGGCCACCTCGATGAGGTGCGGCTCCAGCAAACGGCTGGGAATGACGGAGACTCCGAGGCGAGAGATGGGGATGATGGGACCTTGTAGTCCAACCCTTGAAAAAGCACCTCCAACCGCAGAATAGCTGAAAAGAGGCCCCGCAGCCACCCTGCCCTTCCTCTCAGCTTCCCCCCCATTCCCCCCTCTTTTCTCCGCTTTTCCTTCAGCTCCCCCCCTCAGCCGCCCCTCCCGAGCCTCCCCACGGCATGCGCATGCGCAAACCTTCCCTCCCCCATGACTAATCCGGCCGCCGCCGCTTCTTCTTCTTCGGACCCCTCAGAGGACGCGCCCAAATGGATGCGCACGCGCCGTGCGCTGGCTCGCGGGCGCTCCTCCTCCTCCTCCTCCTCCTCTCCCCCGCCACTACCGTCTCTCAGGCAGCGCGCGTGCGCCTGGGTCTCTCGCGGCCCGGCGGAGCGCCTGCGCGCGACTTCCCAATCGAACCGGCGCGCCGCGGTTTGCGCAGGCGCGGTGAGAGCGTCGTGAGGCGGGCGGAGCGATGGCGGGTTGACCGCGGAGCGGATGGCGGCTCCTCTCCTTCCCGTCCGCCTTTCACGAATGACCGGTGAGGAGTCTCGGTGGGCAACAACCCGGGGATGTGGGGCGGGTTGGTGATGCCCTGACGGAGCCCCCTCCCTTCCCCGATATCTCGTGGTGAGCGCCTCCTCGGGCTGGCGCAAGGGATGTCGGGAGTTGTAGTCTGAGGGCGGGGGGAAGGCTAAGGAAGGAGGGGAGAGGCCCAGGCCTTCGCCCCCCCCTTCTGTGTCGGGCAGGGGAAGGTGGAGGGGGGGAGGGGACGGCAGTTTGGGGGCTCTTGGGCCACTGTTGGTGGTTGGGGGAAGCCTCTGAAAAGGTCAAGGCAAGGGGGGAGCAGTGAGATCCCCCAGTTGCCCCCATTTAATGGGGAAGGGTCCTCCCTGGCCCCAGGAGCAGCTGATCCAGATTAACTACTAGTCTTGAAAATCTACGTGAAACCGGTATTCGCATCCAGAACAATGGCAAATAACAATGGCAGATCACAAAGCAGCACAAGACATCATTGAACAGTATAGGTAGTATATCTGTGTGTTTGTGGGTCTGTGTGTTTGTGTGTACCTATGGCAGATCACAAAGCAGCACAAGACATCATTGAACAGTATAGGTAGTATATCTGTGTGTTTGTGGGTCTGTGTGTTTGTGTGTACCTATGGCAGATCACAAAGCAGCACAAGACATCATTGAACAGTATAGGTAGTATATCTGTATTTGTGGGTCTGTGTGTTTGTGTGTACCTATGGCAGATCACAAAGCAGCACAAGACATCATTGAACAGTATAGGTAGTATATCTGTGTGTTTGTGGGTCTCTGTGTGTGTGTACCAATGACAGATCACAAAGCAGCATAAGGGATCATTGAACAGCATAGGTAGTATATCTGTGTGTTTGTGGTTCTGTGTATGTGTACCAATGGCAGATCACAAAGCAGCATAAGACATCAAACAGTATAAGTAGTATGTCTTTGTAGGTTTCTCTGTGTGTGTGTGTGTGCGTGCGTGTGTGTGTGTGTACCAATGGCAGATCACAAAGCAGCATAAGACATCAAACAGTATAGATTAGGGGTCTTCAAACTTGACCCTTTTATGACTTGTGGGCTTCAACTCCCAGCATGCCTGGCTGAGGAATTCTGGGAGTTGAAATCCACAAGTCATAAAAGGGCCAAGTTTGAAGACCCCTGGTATAGATAGTATCTCTCTCTCTCTCTCTCTCTCTCTCTCTCTCTCTCTCTCTCTCTCTCTCTCTCTCTCTCTCTCTCTCTCTCTCTCTCTCTGTGTGTGTGTGTGTGTATACCAATGGCAGATCACAAAGCAGCATAAAATATCAAACAGTATAGTTTGTGTTTGTGTGTGTATCTATATATACCTATATATACCCGAAGCAGAGCAACTAGATTCTGTAATAGCTTTATACAGGCAGTCCTTGAGTTACGACCACAACTGAGTCCAAAATTTATGCTGCTAAGTGGATCATTTGTTAAGTGAGTTTTGCCCCATTTTATGACCTTCCTTACCACTGCTGTTAAGTGAATCGCTGCAGATGATAAATTAGCCACACAGTTGTTAATTTGGCTTGCTCCATTGACTTTGCTTGTCAGAAGTTCGCAAAAGGTGATTACAGAATCTGGGACGCTGAAATTGTCATGAATATGAAGCAGTTGCTGAGCGTCTGAATTTTGATCATGTGACCATGAGGATACTGCAACAGATATAAGTGTAAAAAACAGTCCTAAGTCTTCAGTGCTGTTTAACTTCAAACGGTCACTAAACAAATGGTTGTATGTCAAGGACTGCCTGTAATTAATTTCCCACAGAGTGGGAAAAAGTAAGCACCCTTATTCAGTGGATTCAAAATACGAAATGGATGGTTTGACTAGACATCTTGCAAAGAATAATTTGCAGGTATTAGTGTAGTTGTGGTCATGTTTTGCATTTTGTATGCAATTAATATCTCCATAGATACCTATTTTATTCTTATGTCTATCTATTTATCAACCTTGTATGTCACCTCCTCGTACAGAATAACACAGTTGGAAGGGACCTTGGAGGTCTTCTAATCCAGGACTTTTCAACCAGTGGTACGGGTACCACCTGTGGTACATTGGCACCTGGCAGGTGGTATGCGACCATCCTAGAAAAGTGGTAGCGGAGGAGGAGAATGGGCTGAACCGGTGGCAGCACTGCACAAGCCTGAGCGAGAGACAGCTGGAGCTGCAGGGCTGTCAGGACTCAGCGGAAGCGCCAGGATCAGTGCAGCTTTCCAGCTGATCGGCACTTCTTCGGGGCTGTCAGAGCTCAGTGGAAGCCCCAGGATCAGCGCCAGGCTCCAGCTGGAAAGTGGCACTGATCCTGGCGCTTCCGCTGAGCCCTGAAGAAGCGCCGATCAGCTGGAATGTTGCAGCCTCTCCAGGGTCTTGTGATTTATATTCATATGCTTGGCAACTGTGATTTATATTCATATGCTTGGCAACTGATTCATATTTATGATGGTCACAGTGTCCCGGGGTCATATGAAGTGACCAAAACCTGCTGCAACCACCCAGCAGATGGGAGGGAGAATAAAAACCAAACACCCCCCCCCACCGCCAATCCTCAACAAAAACGCTCACAACAATGGAAACCTGGGACAGGAGGAAGAGCGCTACCGGCTGGGCAGCCAGGAGTCTTGCTCAGCTGTGGCTTGGGGGGCACTTTTTTCAGTGCCATTGTAACTTCGAACAGTCACTAAGTGAACTGTTGTAAGTCAAGGACTACTGTACTTTATCCCTTTTTCCTCTTTTTTGGGAAAGGGTCATCAAGTTTTTGACCCCTTGCTAGGCGACTGGTGGTACTCGGATATTGCCATATCCTAAAAGTGGTACAATGGGTGAAAAGGTTGAAAAGCCCTGGACTAGTTCAACCCCCTGCTCAGGCAGGAAACGCCATACTATTCTGGACATACGGGACATTGCCAAAGGAAACTCCCAGCAAATTAAAGACATTGAATAAATTGCAAAGAATAAACAAAGATCTTCAATTGAAAAAAAACCATTTAAAATAAAACTAAGTAGGATGGAGAGTTAGGGAGTAAAGTGAACAGAGGGAACTTTGACTGTATAAACATCTCTCCCATTGACCACCAATTGCTGTATAGCTAGTCCTCGACAACCATTTATTTAAGTTACCACGGTTTTGAAAAAAAAAATGATTTATTACCATTTTTCACCCTTACAACTGTTGCAGCCATCCCCATGGTCTAGTGATCAAAAATTCAGACGCTTGGCAACTGACTCCTATTTATGATGGCTGCAGTGTCCCGGGGTCATGTGTGTGATCCCCTTTTGTGACCTTCTGATTAGCAAGGTCAATAGGGGAACCAGATTCACTTAACAACCGTGTTGCTAACTTAACAACTGCAGGGATTCACTTAACGACTGCGGCCAAGAAAGGTCGTAAAACGGGATAAGATTCACTTAACTTTCTCACTTAGCACTGGAAACGTCGAGGACTACCTGCATAAATACGCTTTCGAGGAGTGACAGAAATCCACCCAAGTCTTCCTGGGTAATGAGTGAGATGTTTTGCCTTTAACGATCTTGTTTTCTCTGTTCTGTATTGGCATGTGTCTGTGGTACAGCTTGTTCTTAGATTGCATTTCCTGGCTGCCTCTCTAATGAATAATTTAAAATTATGTTTTTTTAAAAAAACAACCAGCTGCTCTGCTTTGGGGTAAACAAGGAAATGTTCTGATATTTTAATATTTTATTTCACGGGCAGTTCCCTGTAGGCTTCCTTGGGAAGGATTCATAAAATACCTTTGTGTAAAGTGTAATTTATTGGTTTTGCTGGAAACGTTGCATCATCTTTACATTGTACGTCACTCCTTGGCAGCAAAGAAAACTCCATAAGGGCCTCTGTTGTCCCGAAGGAAAAATCCTAGGCTAGAATTGCAGACATGAATTCAAATCCTGCCTTGGCCACGTGAAAGCCGCCTGGGTGATTTCAGGTCAATCACTTTTTATCAGTCAACCTCGCAGGGTTGTTGTTGAGGGGAAAACAGGATAAGGAAGCTGTGTTGGATACTGCCTTGAATTATTTGTGAGAATAATAAAGGCGGGGAGGCGTATAAATTAAAACAAAAAATAAGCAGAAGTACAGGTCCTCAACTTACAACAGTTCATTTAGTGACCGTTCGAAGTTACAGCAGCACTGAAAAAAGTGGCTTTTGACCCTTTTTCACACTTAATGACTGTTGCAGCATCCCTTTGAACGTTTGATCAAAATTCAGATGCTTGGCAGCTGACTCATATTTACGACGGTCGCAGCATCCTAGAGTGACCTGATCCCCTTCTGACAAGCATAGTCAGTGGCAGATTCACTTAAACAACCATGTGACTAGCTTAACAATTGCAGTGATTCAGTGGCAAGAGAGGTCGTAAAGTGTGGCAAAACTCACTTAACAAATGTCTCACTTAGCCACAAAAAAATTTGGGTTCTGTTGTGGTTGTAAGTCGAGGACTACCTGTATCAATATAGGATCTGGTTTCCTAATAGGATGTTGACTCTGGTCGGCATGTGATGCCTGAGCAAAAATAATATCCTCAGTTTCATCATGTGAGAAAATGACTAGCCAGATAGTAAATAGGTGAGTTATACTTGGACCATGAATCATGAGATCAAATATATATATATATATATATATATATATATATATAATATTTAGTATCCTCCTTTGATGTTCATTTTCTTGTGCTAAGGACAAACTGTCAAATGCCTGCTTTGGACTATCATTTCCCCCCCCCCCCAAAATACCTCTTTTCTAAGTTTTAGATGTGTAGTGAATTTTATATAGTATGACAGGTGTTTTGTTTTTGATCTGTACAATTCTGGGCAATTTTTGTTGGGCTCCGGAATCGAGAAGCCTCAGTCGATAACAATTTTTAAGCTACCAGAAACTTCTGAATCCACCAACAGACCAGGTAAATGGGGAGAATTAATTAATTAATTCCCTGCAAGATATTTAGTGGGTGGTGTAGAGGAGATGAAAACAGAAACTCAAGCGGGAGACCTAAATGTCTTTATTTGCTTTTATTCAGATAGGTGATCCTGTGCGCAGGCTTAAATATTTATTATTCCAACGTCTGTTCTTACTAATGAAGGGTTGAGTGTTGGAACTGACTTTATTTAAAAAAAAAAACAACCTGTCTTTTAGATGTAGTAGCTTTGCCAGCAGTCATTGCACTGGTGACCTTCACGGGTCTGTAAAGCAAAGCTGCACACATAAGCAGAGTTGTGGTTTCGCTTAGCAACCATGGTTTCACTTAGCAACTGTTTCACTTAATGACCAGGTTGCCTGTGCCATTTGGGGGTGACTAAACGAGGATGCCTGTAGAGACTTAGAATTTGTTTCTTCTATAGCTGATTTGCAATTTCTTAAATAATAAATGTGTACAGGAAGTCCTCAATTTACAATGTTATATTTAGTGACCATTTGGAGTTACAAGGGCACTGAAAAAGTGACTTATGGCCATTTTTCACACTTAACGACCATTGCAGCATCCCCACGGTCACGTGATCAAAATTCGGACCATTTGCCAAGCCGAGTTAATGGCTTGAACAATTGTGTTACTAACATAACAACTGCAATGATTCACTTTAACAATTGTGGCAAAAATCTAATAAGTGTCTCACTTAGCAACAGATATCTGTGCTCAATTGTGGCTGCAAATTGAGGACTACCTGTACACAGGTACTCCTCAACTTACAACCATTCGTTTAGTGACTGTTTGAAGTTACATCAGCACCAATAAAGTGATTAAATAGCGACTTTCAGAAGAATGCAGCTTCAGATATTTGAAAGTCACGATTTGGGGGATCCGGAATGAGCGGGTTCACCTATTGGTGCCTTAGCCCAGTGGTTCTCAACCTTTTTAATGCCGCGACCCCCCAACCGGTTGTAAGTCGAGGACTACTCAACCGGTCGTAAGTCGAGGACTACTCAACTGATGCAGCACCGTTTGCAGAATGGGACTTTTGGCAGGCTCAGCAGGGCAGAGACAGCCTGGACGATTCCTATTGGCTTTTGAAAGCCAATAGAATTAGACTCTATTCAAGAGAGTCTATCCTATTGGCTTTCAAAAGCCAATAGAATAAAAGGGAGTAGCACAGCTAAGGAAAAGGGGAAAAAAATGGCAGACTGTGTTGTTTGGTGACCCCCGTGAAATGGTCGTTCGACCCCAAATGGGTTCCTGACCCACAGGTTGAGAACCGCTGCCTTAGAGTCTCACACCTTTATCTTCACAGGTGTTTGTCGTGAGGCTCATGAAAGGTGAACGAACCTTGTGTTAATTGCTCATCGCTGATTACACAATTCATTTGATCTTTGGAAGGTGCCAGTTGTTTCCTTGAGGAAGAGGAACCAAGGAATAAGGTAATGGATGAGAAGGTCCACATTCACACCTGGTCCTGTTCCTATTACCTCAACTCGGAGAAGCAATGGGTGTCCGGCAAACTCCTCCTGACTCCGGTTTCGGTTAAGTTTACCGCGGACAAATCCGGAGAGGTCCTGGCCAGCTTCCCCCTTTCCTCCATCAGCGAGATCAAGAAGGAATCGTCCACCTTGATCTTCAGTTCCCTCACAATTTTGGAGAGCAGCACCAAGCATTGGTTCAGCTCCCTTCAACCCAACCGGAATGTGATCTTCAACGTGCTGGAACACTTTTGGAGAGAGCAGCTCCTCTCGCCCGACGGGGCTAGGGCGCAGACGGCATGCGTCCAGACCCCCAAGGGCAAGGAGTTGACCGGCTTGTTGATGGGGTCTCAGAAGCGTCTGGAAGATACCTCGAAGGTGCTGGAGCACCAGGGCGAACAGTTCGATAACATCATGAAAGGCCTGGACAAGATTGAGTCGGAGATGGATGTGGCAGATAGGTACGCTGGCACGCCAGGGGTTCTGATTGCGGCCAGGGGTGTGTGATCTGGGGGATCCTCAAGATGGGGCGTAGGGTTGGCGGGGCGTAGGAGAACGTCTGGAGGTTTTCTTTGCATGGAGTCGTAGAGAGAACTCGTTGGCAGAGAAAACCCGTTCTCAAGATCCAGTGCAGAACCACAGCTTAAAAGAGGTAAATAATTTGTTGTTGTTAATTGCGAAGTCGTGTCCGACCCATCGCGACCCCATGGACAATGTTCCTCCAGGTCTTCCTGTCCTCTACCATCTTCTGGAATCCATTTAAGTTCACACCTACTGCGCCAGTGACTCCATCCAGCCATCTCATTCTCTGTCGTCCCCTTCTTCTATTGCCCTCAATCTTTCCCAGCATTAGGCCCTTCTCCAGTGAGTCCTTCCTTCTCATTAGGTGGCCAAAGTATTGGAGTTTCAACTTCAGGATCTGGCCTTCTAAAGAGCAGTCGGGGTTGATCTCCTCTAGGACTGACCGGTTGGATCACCTTGCAGTCCAGGGGACTCGCAGGAGTCTTCTCCAGCACCATAGTTCAAAGGCCTCCATTCTTTGGCGCTCAGCCTTTCTTATGGGGTAAATAATTCAAGAATATTTTCTCCCGAAACAATGGACGAACAGCTGCATTGGGACAGGATCACAACTCAAGGTTGGTTTAATAGACGAAGGCCTCAGTTTACGACTGCAGTTGTGATGGGGAGACAGCCAGTTTGGGAGTTGAGGTGCTGGCCTAGAAATTGGGAGACTTGTGAGTTGTAGTCCTGCCTTAGGCATGAAAGCCAGCTAGTTGAGTTTGGGCCGGTTACCTGGAGATGGTAAGTTCTAGTTTCAAATTAGGCATGAAAGCCAACTGGGTGACTTTTGAGCCAATCATCAGGTGACAATGAGTTCTAGTCCTGCCTTAGACATGAAATCTGGCAGGGTGACTTTGGGCCAATCATCAGATGACGATGAGTTCTGGTTCCGCCTTAAGCATGAAAGCCATCAGGGTGACTTTGGGCCAATCATCAGGTGACAATGAGTCCCGCCTTAGGGATGAAAACCGGCAGGGTGACTTTGGGCCAATCACCAGAAGACAGTGAGTTCTAGTCCTGCCTTAAGTACGAAAACTGGGTGATTTTGGGCCAATCATCAGGTGGCAGTAAGTTCTAATCCCATTTTAGGAATGAAAACAGGCCAGTCATCAGAGACAGAGAATTCTAGTCCTGCCTTAGGGACATAAGTCCCTCCTTCTCAGCCCAGCCCACCTCACAGGGTTGTTGTGGGGAAAATGGAGGAGGAAGGGGTGTTTGGACTCTTTACTGCCTTGAACTAGTTATAAAAATAATAAAGGTGGAATAATCTAATAAAAATCTAGTAGTTAAAAATCGTGGCGCTCGTTGACCGGAAGTGATTTTATTACCTTTTTTTGTGGTGTTAAGAGAACGCCCCAGTTGTAAATGTGAATCCATTCATTCAAATGGCCATTTATTACAATTTTTTTGCCAGAAAGTGCCCCCCCCCAAAAATCACGAATAAGCGATCATGGCACTCCATAATGCTGTTACCGGCCATCAATATTACTGGTGGCTCAGCGCCCGACATCCAACCAGGTGATCCCTGGGAGTGGGCCAGTCATGTGACCATTTATGACCCATTAGTACCCGGACGTAGGAGGTGGAGGTCTTTCACTCCTAGTGAACTACAATTCCCAGCCGTTTCAGTCAGCCCTTTCAGCATTGAGGGATACCAGGTGTTCCTCTTCAGCAACTCTGGAAGTCACTTATTCCCTTCCTTGGACTTGTCATACTTTCCATGCTGGCCTTCATTAACTGACCAGACACATACAGATTACGTCCTCGACTTATAGCAGTTCGGTTAGTGACAACGTTCCAAGTCACAACGTCGCTGAAAAAAGTGACCTAGGACCATGTTTCACACGACCGTTTGGAGACTCCCCACAATCAAAATTCACACATGACAAATGTATTACTTTAGCGACGTAAATTTGGGGCCCAACTGTGGCCGTAAGCCGAGGACTACCTGTACGGGCAGTCCTCCATGTACAATCACAGTTGAGCTTCAAATTTCTGTTGCTTTTGTCCCAATTTACAATCTTTCTTGCCACCATCATTAAGGGAACCATTTTAGTTGTGAAGTTAGTCACACGGTCATTAAGTGAACCTGGCTTCCCCCCCCCCATTGACTCTGCTCGTCAGAAGGTCGCAAAAGGGGATCGCATGATTCTGGGACGCTGTGACCGTCATAAATACGAGTCAGTTGCCAGTGTCTGAATTTTGATCACGTGACCCTGGGAGGATGCTGCAACAGCCGTGTGAAAAATGGTCCATAAGTCCCTTTTTTCAGTGGTGTTGTAACTTCGGTCACTAAAAGAATGGCCATAAGTCGAGGACTACCTACATTTCTGATCTTTCTTTCGTCACAGGTTATTATCCCAACTCGAGTCTCCATCTTGGTGGCCTTTTGGTGGGAAACTCCTCGCCAAAGCCGTGTCCGAAGTGGGAAAGGCGACGGAGAAACCCGCGGCTCTGCCATCCGGGAGCAAAGATGGCGTCCTCGTGCAGATCCCCGTCATCGTCACCGAACGGGCCGACACTCATGCCAAACCGGGCAGCCTCTCCCTCTTAGTGTCCGGCCTGAGGATCTGCGGCGCCAAGGCCCAGCTGCTCCACTGGTTTGAGAAGCAGGACGTGGACGAGGTCAGAGTCCACAGCCCGTATGAAATATGCGTCCGCCAGAGGTTTATCGGCAAGCCGGACATCTGTTACCAGCTCCTGTCGGCCAAGATGCCCGAGGCCATCCCGTTCCTGGAGATGCAGTACAGCAAGAAGATCCAATTCCTGCAGGATGCCGTGGGGCTGGCGCAGGCTAGGAGGACCTCCCCGGAGGAAGCGGGGGGCTCCATCTGGCAGGCAGGTAAGAGACCCAGAAGGTGATCGGAATCTGATAAAATAATAACGGAAGGAGCCAGGCATGGGCTGCACCAACCAAAAAGGCCAGTGCAGGCCTCGGTTGTGTCAGCAGAGAAACGGCGTTAGCTAGCCCTTGATTTACGTCCATCCGCTTAGCAACCATTTGTGGTTACAATGGCACTGGAAAAAAGCGACTTAGGACCATTTTTCACACGGCCATGGCAGCATCTCCGTGGTGACGTGGTCAAAAATCCCGGCATTTTGGCAACGGTTTTCATACTTACGACAGCATCCCGGGGGTGTCGCGTGATCCCGTTTTGCAGCCTTCTGACCAGCGAAGTCAATGGGGAAGCTTAACAATCCTGTTGCTGACTTAAAACCTACAGCGAGTCACTTAGTGACAGTTGCTAAAAAAGATCGTAAAGTGGGGCAAAACTCACTTAACGACTGCCTCAGCGTCAGAAATTTGGGGCTGAGTTGTGGTTATAAGTCAAGGACTACCTACTACGTACTGATCAGGCTTGGTGGTTGATCACCACCTAGTGGCTATTCTGAAAAACCAACAAGGCTAAATTTTGGAGAAAGTACAACCAGCCTCTCTAGCCCTTGCTCAATTGCTGTTAACTAACTTAACAAGTGCAGTGATTCACTTAACAACTGTGGCAGGAAAGGTGGTCAAATGGGGCAAACCTCACTTAGCAATTGTCGTACTTAGCAACAGAAATTTTGAGCCCAGTTGTGATCAAATTGAGGGATTTCTGTACAGGAGCATCCAGCCTAGTGGTTCTCCACCTGTGGGTCGGGACCCCATTTGGGGTCGAACGACCATTTCACGGGGGTCGCCAAACAACGCAGTCCGCCATTTTTTTCCCCTTTTCCTTAGCTGTGCTACTCCCTTTTATTCTATTGGCTTTTGAAAGCCAATAGAATAGCCTCTCTTGAATAGAGTCTAATTCTATTGGCTTTCCAAAGCCAATAGGAATTGTCCAGGCTGTCTCTGCCCTGCTGAGCCTGCCAAAAGTCCCATTCTGAAAACGGTGCTGCACCAGTTGAGTAATCCTCGACTTACGACCGGTTGAGTAGTCCTCGACTTACGACCGGTTGGGGGTCGCGGCATTAAAAAGGTTGAGAACCACTCATCTAGGATGTTTCAAATATTCTTTTGACAATCTTTGGGTGACGATTTAGCTCGTAGACAACCATGGCTAACGTGTGTGTGTGTGTTGGTAGTGATCGTCTATATTTGGAGCAGCTAAAAAGTTACTTTTCTCCTGCTACAAGACAAAGGCTATCAGTAGTCCTCAACTAAATGGCCTTAATGGAGCCTGCTCATTATGGTTAGAAATCATGACCATCATAAAGCAGGTCACCACGTGATCAGGCTCATTTTAATGACATTTTTTGCGGTGGTTTAGCAACAGGACACTCATTAAGCAACCCTGTTGTTCACTATGGGGGGGGTGTAGTTGCCCAAATTTTGTATCATAAATTGCAATGTTTTAAAAATTAATTCTAATCCATCATTTCTAAATACCTTCTAACGTATTTTCCAAATTCGAAAAAGTCTAGGAAGAAAAAAAATTCTGGTCTGTTATGCTTAAAATAGGAGTTTTAGACCTTTAAAGCAGTGTTTCCCAAACTTGACAATTTTAAGGCATGTGGACTTCAACTCCCAGAATTCCACAGCCAGCGTTGCTGGCTGTGGAATTCTGGGAGTTGAAGTCCTCATGCCTTAAAATTGTCAAGTTTGGGAAACACTGCTTTAAAGCAAGCTGGGCATTAACAGACCACGTTCTGTTGCACCCTCTGCTAAAAGTTCAGTAGAGCAAAGATTGGAATGCACTTTTGTTGATCGGTGGCTGAAATTCGGTGCTCGGAAAAAGCTTGTTAATTTTTAAATGAAGGAATCCTGGGCATCAGATGGTAAAATGCCAGTCTAACATCTAAGAGGCAGAAAACAACTTTTTGGTTTTGTTCATCCTGGTTCAATCCACAATACGGCAATAGCAGTTACTAAAAAATAATTTCTACGTTGAGTCTTTTTTGGCTGCTCCTTGTCGTGCATAAAACGGTTTGCCTTCATTACTTATAGGACTGTGATGTCCTTCCTTTCTGTGGTCATGCTTTAAAGTCACCAGCATCCATGAGGTAACAGCAATCCATCAAGAATGTCTAGAATGATGTTGGCTTGTTCTCTTTCTGCAAAACTTAGGCTTGTCCTTTTTCAACCGAGAATTGCCACTAGGTGGCGATCAACTACTGCACCTGGATCATTCGGTACGCAGGTAGTCCTCGACATACAACCAAAATTGACCACAAAAATTCTATTGCTAGGCAACACGGCTGTTAAGTGAGTTTTGTAACATTTTACAGGCTTTCTTGCCATAGTTGTCCAGCAAATCGCTGCAGTTGTTAAGCTAGTCACACAGTCGTTAAGCGAATCTGGCTTCCCCCTTTGACTTTGCTTCAGTTGGCAGTGTGTGAATTTTGATCACGTGGCCAGAGGGATGCTGCCGTGGACCGCAGTGTGGAAAACCATCAAGTCACTCTTTTCAGTGGCATCGTAATTTGGTCACTAAACAAATAGTTGTAAGTTGAGGACTATCTGTATGGATACATTTGTCTGTGTGTATGTATACCTCTGTCTGTATCTCCCTAAAGAGAGAGAAATAGAGAGATAGAGATAGATAGATAGATAGAGAGAGAGAGAGAGAGAGAGAGAGATAGATAGATCAGTGGTTCTCAACCTTTTTAATGCCGCGACCCCCAACTGGTCATAAGTCGAGGACTACTCAACTGGTGCAGCACCGTTTGCAGAATGGGACTTTTGGCGGCTCAGCAGGGCAGAGACAGCCTGGACAATTCCTATTGGCTTTGGAAAGCCAATAGAATTAGACTCTATTCAAGAGAGTCTCTTCTATTGGCTTTCAAAAGCCAATAGAATAAAAGGGAGGAGCACAGCTAAGGAAAAGGGGAAAAAAAATGGCAGACTGCGTTGTTTGGCGACCCCCGTGAAATGGTCATTCGACCCCAAATGGGCTCCTGACCCACAGGTTGAGAACCACTGATATAGATATAGATTTGTATTTTTAATATTAGAGATAGATAGATATAGAGAGAATTATATACATACACACATATATGTATACACATACATTTATACACATATATATTGAATGTATGTATGTGTGTGTATATAGTGTGTTTCTGTATAACTATATAGAGAATATATATACTGTGTGTATATGTATGTATGTTATGTATTTGTGTGTAGATGGAAAGAAAAAAGAAAAAAAGAAAAGAAAGAGATAGATAGATAGATAGATAGATAGATAGATAGATAGTATTTCCTCAGGTATTTCACTAGTAACATATTTTGTTTTTCTAAAAGAGGTTAGGACAGGGTTCAAGCTGGCAAATTTGATCTGATTCATCTTTGATTTTTTTTTTACTTTGATCCACCTCCCCAAAGCCAGTGAGAGAGGCTTTTCATGGGACCTTGCGTGAAGAAACACATACGTGTAAATTCTTGCTGCTTAGCCATGGAGGGTCTCAGATTTAATCCAGAGCCATTTGTAGCCAGACAAAGAGCAGCGTGACTTGCGAACATCGCTCTGAAAAAGAGGCCCCCAATTTAAGCTGGGAAATGCAGTCATTTAATCTCTCGAAACAAGCAGACTTAAGCCAGCTTCTTCGCTGGCCAGGCGCCCCCCTGGTTGATGGATCCGATTTATACTCTGCCTTTTCTCTGAGGACTTAAGGCAGCTCATGGGTGGGGGGGATTCACCCCCATCTCCGGCAACCCCGAGGGGGCACAGAGACACTGGCTGACCCGATCGTACAGCCGATTTTTCCCGCTGGTTGTTAAGTGAATCGCCACAGTCATTAAGTGAATGTGCAGCTGTTAAGCCTATAATGCAGTGTCTTTGCCAAAAGCCAGAAATAAGAATCTTTTTATGAGGGAGGGGTCCGTCGTAACTTTGAATGCCCACTAAGCGACCGGTTGTAAACTGAGGACTACCCGCATAAGTTTTTTTCCCACCCTGTGAAATTATACCCAGATGGTCTTCGACTTACGACCACATGTTTTATTGCCAAGCCAGACCGCTGTTAAGGCCCCATTTTGCGACATTTCCTGCCTCAGTTGTTAAGCGAATCTCTGCAGTTGTTAAGTGAGTCGCAGGTTCGTGGAAGGTCACAAAAGGGGATCCCATGACACACACACACACACACACCGGGGATGCTGCCACCGTCATAAACATGAGCCGATGAATTTTGATCACACGATCTTGGGAGATGCTGCAACGGTTGTAAAGTGTGAAAAATCAGTCATAACCCCCCACCACCACCACTTTTTTGTTTTTTCCCATCGGAACTTCAGACGGTCACTAAACGGATAGTTGTGAGCCAAGGAGGAAAGGGAAGTTTTGCACCTGTACCGCTCGGCTGGCAGGTTTCGGGCCGCGTTAAATTTAGACCGGCATCCATGTCTCCCCCTGTAGCCGCGATGCCCCAGGTCTTCCCCCCCCCCTTTGTTGCGAGGACCGAATAATTCCAGGGGATTAAGAGTCTGTGGTAATTAACTCCTGGGGGGAGGGGAGGCCTGGGGAGGGGGGGGGAGGTTTGTATTTTTAGGTGCAGCTTTTGTGTCTGCCTTTTCCATTAAGTAACACAATCCTGAGCTGACACCAGGCCAGTGTTTCTGGCATGGGGCCTCCAAGACCTGAGTGAGCGTCAGCTTTTCAGCCTGGTTTCTGGCCTAGCGCCCGGCAGCTGTCGCGGTGGAGGTGGGGCGGGTGGGGGGGCTTTGGAGCAGGGGGCAGCTTCCTCTAAAGTAGGCTGTCTCCCCCCCCCCATCCTCCCCACCTCGGCCCCCAGCCCAGAATATCCTGTTTCCAGCAGAGACCCTGGCCCTAGAGAGGCAGGGTGCGTGTGCATAGTGAGGAGTCCACCTTTTGCAGCTCCTCTCTGAAAAGTCAGGCAGTCCTCAGCTTATGACCACCCATTTAGCGACCCTTTGAAGCCACAACGGCACGCACAGGTAGCAACAGCGATCATTTGATGAGAGTGCTGTATGAAGAGGGCCAGTAAATGTTGATTTACTTGCATTTTATTTTACTTATTGACCAAAGGGAAAACACACACACATACACACACACACACACACAATAATAAAAATTCCTACAGGTAGTCCTCGACTTAGCAACAGTTTGTTTAGTGATTGAAGTTACAGCAGCAGTATGAAAATTGACTTAGGACCGGTGCTCATGCTTATGGCTGTTGCAGCATCATGTGGCCAATATGCAGATGCTTGGCAACTGACTCATACTTAACGACTGTCGCAGTGTCCCAGGGCCATGTTTGCAGGACTTCTGACTAGCAAAGTCAGTGCGGGGAGCCGGATTCACTTAACAACCGTGTGACTTGCTTAACAGCTGCAGGGATTCCCTTAACAACTCTGGCAACTTAACAACTCTTTAAGGGTGTTAAAATGGGGCAAAACTCGCTTAACACTCACTGTCTCGCTTAGCGATGGAAAATGTGGGCTCAGTTCTGGATGCAAATCAAGAACTCAGCTGAGTTTAGCTTCCAGTTGCACCTTTGTGCACGGAGGCAATTGCACGCAAGACCCAGCAGTTGTCACTGTGTGACTGTGTGACTGTGTGACTGTGTTCTTTGTCAGGTTCAGGAATAAAATCCCTGTTACCTGTTACAACTTTGTCACCCGAGACCACTATCCTACAGGTAGTCCTCAGTTTGTGTCCTCAGCCTACCCATCACAGTCATAACTCATGACGGCCGTAACTTGGCTAGTTTGTGTGACAGATCTGACTTTTATGATTTGCTGGGTTTTTTTTGCAGCAGTCATTAAGCGAGGCTTTGGTCGTTAAGTGAAGCAGTGGTTTTGCCGAAAACCAGAACAAAATGCCTGTTTTCAGCCAAAAAATAAAGTTATGTGACTGTGGGATGCTGCCAACAGCCATGAATGTGTGTTCATGGAACTTCTGGAACTTCAAATCCAGATCAAAAGGTGTCCCCAGGGAGGTCTGTTGTAACTTTGAACGGTTGCTAAGTGAATGGTCGTAAGTCGAGAACTAACTGTAATTGTTTTCTCCGCCTTGGCAGCTTTCAGGAGAAGCACAGGCATATGTAGATAATCCTCGACTTAACGTTGGTCACAGCATCCCATGATCACGTGATCAAAATTCAGGGGCTTTGCAACTAGCTGGTATTTACACCATTCATCTACTCATCCTCCTGTCTTATTATCCATCCATCTATCTGTCCATTGGTCTCTTCTTTTCTTCCATCTGTCATCCATTCATCCATCCATCTCTGTTCTCTATCTCCATCCATCCATCCATCCATCCATCCATGTTATCTATTTTTCTGTCTCTTATTTTTCCATCTGTCATCCATCCATTTCTATTCTCTATCTCCATCCATCCATCTATCTCTATTCTCTATCTCCATCCATCCATCCATGTTACCTATTTTTCTGTCTCTATTATTTTTCCATTTGTCATCCATACATCTCTATATCTCCATCCATCCATCCATCTGTATTCTCTATCTCCATCCATCCTGTTATCTATTATTTTTCCATCTGTCATCCATCCATATCTATTCTCTCTCCATCCATCCATCCATCCATCCATCTCTATTCTCTATCTCCATCCATCCATCCATCCATCCATCCATCCATGTTACCTATTTTTCTGTCTCTATTATTTTTCCATTTGTCATCCATCCATCTGTATTCTCTATCTCCATCCATCCATCCATCTGTATTCTCTATCTCCATCCATCCATCCATGTTACCTATTTTTTTGTCTCTATTATTTTTCCATCTTTCATCCATTCATCCATCCATCTCTGTTCTCTATCTCCATCCATCCATCCATCCATGTTATCTATTTTTCTCTCTATTATTTTTCCATCTGTCATCCATCCATATCTATTCTCTCTCCATCCATCCATCCATCTCTATTCTCTATCTCCATCCATCCATCCATCCATCCATCCATCCATCCATCCATCCATGTTACCTATTTTTCTGTCTCTATTATTTTTCCATTTGTCATCCATCCATCTGTATTCTCTATCTCCATCCATCCATCCATGTTACCTATTTTTCTGTATTATTTTTCCATCTATCCATCCATATCTATTCTCTCTCCATCCATCCATCCATCCATCCATCCATCCATCCATCCATCCATCCATCTCTATTCTCTATCTCCATCCATCCATCCATCCATCCATCTCTATTCTCTATTCTCTATCTCCATCCATCCATGTTACCTATTTTTCTGTCTCTATTATTTTTCCATTTGTCATCCATCCATCCATCCACCTCTATGTCTGTCTGTCTATCTATCTATCTAGTCTTCTGTTTCTATTATCCTTCCATCTGCCTGTCATCTACCCACCCATCCTTCTGGCTCTATCATCCGTCCGTCCGTCCATCTCTATTCTCTGTCTGTCTATCTTGTTTCACAAGACAAATTCTGGTCCCAATTGTGGTCGTAAGGCGAGGACTACCTGGACAAACTCTTTTGCCAGCCCTTAAAGCCCTGGTTGCAATACATCCATGCTGGTCCAGGATCAGCTGTGCCATTTTGTGTGATTTTTTTTTTTAAAAAAACGATACCGCTTAAAATAAGGCCTTTCTGGTCCCCGCTTCTCTTCTTGCAGCCACTGGGTTTGTGGGAAGCCTAGTTCAATCCGGATCGACACCATCCTCCTCTGGAGGAAGCGCAGACAGCAAGCAGGCTCAGATGCAGAAGGAGAAACAGATTGTCTCCCAGAGTGAAATGCAGGAAATCCGTCAGGTACGTCCAGAGCACTTTGGGGCAGGCAGCCAAGCAGCCAACGCAGTTAAAATAGAATTCCTTTTCCATTTAGCAGCCCTCCCTCCCTCCCACCCACCCACCCACCCACCCATCTTTTTGGAATCTCTCTGGAAGAGAAAAAGGGTGCAAAGAGGCATGCTTGGAAGGAGACTCACATTCACTCAAGGCATTCAGATGTGTACTTAGGACAGTGTTTCTCAACCTTGACAATTTTAAGGCATGTGGACTTCAACTCCCAGAATTCCACAGCCAGCAATGCTGGCTGTGGAATTCTGGGAGTTGAAGTCCACATGCCTTAAAATTGTCAAGGTTGAGAAACACTGACTTAGGAGAAAGAACCATGTTAACGATAGAAGAGAATATTTATAGCTCAGGGTTGACCTGTGGTGGTCCTGGCTGCTCTCTGAGCTGGGTGGTTTCCTTGCAGACGTTTCGTGACCCAACTAGGGAACGTCATCAGTGTTGGAAGGGAGGGGGATTCTGAACAGGAGGAGGACTGTTGGGTCCTTGTTGGTCTCTGAACTTCTTGGTTTCCTTGCAGACGTTTCATGACCCAACTAGGGAACATCATCAGTGCTACAAGGCAGGACTGTGGGGTCCTTGGTGCTTTCTGAGCTGGGTGGTTTCCTTGCAGACATTTCATGACCCAACTAGGGAACATCATCAGTGCTAGAAAAGAGTGGACTTTGTGAAGAGGAGGAGGAGGAGGAGGAGGAGGAGGAGGAGGAGGAGGAGGTGGCAGTGGTCTCTGAACTTAGTTGTTTTCTTGCAGATATTTTATGACTCAACTAGTAATATAATAGGTGCTAGAAGTGTTAACCCCCCTCCCTTCTAGCACTGATGATGTTACCTAGTTGGGTCATGAAATGTCTGCAAGAAAACAACCAAGCTCAGAGAGCACCAAGGACGCCAAAGAACTACTACTACTCCTCTCCACCCCCCTCCTCTTATCTTCTGACACTGATGATGTTCCCTAGTTGGGTCATGAAATGTCTGCAAGGAAACCACCAGGCTCAGGGTCCATTCTCCCTCCTTCCCTCCCTCCCTCCCTTCCTCCCTCCCTCCCTCCCTCCCTCCCTCCCTCCCTTCCTTCCTTCCTTCCTTCCTTCCTTCCTCCCTCCCTCCCTTCTTTCTTTCTTTCTTTCTTTCTTTTCTTCTTCCTTCCTTCCTTCCTTCCTTCCTTCCTTCCTCCCTCTCTCCCTCTCTCCCTTCTTCCCTCCCTCCCTCCTCCTCCCTTCTAATACTGATGATGTTCCCTAGCTGGGTCATGAAACGTCTGCAAGAACATCTCCCGCCAGGCTGAGGGAACTACAAAGACACCACAGAATTTAAATTATATTCAACTCCATCCGAAATAGCGACAGGTTGAGGGATACTCCTGGCATTGGGTAGGCCGAGATCCTAACCACAAAAAAAGTGTGTGCCACCTGAACTCGGGACCTTCTTCAGAGGGATGTGTGTCGGGCAGAAAACGTTGGCTTCATGCCGTAAAGCAGGCCTTCCCCCTTTCTCCGGGGTCCTGGTAGAGCCCAGGGGCTCAGGAGGCTGGTTTTATGAAAAGCCATCCTGAAGACTTTCTTGAGAGATCTGGAAATCCCTCCTTCTCAGGATTTGGGATCCACCCGGAGCTCCGTAATCTATTCGGCACTTGGGAGGGGCGCGTGATGTGGGTCCGTGAGCTGGTCCCTCCCTGTAGAGCAGTGGTTCTCAACCTTTTTAATGCCGCGACCCCCAACCGGTCGTAAGTCGAGGACTACTCAACCGGTCGTAAGTCGAGGACTACTCAACTGGTGCAGCACCGTTTGCAGAATGGGACTTTTGGCGGGCTCAGCAGGGCAGAGACAGCCTGGACAATTCCTATTGGCTTTTGAAAGCCAATAGAATTAGACTCTATTCAAGAGAGTCTATTCTATTGGCTTTCAAGAGCCAATAGAATAAAAGGGAGGAGCACAGCTAAGGAAAAGGGGGGAAAAATGGCGGACTGCGTAGTTTGGCGACCCCCGTGAAATGGTCGTTCGACCCCAAATGGGGTCCCGACCCACAGGTGGAGAACCACTGGCGTAGAGAAAGGGCTTTCATGATGTTTTCTCCCGCCTGCCGGCTCCCCAGGGTTGGACGTCATGTCAGCAAAGATGGGAGGAGACGGGATAATATTAGTTTATAAAGTCTGTGGTCAGAGAGAGCCGGGAGAGACCTCGGCAGGGTTTGGCAGGAAACCTTCCGCCAGCTCGGATTTCTCCTGTCCTGCTCTCGTCCCAGCTGCAGGACGGAAAGGCCGAGAGGGGTGGGGGGGGGCTGGGGGGGTGGACCTGAAGCTTTTAGGTTGTTGTTTCCCCCCCCCCCCTCATTCGGCCCTGTTCAGTTCTCTGAACAGGGTCGGTTATTCTGAATCCCGACCCCTGTTCTCTGAAAGTCTAGACTTGGGAAGGGCAGTTGCCGTGAGGCAGGCCATACTGGGCCAGTTGGTCTGAAACTGGGTGGGCTGGAGCTGGCAGGTGGAAAGCAAGGACGTTCAGCCCAGAGTCTGCATCCCCCACCTCTCTGTTATATCCATCCATCCATTCATCCATCCATCCATTTCTCTATTTATGCATCTATCCCCGCTCTCTCTTTCAAACACACACACTCCTCCTCATCCTCCATGTCCTTCTCTTTTTCTTCTTCTCCTTCTCCTTTTCTTTCATTCTCTTTCTTTTCTCTTGATCTCCATTTCCTTCCTTCCTTCCTTCCTTCCTTCCTTCCTTCCTTCCTTCCTTCCTTCCTTCCTATTCTTCTTTCTTATTTCCTTCTCCTTCTCCTCTTTCTTCCTGTCTGTCTCCTCCCTTCCCTTCATTCGCCTCCTTTTTTTTCTGTCCTCATCTTCCTGCCTCTCCTTTTCTTTCTGGTCTGTGTCATCTTCCTCCTCTTTCTCTTCCTCCTCTTTCTCAATGTCTATCTTCTCCTTCTACTCCTCCTTCTCCCCCCCCTTCCTTCTTTTCTCTAAAGGAGAATATTTGTAGCTCAGGGTTGAATTGAGGGGTCTTTGGTGCTCTCTAGTTGGCTACTAACACTGATGATGTTCCCTAGTTGGGTCATGAAACATCTGCAAGGAAACCACCCAAGCTCAGAGAGCACCAAGGATCCCACAGTCATTTTCTTCCTCCTCCTCCTCCTCCCATCCATCCATCCATCCATCCATCCATCCATGACTGATGATGTTCCCTACTTGGGTCATGAAACATCTGCAAGGAAACCATCAAGCTCAGAGAGCACCAAAGACCCCACAGTCACTGTCCTCTTCCTCCTTTCCTCCTCCTCTTCCTCCTCCTCCTCCTCCTCCTCCTCCTCCTCCTCCTCCTCCTCCTCCTCCTCCTCCCTTCTAGCAGTGTTGATATTACCTGGTTGGGTCATAAAATGTCTGCAAGGAAACCAACCAGCTCAGAGAGCACCAAGGAACCCACAATCTTTCCTCCTCCTCCTCCTCCTCCTCCTCCTCCTCCTCCTCCTCCTCCTCCTCCTCCTCCTCCTCCTCCTCCTCCTCCTCCTCCTCCTTCTCCCATTCTACCCTCAATCTTGCCCTTCCTTCCCAGCTCTGCTTCCAAACCTCTCCCAACTCTCCAGGGCTGGGCTGAAATTGTGGAAGCAGCTGGGCCTTCTGAGCAAAAGCCCCAGGTGGTCCAGGTTTGCCACGTCCTCTGAAAAGGGGGCCTTGGATGAGCTTCTCCGTCTCCTTTTTGATTTTCTCTTGCTCCTCCTTGTGCTCTTGAGTCTGGTTACACGGGTGCCCCTACTTACGACCATACTCCCTCCCCATCCACATAGTGGTCGTACGCCGAGGACTTACCTGTGTGCCGTACAAGATTCCTCCAGGCCACGTTCCCCCGAATAGCAAGTCAGGCGAGGAGGGAGGCTGGTGCTTCTTTCCTTGACCGCAGTTTCAACATCTTCTCTTGCCAGATCCTTCGGAGGCTCAAGTGTTTGGCCCTGGAAACGGAAACGGAGCTGGAGCGGCAGGACGAGAGCCTGGATGCCATTACGTCCTCCGTGGATCAGGCCAACATGAGCATCGACCGGCATAACCGCAGAATCCGGAAACTCACCTAGAGACCCGCCCCCGCCCCCTCCAGCGAGAGGATTTTGGCCGCTGGGAACACAGTGGTCCCCCTTCGTCCTGTGGGGCCACCTCCTGGAGGTGTCCTTTAGCTTGGCCGGTGTCAGATGGGTTGACAAAGCAAACAAACAAACAAACAAACTCGCAAAACAATAACACCCGATTGGGGTGTTATTAAACAAAGGGGATGTCCGGTTTAAGTCGCAAAGGAACCGACGTTCTTCAGTTGCAAAGGAAGAAGGAGCAGACTCGTTTTGATTGTTCTCCAGCTGACCTCCTGGATCCCTTCGCCACGTGGGCACCCAGAAATTTATCCATGCGCTAGAGAGAGTCTTGAGCGGTGCATGGAAATATGACAATGAGATCTGCAAAAATTTTCATTTAAATCGCCTGTTGGACCACCCGTTCTCTTCGTGGCTTCAAGAGCCCCCCAGCCATGTCTTTGCATCTTGCCTCCTGGGGTTGTGGGTGCTCCATCTCTGGAGGTTTTCAAAAACAGACCAGGGTGGTGTAAGACAGGGGTAGTCAACCTTGGCTCTTTTATGACTCGTGGACTTCAACTCCCAGAATTCCTGAGCCAGCTGTGCTGGCTCAGGAATTCTGGGATTTGAAGTCCACGAGCCAAGGTTGACTACCCCTGGTGTAAAATCTCCTACCTTGAGCAGGAGGTTGGACTAGAAGACCTCCCGAGGTCCCTCCCAGCCCTAGGATTCTATGTTTTATGTCCCAATTTTTCTTTTTTAAAAAATGGCCTTCGCTCTATGAGATTCTCCCTCAAGAAGCTGTCGTGCTGACGTGAATATACAGACAAGTAGGCATTTTAAGAAGACACCCATAAGCGAGCTTGAATTTTTGAGCCCAGCTTCCATCTGCTCAAAATCTGTGCTTCCAGTCTGACTTCTTTTAAGGCTGTGGTTTGTTTAAACCTCTTAATGTAGGCTTAAACCTGGCCCCTAAACCTGGAGGAGGAACCATTGAGCAATCTGAAATGTCAGGCATGGATAGGCTGCCTGCATCCCGCCAACTTATCAGGATGAATATTTTATTTATTTAAAAAACAAAATCTTAAGCCAGTGACCAATTCTAAGCCTGTTGACCTAAAGGACCTGGCCTGCTAGCAACCTGGAAAAAAAAAAAGTCTTATTCTTATTTTTTTTTCCCCAACAGAGGAAAAATGAGGGCTCTCCCTATTTTTGAACAGCCCTTAGATAGCTCTGAGCACTTTAACTATTGAATATTACACAAAAGGGAATGACTGCTAATATTAGTCCTGTAGTGTTGGCGTCTATCTATAATCAAATGCATTTTACAGACTTTCGTCATCTCTGGGAAGAAAAATAAAAATATTGTACATAGCCATTCCTGAAGGCAATATCACCCAGAACAAGAGAAAGAAATTTGGGATGGAGAATTTTTCAGTGCTATTTAACACCATGGATGGGAATTTTCTGTCGCTGTTGGTACTGTCGGAAATCAAAAGAATGGATCTGGCAGATTTGGGGATGCTTAACGACGGGCACCTCTGGATAGGAACCCAGAAGCAACATTTGGGGAAAAAACGAGATTTCTTTTGAGTAGCAGGATTTGAATTTGGGTAGAATAGAAAGAAACTGACTTTACTTTTGGCTGGTGAGATGCACTGGTTTTAATGCAGGCCGAAATTTACCTTTATTTTAATAAGACCCTCTGCTGTTTCTCAAGCTCAGTCATTTTAAGATGGATATGGACTCCAGCTCCCAGAATCCCCTAGTCAGCCTGCTTTAAGATGGGAGGACTCCAGTTCCCAGAATCCCCAGCCGGCCATGTTGCCTTGGAATTCTGGGATTTGAAATCCATCCATCTGAAAATTCAATGTTGGACACACAGGTAATTTTCAACACACAACCATTTGTTTAGCGGCTGTTTAAGTTACAACGGCAGTGAAAAAAAGCGACATACAACTAGTCCTCGCACTTATGACCATCGCAGCATCCCCCACGCTTCCTTGATTTGAATCTGGGCAACCAGCATGTGTGTACGATGGCTGCAGGATCCCGGGATCTCGTGATTACCATTCGCGACCTTCCCTGCTGGCTTCTGATGCGCAAAGTCAATGGGGAGCTGGATTTGCTTACTGACCACTTAATACCACCAGTGCTTCATTTAACCACCGTGGCAAAAAGGTTGTTAAATTGGGTGCGACTCACTTAACAACTTGCTCAGCAGCGAAAATGCTCGTAGCTGTAAGTTGAGGGCTGTCTGCACTCTACCAAGTCTGGCCTGCAGAAAATCCGGATCATGGTTAAAAGGAAGGTAATGCTGGGTTTCCAACTGTGCCATTGGCTGAGCCCAGCTTTCATCTCCCAGAATTCCCCAGTCAGACAATCATTGCTTAGAATTATGGGTAGTTGCAGTCGTCACCTCTGGATCAGGGCAGACTGACCTAGCGATTTCTTCCCAGTTGTGTTATGTGTGGCATTCCTTCGAGTGTCCTCGCTTAACGGCCACCAACTACTCCATCAGTTTGGTCACTCAGCAGAAAACCACGTGACGGGCTGACCTCCCTTCCCTTTCCGTCGGTAAGCGAAACATCGCAAGATCACAACAATCTTTCTTCCACTTTCTCTATTAGTGGCGCTTGTCTTAGGCCGGTTCCTAATCACACACCTGATAATCGTGTAATTGCAGGACACTGATGGTCATAAGTCCGAGGATTGGTTACGAAGCTTTGCCATCGTCGCAACGTTCAGCTGTGCAAGCTCTGCCTTTTCTGAAACTCCGCTTCCTTTTTATCCATCAAGAGAAAAGAAATAGATGCTGCTTAAGGTGAATTTGTTTACTACACATTATATTCCAAGTTTTTTCGCTAATGGTGAGCCGTTAATTACTTTCGGTGGGGGGGGGGGAGATTAAGGTCAGGCTAAAACCGCAGCAGCTACAGGCAGGGTTTTTTTTGGGGGGGGGTTTGCGGTCAATGAAAGCAAAACAGTAATGTGAATTTCTTAATCTTTAAATTACATTTCTCAAACTCTCGGTTGATTAGATTTTTACATGCAAAGTCTTGGTCTCTTGTTTCACAGCTGTGGACTGGGTGGGTGGGATTGCAAAGACCCGTCACTTTTCATGCAAATTAACTGATTCAAACTCAGTTGTGCTAAAAATTCATCCCCAGAAACTGCCGGGGCAGATTACAGGAAGTCCTCGACTTACGACCGTTCATTTAGTGACCGTTTGAATTTACAACAGCACTGAAAAAAGTGACCTACGGCCGTTTTTCACATGACCGTTTCAGCATCCCCCGTGGTCACGTGATCCAAATTCAGACTCTTGGCAACTGACTCATATTTATGACGGTGTCACAGTGTCCCGGGGGTCAAGTGATCCTCTTTTGCAACTAATGTCAAGGGGGAAGCCAGACTCACTTAACAACCGTGCTCCTAATCTAACAACTGCACCGATTCACTTAACGACGGTGGCAAGGAAGGTCGTAAAATGGGACAAAGCTCACCCAACCACCGTCCTTGCTTAGCTGCAGAAATTTTGGACTCAGTTTTTGGGCTTTATAATAGTAGTAAAGTTGGAAGGGACCTTGGAGGTCATCTAGTCCAACCCCCTGCTCGGGCAGGAAACCCTACACCATTTCGGACAAATGGCTGTCCAGTCTCTTCTTAAAAACTTCCAGTGATGGAGCATTTACTGCTTCTGGAGGCAGGTTGTTCCACTGATTAATTGTTCTCACTGTCAGGAAGTCGAGGCCTCCCTGTAGTTCCAATTAGCTTAAATGTCATTGATTTGATTCGGTCCTCCTTAATCATCGCTTGCCAATTCGCTCCTCTTTTGCTCATCCTGTTCCAGAAAACAAAGGGAAGTTTTTTGCACTTTTTAATATATGTGTGTGTGTGTGTGTGTATACACACACACACACACATACTGTTTACTTTCTGTCTTTTTAATTCTGTCAGTTTTGTGTTTTTTTTAACCACAATTGTGTCTGGAGTTATTTATGGTTTTTTTTTAACTGAACGCTTTAATTTATTGGACACTATTTATGCAAGGGGGATAAAACCTGAACCAGTTCTATAGGAAAACCTGGAATTAGCTCACCTATCACAATATTTCTCTCTCTCTCTCTCTCTCTCTCTCTCTCTCTCTCTCTCTCTCTCTCTCTCTCTCTCTCTCTCTCTCTCTCACACACACACACACACACACACACACACACACACACACACACCGCCTTGGAAATTTAGGTGGGAGGGCAGCTCATTGACATCCAGCTGTGTTTCCCAAATCTGATTGTCGATACTCTTGTTAACTGACTTGGCTGTAACGTGTTCTTTCTTGATAAATAAAACCATGACTAACTTAAAACCCGCAAGTGGTGTCTTTTCACACACTTTCCCGCTTGGTTAGCAGATGTCCTTGACCCTTGTGAAAAAGGATTTGCTATCCTCACCCAGGTCTCATGTAATTTTCAGGTAGTCTGAAAACTTATTTCTCTTTTTAAAGCAGTGGTTCTCCACCTGTGGGTCAGGACCCCATTTGGGGTCAAACGACCATTTCACGGGGGTCGCCAAACAACGCAGTCCGCCATTTCCCCCCCCTTTTCCTTAGCTGTGCTACTCCCTTTTATTCTATTGGCTTTTGAAAGCCAATAGGATAGACTCCCTTGAATAGAGTCTAATTCTATTGGTTTTCAAAAGCCAATAGGAATTGTCCAGGCTGTCTCTGCCCTGCTGAGCCCGCCAAAAGTCCCATTCTGCAAACGGTGCTGCACCAGTGGAGTAGTCCTCGACTTACGACCGGTTGAGTAGTCCTCGACCTACGACCGGTTGGGGGTCGCGGCATTAAAAAGGTGGAAAACCACTGTTTTAAAGGAAAATATGCCCAGGATGGACAGGAAGCGTCCTTGGGTGTTTTCTGAGCTTGGCTGCTAGCTACGGCTCCACCACTACTTAGTAACCATTCAAAGTTACAATGGTGCTGAAAAAAGGGACTGATGGCCATTTTTCACAGAAGCATTGTGGCATCCTCGTGGTCACATGATCCAAATTCGGATGCTGGGCTCTTATTTACGATGGTCGCAGTGTCCTGGGGTCACGTGATCCCCTTTTGCGACCTTTGCACAAGCAAAATCAGTGTCGCCAACTTAACAGCTGTAGTGATTCACTTAACAGCCATGTCAACAAAGGTCGTAACATGGGTAACTCACTTTAAGAAGTGTCTCACTTAGCAATGGAAACGTCGGGCTCAATTGTGGACATAAGATGAGGACTACCTGTATTCCACATCCTTTTCCAAAGAATGAGGCACATCTCTGACATGGTTCGCCTAACTCATGTTTATTCTAAGTTAGATGGTGGTCTGTTTCCCCAATTTTGGCTGGTTTGCATTCTTTTTGCGCTGAGCCAAGACAGCTGGGTTGTGTCAATTCCTCGCAAGACCCCCCCCTCCCCATCCAATTTTTGACACAGCCTCTTGGGCAACAAATGCCAGAGCCGTACAACTGACATAACTCTTTATTTTTCTTCTCATTTACTACAACTGTGATTTCTCTCCCCAGAGACAAATCTAAAAATCTTAACAGCTTCTTGCAAT